CAATGAGTCATCCAAACATCTCAGTGTTTTTTTTCTTCGCAAAAACATATGGTTTATAAACCATTATAACTCCACCATTAACTATAGTTATATCTACCATAAACCATCGTAGAAAGCATGTCCATGATGAAATGAAATGTCAAGACACAAAAAAAGTGGCTGCGGGCCTCTGCAACCGCTTCACCACGAACGTCGTGTGATCAGAAGATTCTGTGGGACCAAATCTGTTTTAATCACTTCTCAACGTACCCGGCCTGGTAAACATACAAAAAGCCATGGAAAATGGCCATTGCCCAGCTATAAAAGGATGATTTACCGGAACATAATTCACATGTGCTTTCCATGCGATGTAACTTCTTCTTTCTCAGTCTATGTACCCTCTGGTAAACTAACATAACTATGGAAAATCACAATTTTCAATGGGAAATCCACTATAAATGGCCATTTTCAATAGCTATGTTAGTCATTACCAGAGAGTAACAGATGTTTCTGTTAAAACATTGCTTGAAGCCACTTACGCGACCACCAATGCCCAACTTGGATAATCGATTCTTGGACTACGTTCCCGAGGAGGCGGGCAACGACTGGAACGACTGGAACGACTGGAACGACTGGGGTGTGAAATGGTGAAGTTTTCATGATTACCCTCTGGTAATGACTAACATAGCTATTGAAAATGGCAATTTATAGTGAGTTTTCCCATTAAACATGGTGATTTTCCATAGTTATGTTAGTTTACCAGAGGGTAATGAAAAGAGTTGGGATCTTCCGCATCCATTTTGCCTCATGTTGCGAGGTGCTTGCTCAACATCGTGAGTCTTTTCAAGATGCCCACTACCTGCCAAATTTTCTGTGCAAAAAGCAGGCCAGGTCCCCTTGGTGGCCATGGCTGGTGTGCAAAAGTTCATCCCTTGACTATGAAAAGACGACGTTTTTTTTTCTCCAATTTTTTGCTCCGACATCACGAAGACTTCACATTCTTTACATCCCACCAGGAAAATATGATGGTATGTATTGTATATTTAAAGTTTTGGGATACCAGTGAGGTCACAACTTGTCACAACCACAGATATGTCAACTTTCATTTCATGAGGTTCATCGGTTCACCAATTCAGTGCAGGAGATGTCTCTCTTCCAGCAACTTCAGAAGGATCTCCGGTGGCGGTTGGGGCTTGGAATATAGCCTCGGGGTATCATTGCCCCAACGGCTTGGGGCATGTTTGAATCGGATCACCATTGTTGGTTGTTGGTTGATATCCTTTGTCCACCTTGCCTTACATTGGTGGTTCTAGTCCTGTCTTGGTCAATATGAGGCGATATCTTGACTACAGTATATCTCCGCAATAGTACGTCATATCTGTGTTTCCAGCAGCTTCTACGGCTCCGTGTTTTTAATGCTACAATCGTATCTCTTCATTAAGTCATGCCAACTAGAATGATAGGATCCCATATTGTCAAGGGAACATATCAAGGGAACGTTTGCAGGACTGGACCTCCGATTTTTATTGGTAGGATCCACGCTTTCCTGGATCAAAGATGGAAACAAAAGGTGAGATGACTGGCCCAATCAGCTGATGAAAATTGATTGGGGTAGATCCAGCCAAAAACAAAAACCCTGACTAACAAGATCTCTTTCTAGTTTTTGGTCTTTCTATGCTGCTTGTTTTGCCAAGTACATCAGTCATTGACACTCCAAGAATCGAAGAAAGGCTTTGAGTGCACCAGTGCCGTCGATGAATCAGTGCCAGAGGCAACGACCATTGCAACGAAATTGCCATTTGGCAGTCCCCAGACTCCCAGTGTATGTCTCACATCCAACATCCAGCGTGGCATGGCAGCATGATCCACATGGAGCTTTAACCCCTCCTGAAAGTGACAAAGAATCAGCCACCACGACAGCTAAACTTGGCACCATGGCGGCCGCGATGCAGCCGTTGGGGGCCATGCAAGCTGAGTTGCAGCGACTGCAACTCTTAACGAATGACATCCCAACGATGAAGATGGATCTGGATCCTTAGATCTATTGAGGGCTGGGGCTGATGGGGCTGATGGGGCTAGATCTGACATTTTTTTTGGGATGTTGGAATGAAAACCCTGCCGGGAAAACTCCAAAAACATCTGTATCTCTCTCTATCTCAAAGGAGTCCCCTGGCCATTGCCCACCTTTCGAACTGTCAAAACTTTCGTCATTTTCAAAAGTTTATCCTTAGGGATGATGCTCCCAGAGTTGGTTTGACGGAACAGATCCAGTCAGATGTACCACAATGAATTTTAGTGTGAGACATGATATATTGATATATATAATATAATATAATATAATATAATATATATTATATATGTATATATGTATATATATATATGTATATATATATATAATAATATAATATATATATACATACATTTGGATATGTCTACGTACATGGTGCTGTATACTCACTACTATAGATGATATATTACTTATTCCCATCAGCCAAGCCATGAATTGATAGATATACACATGCCATTACCTCGAAACGATAGTAGCTATGACAAGAAAACATGTACTAGTACTATATCTATCAGCCAACCATCAACCAGAAAGGATAACTTGCATACATGCATATAATTGTGCATGCAAACAAACATTTCACAAGGTGGTGACCCCCAGTTATAATTTGGTTTGGTTTATTCCATCAACTAGTTCAATATATCGACCATAAAGCCAATTTAACCACCCTCTTAGTTCAACACACTTAGCTACTCAAGGGTGGCCCACCTCGTTGGGAGTTACTAAGCACAACTATGTGGCTAATTCTGGCATCATCTAAGTAGAATCTAAGTTTGGATATAGCCCCTACAACCATGGTAATATATCCACTTGGAACTATACTTCCTGTTATGTATCACTTCTAACTATGGTTGTATATTCACTGTGGTTATAGATAGATATACCCCACGACTATGGCTGTAGGATTCACTATGGATATATCCTCTAGCTATGGTTATATATTCACATATAAATGAAGCTTGAATCCTCTTACATGTCACTTATAACTATGTTCATATAGTCCGCATGGTTATATAGAATATACATAATATACATCCTATGAGTATGGTTATATATCCAGACCCACCATGGTCATTTGCTGGTGAAATCCCGATTTGTCCGTTCCTCCCAGTACATCCCGATTGTATATATATATATATACATATCCTATTGCCACTACCACTTGGTGCAATTCTAATGATCTCCCATCCTACATATCTAGGATAGTCCATAGTGTGCTATTCTCTATCTTGACTGCAATATCATTGGAATATATTATATATATTATCCATTTGATTACGATATCAGGCAATATTAAGTGATCCCAATACCCTATCTACTTGGATATCCCTAATTTTGATTGAAATTTGGATATGAGGGACACACACATATATATATTATTATTATTATTATTATTATATATATATAATACATTCAAAATGTGTATATATATACATATGTCTATATTTGTGTGTACATATACTATAATATATGACAGTTACATACATATGAGTAAACACACGGAAGGCTCCTTCAGATCCTCCAAGGAGTTGTTGCGTGCAGACCTGGAGGCGCTGCAAAGCGGGCTGCCACCCTTGGACGTGGAGCCCCTGGTGTCCCGGCGCCGTCGGACCATTTCAGTGGACACCATGAAAAAAACGAGGGAATTTCATGAAATTTAAGAGATTCTTGGGACCCAAAATCTGGATTTGAGAGATTTTTCTGGCTCAAAATTGGGGATTTGAGATATTCTAGTAATGAAAATTTGCGGATTTGAGAGATTTCAGTGGCAAAAAACACAGGATTCAAGAGATTCTAGGGCCTTAGCATTGGAATGTGGAGCGACAGACCACTTGAAAAACCTCCCCCCATTTCTCAGGGAACATCCCTGACCCTGGATGGAACCATTCAGCCTCCGTCTGCAAAGTGGGGTTCCTGAAATGCGGCTGCTGTTGACAGGTGCCCTTCATTTTACATCATATAAAAGTACGTATGTATATATATATATATAAATAGAGTATATGGGTGTTTCCTAAAAACATTAGCTATACCCCGAACTCATCGAAACTTCCACAATCTTAGCATTTTTCACCGACCATGGGTTTCCCCTCCGCCCCAAGGTCCGTCAGGTCGTGGCGCAGGAGCTCCGAAGGCCGACGAGTTCGAACCCGGCGCCGCTTCAGAGCGGCCTAACAGTTGGAGTTTGTGGAAGTCATGGGCAAAAAATTGGGTACCCTCTGGTAAACTAACATAACTATGGAAAATCACCATTTTTAATGGGAAAATCCACTATAAATGACCATTTTCAATAGCTATGTTAAATTACAAGAGGGTATTTAATTTGTATATCCAATAATATCATAATGGGATATGTTTATAAAAGTTAAATACTATTGGGATAAAACATATTGGGATATATTGGGTATTATTTAATGGGATCTGTGTATAAAAGTTTGTATAAAAGTATGAGAATTTTGTATAAAAGTCAGATTTCATGATGGTTTTTGATAGCTTTTCCCTTGAACCAATCCGATTGATCCATTGATTGGGGATATGAAGGGAGATGGGGATGGATTGACTGGATTTGGAGGATAGGTTTAGCGGATCTCGGGGGATTTTTAGCGGAATTCATGGGAATGAACGGGGGAATTATGTGGAATAAATGTGGATTAGTTTTGCGGAAATCAGTGGACACTGGGTATGGGAATTACTAAAACACCCCCCCTCCCCCCAACTCGATTTCAAATTTGATTAAATCCGTTCTAAATATCTGTATAAAATGTTGCCGAAAACTGGATTTCGAAGCTTTCCCCTAGTATTCCAATGAAAACCTTAATAATAAAAAAAATAAAAACTCGATTTCAAATTTGATTAAATCCCTTCCTATAATCTATATAACGTATTTGCCAAAAACTGGATTTCGAAGCTTTCCCCTAATATTCAAATGAAAACCTTAATAATGAAAATAACAAAACTTGATTTCAAATTTGATTATGTAATTAAGTCCCTTATTAAAATCTACATAAAATATTGCCAAAAACTGGATTTCGAAGCTTTCCCCTAATATTCCAATGAAAACATTAATATTAAAAATTAAAAACTCGAATTCAAATTTGATTAAGTCCCTTATTGAAATCTATATAAAATATTGCCACAGACTGGATTTCGAAGCTTTCCCCTAATATTCCAATGAAAACCTTAATGATAAAAACAAAATATATCTTTTGAGATGGGACCCTAACAAAAAACATCCCGGTGGCAATCTATTTTTCACCATCCTGTTCTCCTATTGATTCTCTACCATAATTAAGAATCCAATTGTGCCCAACCAAAAAGACTGGAAGTGCCACACCAATCCTTTTTTTATTTAATTTGGAGTTTTAGTAATAGGAAGAAGGGATTATATAATTGTGGCATATTGTGGGAATGAATTCGAATTAACCAACAATCTTGGGGAAGTAATGGGGATTTGATGGGAGATGACTGGGAAACAACAATAGGGATATGATGGGAAGTACTGGGATGTATGAAATGAATTGAAATGATACATATACCTCAAATGGGCAACAGCACGATATTGTTGGTTTGTTTGAACATCAGGGATATGCTGGGATTTAGCCAACAGTAGCAATTATGGCAAGTGACTTCTAAATAATTATGATACACGATATGACATTACTCAAGCTATATGATATTGATGGGAACCAATTATGATAAACCGTTTCATTTTGGGTGGTCCCTGGGCACTGGGAATCTCCAATCAAAATAGATGGGAATACCAAAGAGAGTTTCAGAAGCAACTCTAATGATACTCAAAGGGGCGATTCAGATTGACTTTTCCATCCTTTAGTTTCAGGTGAAGCCTTAACTTGTCATGAAATGAATTCCAAGCCGGCCACTTTGAATTGCCACTTTTTGGTCAAAGTTCAACTTCTTCTGGGTTTTGTCCAAGGGGCACCCCCCAAAAAAAACAGGAAGATCCTCTTCAGACTCGGCGTTTCCAGTTGATCACCTTAAAAGAGGTTATGCAATTGTACCCTGCCCAGCTAACATCACCGGCCCTTCTTTGGTGGCCAAATCCAAGTTTTTTTTGTATCATTTGGTTGATTAGATCCCCAGGTCTTGGTTAAGCCGGTTAAGCATTATCCATTGAGACCATTGATCAATGGGAATTCCAGGATCCTAAAATGGAGGTACGTTAGTACCATTTTTCAGGCCATATTTTGTGGGGATATTCCCTGAAATTTAGGCCTGAAAAATAGGCCAAAAATATATGGAATCGGTACCTCCGTCCTCAATCGGTTCCTGTTGCATGGCCATTGAATTGAGAAATCGGATTTGGTCAATCCAATTTAGGTCAGTCCTGGAGTGCCTATTTCTCGAAAGGTAGCGGTGAGCTACCTGAGTTCCCCCTTGCGTAGCAAGTATTAGGGGGCGAGCGGTGCAAGTGCAAGAGTTTGGGCCGGTTATGTCTCGGTCCGCCTTTCAAGGGGGGCCCCCCCCCACCCTTCGATTCCCCCCAGGTCCGCCTCTAAAGCCGGGTTTGCAACATAGGCGGACTACAAGGAAACGCCAACAGCCGCACATGCACTTTCATCCACCACGTTTACATACATCCCCACCCCAACCGAAGTCAAGACCCGCACTGAAACTCGACAATGTCAGATTGCTCAAGAACTTTGTTTCGTTCACCCTAACAACCGCGATGAACAATGTCGTAGCAAGAACGTTGCGACGGACTGCGTTGCAGTAGTCTCAAAAATCGTACATGATATACCAGTAGTACCGCACAAGGCGGTGGCGGAAGTTTCAAAAATAGGAAACCTATAGGAGAGATTGGTTGTTGTGAATCAGAGATGGCAGAGCGAAGCCACTGCTGGACTGAAAGGCGATTGATCTCTCTCACTCTTGTCTACCTGTCTATCTATCTATCATATCTATCTATCTATCTATCTATCTATCCATCTATCCATCTATCCATCTATCCATCTATCTATCTAGCCATCTATCCATCTATCCATCTATCCATCTATCCATCTATCCATCTATCCATCTATCCATCTATCCATCTATCCATCTATCCCTTATCCCTCTATCTATCTATCTATCGATCTATCGATCTCGATCCGATCTATCGATCTATCGATCTATCGATCTATCGATCTATCGATCTATCGATCTATCTATCTATCTATCCTATCTATCCTATCTATCTATCTATCTATCTATCTATCTATCCTATCTATCCTATCTATCCTATCTATCCTATCTATCCTATCTATCCTATCTATCCTATCTATCTATCTATCCTATCTATCCTATCTATCTATCTATCTATCTATCTATCTATCTATCTATCTATCTATCTATCTATCTATCTATCTATCTATCTATCTATCTATCTATCTATCTATCTATCTATCTATCCTATCTATCCTATCTATCCTATCTATCCTATCTATCCTATCTATCCTATCTATCCTATCTATCCTATCTATCCTATCTATCCTATCTATCCTATCTATCCTATCTATCCTATCTATCTATCTATCTATCTATCATATCTATCATATCTATCATATCTATCATATCTATCTTATCTATCTATCTATCTATCTATCTATCTATCTATCTATCTATCTATCTATCTATCTATCTATCTATCTATCTATCTATCTATCTATCTATCTATCTATCTATCTATCTATCTATCATCTATCTATCTATCTATCTCATCTATCTATCTATCTATCTATCTATCTATCTATCTATCTATCTATCTATCTATCTATCTATCTATCTATCTATCTACCTATCTATCTATCTATCTATCTATCTATCTATCTATCTATCTATCTGTCTAGCTGTCTACCTGTCTATCTTTTGTGCAGTGTCATTCAGTGTAATGTAGTGTAGTGTAATGTAGTGTAATGTAGTGGAGTGTAGTTGTAGTTGTAGGTGGTAGTGGAGTGTAGTGTAGAGTAGTGTCGTGAAGTGTAGCGGCAGGTAGTGTAGTGTAATGTAGTGTAGTGTAGTGGAGTCTAGTGTAGTGTAATGTAGTGTAGTGTAAGGTAGTGTAGTGTAAGGTAGTGTAGTGTAGTGGAGTGTAGTTGTGTAGTTTTAGTTGTAGTGTTGTGGAGTGTAGTGTAGTGTAAGGTAGTGTAGTGTAGTTTAATGTTGTGTAGTGGAGGTGTAGTGGAGTGTAGTTGGGTAGGTGTAGTTGTATTTGTAGTGTAGTGGAGTGTAGTGTAGTGTAATGTAGTGAAGTGTAGTGTAGAGAGTGTAGTGCAGTGTAATTTAGTGTAGTGGACTGTAGTGGACTGTAGTTGTGTAGTTGTAGTTGTAACCTGTAGTGTTGTGAAGTGTAGTGTAATGTAATGTAGTGTAATGTAGTGTAGTGCAGCAAAGTGTAGTGTCATGTAGTGTAGTCGAGTTAAGCGAAGCAACATCTGAACCGCCAAAAGTGGTCCGAAACCCTAGTGTTTTTAACATGTTAACTTCCAAATCTGCTTCGCGCCACAACGGCGTGCACTTTTTCGAAACTCGACATCTCAGCCTCCAAAAGTGGTCCGAACATGGTGTGGTTTGTACATTTTGACTTCGAAATGTGCTTCGCGCCACAGCGGCGTGCACTTTTTCGAAACTCGACCTCTGAGCCTCCAAAAGTGGTTCGAACCCCTGGTGTTTTGCACATTTTGACTTCGAAATGTGCTTCGTGCCACAACGGCGTGCACTTTTTCGAAACTCGACCTCTGAGCCTCCAAAAGTGGTCCGAACCCCTAGTGTTTTTAACATTTTGACTTGGAAATGTGCTTCGCGCCACAACGGCGTGCACTTTTTCGACATCTTAAGTGCCAAAAGTGGTCCGCACTTGGTGTGTTTTCTACATTTTGACTTGGACATGTGCTTCGCGCCACAACGGTGTGCACTTTTTCGACATCGCAACTTCCAACAGTGGTCAGACCCTGGTGTGTTTTGTACATTTTGACTTGGGGATGTGCTTCGCGCCACAACGGCGTGCACTTTTTCGACATCTGAAGCGCCAAAAGTGGTCCGATCCTCTGGTGTTTTGTGCATTTTGACTTGGAAATGTGCTTCGCGCCACAACGGCGTGCAATTTTTCATGTCTCATCTCCCCATATGTCTCCGCACCCGCCGCTTTAGCGAGCCTACTTTTCGACCCTCCGGAACCACAAATCATTGGAAAAACACAGTGAATCGCGACTTTCCTACCTTTTCGCGCATCTGCATCTTCTTTCTTCTGACTCTTTCTCTTCTGAACTTTCTCTTCTCTCTGCCTCTGCCCTGCTCTGCTTTTCATCTGTCCATATTGTCGGAAGTTTAGCTTCTCAACTTCCTTCGACAATATACTTAAAGATATGTATCTATATATATATATACACATAATAATTCCATGATATATATATATATACTAAATAATCTCAATATACATATAGATTCGTATATATATATATATGCATACTCTACCCAGCAATTGTGGGATATTGCGCTTTGGCTAGTGGTTGCCGAAGCATAATCGCTGCCCCTTGCTCAGCATATCTAGATCATTTGGTGGATTTTCCGCAAGGGTTCCTCCAAGATATTCTCTTCAACCAAAAGACTTCGCTAATGACATTTCAATATGTTTCATATATATGTATATTCGTATATATATAGTTATCATGTATAATAACTAGAACACCTATAATGACTAGAATTACTATAATAACTAGAACATAATTATCACAACTATATTGAACCCCCCCCTTCGATTCCCCCAAGGTCCGCCTCTAAAGCCGCGTTTGCAAGAAGTCACCCCGCGGGCCCACTTTTTGCACCAAGATTCCAGCACCAGGATAGCCCTAAGTCAGTTGCTTTGGGTACATGCTGGGGTCAAAACACCACGTTTGTGAATCCCACACTGTTCTACACATGTACAGACCAGAATCAACCCCATCCGCGTTGCAACAATGTGCTGCCCCCAGTTACACGTTGCCTCGCAAACCCCATAACCTGATATTTATACATATATCTAACTATATGTATGTATTTATATATATATATATGTCTGTGTGTCTGTGTGTGTGTCGTGTCCCCCCTCCCTGAAACCTACCTTTTTGGTACCCGCCCTCGAGTCCAAGCCCAGAAGACTTTTTTCGATATCCGCCCCAACTCCACCCACGTCCGTCCGCAGCGGATATGCCTCGTTCCCTTGCTCTCTTCTCCTGTTCCAACCCACGCCTACCTTTCGATCTTTCACCCTTCCCTCTCAAGTGGGCTTCGGCAGCGACCTACCCGGGCCACCGGGGCCACTGGGGACAGGTCAATCCGTCCAGAAGACCACACCCTTTGATAGTGGCCTGATGTGCAACGATGAATTTTCTGGGACACCTACCCTCTGGATATTTAACGTAGCCATGGAAAGATCCACCATGCTATTAATAGGTAAACCATCTATTTCTATGGGAAAAAAAATCCATGGCTATGTTAAATAACCATAGGGTAGATGTTGCCGCCCGAGTGAAAAAACATGAATGGCTACTGGGATGTAAAGCAAACAAATTTTCCTGGGATCTTACATACCACTTCGCTGATTCTAGCAACATCTGAGGGAGAGAAGTTCTTTGAAGGTAAATTTTGTGCGGTCCAGGGAATCCACGGATTTCGGGTATACCTACATTGTTTAAAGGCATATAAAGGCATATTTAAATAAATTTAATAGATTGTCGAAATCCTTCCAACAATGTAAAATTGTGTAAAATTGTCTTCGAAGGTTGGAGATTGCATGTGGGCCGACAAGTATGGAGCGAAATCACGGCTGTTTGTCGCTGATAGGCGATTTACATTTCCCAATGTGTAGGGGAACCGCAAGCACCTGAATTAAAGAAGACACAGTGTATATAGGATCGCCATGAATCACAACACTCTGTGTCGAGCTTTCGAACCTGCAGACGAGCGGCAGGTACACACACACAAATGATATTATATACATACAGCCACAAGATCCCACAAGATCAGCAACACAACGAGCCGAACCTATGGCTTTGTCCAAGAAAAAGGTCATTATCACCCCAAGAGATATCAACATATCCATAAATATCCAATGGTCGATTTTTTCACTTTTCCTATTGTTGGCCATAAATTGGGGTTAGCCATCCACCATTTTCGGAGCCATTCCTCCAGAGATCCTCCATTCCCAGGTCAGGAGGACTCCGACGACTCTGGCGAGGCGGCTTTCCTGGGCCCCCCCAACGCGGAGCCGCTGCAGCACATCGTCCACCGCGAGGCGGAGGCGACGGGGGAAGCGGTGCGGCTGCTGGGGCTGGAGACGGTGAGTTTCCAGAAGTCCATCTGGGACGCTGCGGTGATTGTGATGCTCCATGCCGGTGGTGGTGCGCGGAAGGTGGTGGGCAATTTCAATGTGGCTCTGACAAAAATTGGGGAGTTTGGATGTGTCTTTGTTTGGGAGGGGTTGATTGGAAGTTTGAGGAAGGTATTGCACGCCAATAGATCTCTTTTGGAGACTTCTCCCTTCGGGAGAGAGAGTTTTTGCTCAGGCGGACCATGTGAACCTCCTCGGCAGGCAAACCAATGGTGTTGTGGAAAGGAAACTCTCATACTCATAACTCCTATCCTGCCCAATGTTGTTATGGTTTACCTGAGCAATGCCTCAAATCCCTGGTTGTATCTGGTGGTTGATCATGGGGTTACACTGTATACTTCTAGCAAGTGTTTGTGCAGGTATGATGATGATGACGACGAGGATGATGATGATGATGATGATGATGACGACGATGATGATGACGATGATGATGATGATGACGATGATGATGATGATGATGATTATGATGATGATGATGATTATGATGATGATGATGATGATTGTGATGATGAAATGATGATGAGATGATTATAATCTGACCAATAGAATGGCTTGACAAACGGTTCTAAATATTGTTTAAGTTATCTCATATGATTCGCAAAACTGAACGCTTCAAGGTTGTTTCTTTGTTCCGGTCCAAGGGATGATTCAGGTATCAACCACTGTTTAGTTGTGAACAGTTCGTGCTATGACACTTTACCTACCTCCATCCCAAACACGGGTAATGAACCATTGGCCGAATGTATCCAGCTCGATGAGCTCGACAAACACTACATCCCATCATTAGTTTAAGGCCGGGACTAAACAAACCCATGGTCTTCCCACCAACAAAAGAACCCCAATACTCAAACGAATCATCAAACATCCCATGTTTTTCCCATGTTTCCCTCCATGGTTTTCCTTAATGTTTTTCAGGTGGTGCTGTCCTTCTGCTTGCTGCTGGTGAACATCGGCATCCAGTGTGGCCTGGTGCTGGCAGTGAATTCCATGGCGGACCAGGACCCACTACACAGCCTTTGGATCGGCGTGCTGCGGAGCCAACGGCTGGAAGATCAGGCCTATGAGCGTTTTGATCGGAAGGATCTCTGGCGAAACGTCTGGTGATTTTTTCTGGTTGGTGGTTTCAAACATTTTTTTTATTTTCCATAATATATATATATTTTTGAATGTGAACCCTGACTGGTTGGTGGTTTGGAACATTTTTTATTTTCCATTTCATATATGGGATAATCCTTCCCATTGACGAACTCATATTTTTCAAGATGGTTATTGCACCACCAACCTGCTGAAATCCAGGACAACTGGGGAGTCTAGTCAGGGAATATTATATAATTATATATATATATATTTACTTGGGTCCAGTGGATGAGTTTTGGCTTATTTTCTCATGGAAAGCCACCATGACTTGGGAATCGATTGGTCCAAGGATCTGATCACAAGGAGAGGGGTGAGATGGCCATCACGCAACATCCGTTGGATGTGAATATGGTAACCCCAAAAAAAGATTTAACTGTTCTATTTGAGGATTGCTAAAAGTGGTACTTGGTTTTGACAACTCTATCTTCCATCATTTATAAATCATCTTCCCATTTAGAAACCTAGGATTTCCATGAATTTCCATCATTTCTGGAGGATTTCCTATGAAAAAACTTCCATTTTCCACCGGGAAAAAAACCAGGGAGAAAGTCTCGTTGGGTTCTGCAGGACCCAGAAGCTTTGTGGTGCCAAGATCCACAACGAAATGCAAACCACCACTGAGTGGTTGAAGGAGTACCTGAATGAGGGACAGATCTTTGGCAAACTCCCAGGCCGCAAAACCGCTCCGCAAAACGGAGATGGGGATTCTAGCGATCAAAGTGAGGACGTACACCGAAATAAACATGCAGTTGGTATATGTATATATATATACATATGTATATATATATATATATATATATGTATGTATATATATATATGTATATATATATATGTATACATAGTATTGTAGTATTGTTAAGAGTCTCCCGTTTCTGTGGTCCTTTGGTACTTTTTTTTGAACAGTACTGCTTCACTGGTTTGTACCTACGACCCCGACCCTAAACCCCCACTTTCACACCTAAATCTAAAATCCCATCCCCGAACCCCTCGCCCCTACACCTAACCGTAAATCCCACCCCCCAAACCTAAAGGTCTGATTCCCCCTTACGTGGTTTCAAATGCTGGAAACAAAAAACACTGTAAAGACTCTTGACTGGACTATCCTTATGTATTGTTACTAAGTAAGTACGCATTACATATGTTTATTATGTATATATTTATAGTATCTATGTACGTGTTATTTTGATGGCTACTCAGCTAGAAAATAACTATGTGCAGGGTGTCTAAGATCGACAATATTCGAATGGATTAATGATTTATTGAAGGGAACATTTGCAGGAAACCTAGGTTTTTACAACTAATTTTTATAGGTGTTCCTGTACATGACCCATCCATCAACCAAGTCTTGGGGGCTAGCATTGTACCCTTAGATTTCCATGAGAGAGATGTTGTTTACAGCTGGAGCAATAAACCACTGCATGTTGCTTGCACCGGTTGGTGTTTTCCGCAACAGCATATTGAGGCAGAAAAAACACAACACGTGGGCATCACATAAATGGACCTCACATGGCCCATTTCCATTCCTTTGAAAGCCAAAGTGCCGTTGCTCGAATGACTCCCAAAGTGCCGTTGCAGTGCAGCGAACTAGAAACTTCCCCTCTGGCGCCGGGCACTATTGTTCTTTGTATATTTATTTTTGGTTGGTTGTAAGTAGTGTAGGCGATGGTGAAGGTGGTGAAAATGTTCGCCTGTTGAATAGCGATGTGAGGCGGAGGGGGCAGGGGGGAAGTTTATGTAGATAATTAATTAATGATGTAAGAATGTAGGTGATTGTGTTGTGGAGCAAAGCGTGTGTAAACTCTACAATGACTCAAGAATGCAGGCTATTGTCTTGCGCGGCAGGGGAGTTTAAACATGATTTCAGAATGCCGGGCTATTGTTTTATGGGGCACAAAAGGGAATTTTGATGACTTCAGAATGTAGGCCATAGTCTTGTGGAGCAGATGGGGGTAAAATTTAAGAGTGACATTAGAATGCAGGCGGGGCAGACAGGGCGGAAATTGTGGGGCAGAGGAGGGGGGACATGTTATCAATGACAAAAGAATGCAGGCTGTAGTCTTGTGTGATAAGGGGGGAAGTTTGATCATGATTTCAGACTGCACGCTATTGTCTTGTGGGGGGTGGAAGTTTAACAATGATATAAACATGTAGGCTATTGTCTTCTGGAGTAGGGGAGGAAATTTTGAGAATGACTTGGAACGCAGGCTATTGTCACATGCGGAGGGGGCGGCATTTTGATGATTTGAATGCAGGCTATTGTCTTGACTTGACCCTTTCCCATTCACCCAACAAACCCCTAAATGGCTAGTTGGGTAGACCTCCCCTTTCCCAACCCCCAAACAAACCCAACATGTTTTATTTAGTGGAACCCCCTTCCCATCCCTCTAACAAACCCTACATGGCTAGTTGAACAGAACCTCCCTTTCCCGACCCCGCCAACAAACCCTAGATGGCTGCTTGAATGGGAACTCCGTAATTCATATCGCACGTGACCCGTTTGTAGTGCCCCAAGTGACCCCCTACCCACAGAGATACCACTCCTATGGTTGATGTTCATGTTCCCTGTTAGATTTCAATTTTGCAATCCCATGCAATCCCCCATTTTGAAACTACCCCATATGTCATGACTTTTCCGGGACTCATATAGCAATTTTTAGGGATTCCCATGGCATGGGATGACCCCCATGACTCTCCCATGGAACTTGACGTGGAACATATCTGCAGAACTTAACCAGGTTGCTTCCCCTGTCCAATTTGTCCAGGTGATACATCTGTTTATTAATTTAACAAGGTTTCTATTTGTTTTACATATAACATATTATAACATATTATAACATCATATAACCATTAATCCGGATTTGGTTTCTATTCTTGGTACATACAACCATGAATCCCGAATTTACCCTCTGGCAATCATGGCTAGCTGGGCAATCCCCATTTAAATTTGTCCATGACTTTCCCACTAAAACCATTCTTGACGGGGACTTCCCAGCCATGTTTGATGACGCCATAGAGTAACAAGGTTTTTTCCTTTGTCCAAATGGGTAAAACAATGGTTTTAAAACTCATAAATTAAAATATAACCCGTATAATTATGGTTATATATATCCACTTATAGCTGGAACTGCACTTGTCCAAGTGTCAATATTAACTATTATATGATCCATTATTGATCCAACCATGGTTGAAACCATGAACGTCCAGGTCAATACATTTATCATTGTTACCATTATTGACAATAATATCAACAACTATTTTATCCATTATATAAACCATTTAATATGAACCATTATTACGTTGGAATGAACATTGTCCAACCTTGTTCATATGTCAATACGGTACGGGAAAAAACCAATATAGGTTGGAATATAACCCTTATAACCCTTATAACTTTTATGTTAGAAATAAACGAATAGTTAATTAACTAAATAAATAGATAATTAAATACATAACTAATAAATAAATAAATAAGTAAATAAATAGAAAAATAAATAAAAACCAAAATAAATAAAAATAAATAAATAAATAAATAAACAAATAAATAAATAAATAGATACTGTAACCACCTATAAACCACGTTCAGGTCAATACATCTGTCTGCTGGCCATGTTCGTTTGGATCATCGACATCGGCATCGACCTGCGCCGCACGCTCCACGATTTGGCCTTGGTTGTGCTGTCGCTGCCGCAGACCAAAAGCACGCGCTACGATCTGCGTGTCGAGACAGCGATGGGGGGCTGAAAAGGTCGTGGAGAATTGCTGGTTTCATGTGGCTATGAATCAATACCTATTAATACCATTTTTAGAGGGATGAACATCCATAAATCCCAGCTATTTTGATGTGAACTACCGGGGTACCAGGGTTTTGACAATCTGCCATGTGCTTTTAGCTGCTTTATCTAGCAAAGTACAGGGACTTCACCAGCGCCAAGTGGTTTTTTTTCCCGAAAAATGGAGATAAATCACCATCCAAGATGGTGATTTTAACCATGAAAACATGTGGGATATATATCGAACAAAGCAAAGGGCTTTCGAGTTTTCAACCAGTTGATGATAAGTGAGTTGGTCAACACTAGGCGAAGTGTTTTTATATTTCTGGTGGAACTATCGAACTAGTTCCGTCCAACAAAAACAACAAATTCAAGTGGTGGTCTGGAAGGCCATTTCTGGATGATCCAGGATGATCCAGGGCCATAGAGTTGATTTGATTGGTGTTGAATAGCCTATTCACCCAGAATTCGCCCCAATCCGGGTGTTTTTTATCCGTTGCTAAAGCATAGGCATCCTTAGGCTGTGAATGTAGTGTTTCATAACCTGGGGAAGGGATTCACTGAGTTTTTCCGTTTGACATTTTGTTGGATCCCTTCCCCACCAGGGACTGGCGTTTTGGAGATTGGATCGTTCATCCCTAGGGTCCCGTTGTCTACGCGAATTGGACTGACCAATAGGACTTGGCCTAGCGATGGGGTTGGTCGATGGATTGGCTCAAGGGATTTTTTCTTAACCGGAAACCATCGATTTTCCTACGAAGATCAATGGTGTTTTTTTCCGGTGAAAATTTGTCCCTTAAACCAATCCATTGATCTATTGAGTTGGCGCCAATCCGGGGCGATCGTCAACATAAAACTGCCTCTTTGAGATCCGAAAAAAGCTCAACTTCTCGAGGCGATGGCAAATACATCATCACTGGCGTCTCGTTTCTGCAGAAGGTCTTCGCTTTGATCCTCGGACTCTCCGGACTCCCCGGACTCGATGCCGGAAATGGGACCGTCCTCCAGCGTTTTGAGAGGAGGATCATCTGCAAATTTGGGGATCGCATTGCCATGACTGGAGATCAGCAACTTTTTTTTTTGCGAATTTCCCATTGTTTGGTTTGGGAGCAGAGGACACATGCCTACCGCCCCAGGATGGTGGTGATTTTGCCTCGAACGCTGATCGCAGTGTTCCTTATGTGGTGGCCTGGAGATGAGTTCAGTTTTGGGAATGGAGATGAGTTCCCCATGAAGGCAGGTGGTTTGCTCAGATTCATGACCATTCTCCGCTGATCCACTTTCCAAAACCATCCAAAACCATCTTCTTGGGGAGGTATTTAGGGTACATATATAGACATGGCAGTCTGGAGATCTGGAGAAGATGAAACTAACCCATTCTGGTGGTTGAACAAAACCCGCTGTCATAATTGTTATATTATTATAATCCTGCACATTCTCATACTCTTTTTCTGTATCGCGACTCCAAAATAGATCAAAGCGGACCGATTTCCACAAAGTCCCGCCATTTTTTCTCCATTTCTCTCCGATTTCATCTGGGGACCACTCTAAGTGAATAGGATTTGGAGTTTACCCTCTGGTAAACATACAAAAAGCTATTGAAAATCGCCCAGTTGAAATTTCGTTGATTTGCCCGGCTATAAAATGGGTGATTTTCCAGTTCGTTATGTAAAAGTTCACCAGAGGGTAACCCATCCCCGAAGTCATGATCTTCCCAGGTTTGGGCTCATATATCTTGCGGGCACTCTGAACGTGGACGACCTGACACTCAGGCTGCAAACCGCGCCATTCCAATTGGTAGTTATTTTACATTCCATTCCGGTGTTGGGGTATGTATATATATATAAATACATATACATCTGTATAGTATGGGTTCAAGCATTTTTGGTAGGTGACACGCCAAAGATTGTCGTTTTTCCAACGATGTTTGTGGATTGAACATATCCATTCTTACAGGATACATTGCTATGATTGGGAGGATCCTCCAGTTGGGGCCCAGCCCTTTTTGTCTAGCGGTCTAGCCCAACTCTGGTGGTCATTGCGATGGATCCTGGAACGAACTCTCGAACAGATAGAAAAGTCGGAAATGTGGCAAGTATGGGGATACCCTCTGGTAAACATACAAAAAGCTATTGAAAATAGCCATAGAAATAGTTGACTTAGCCATAAAAATGGTGATTTTCCAGTTCGTTATGTGAACGTTTACCAGAGGGTATCATCCGTAAGATCCTGGAACAAACTTTGCCGTCTCTTTTGAGACTCCGATGTCAGTAGGACCGGATTTTGAAACTCACATCCCATAGGACTTGCTTTTGGTATTTCTAGTCATCCAGTCATCCCATTACCACTAAGGGGCCTCTCATTATCACGATTTCTAGAGTCATCATTCTTTCACTACTAGAAATATTATTATCATAGTAAGAATGTCTCTGTTTTTGGTTTCCCAATGTTTCCCACAGTAAGCCGGCCCCTTTTCCCCACCCAAGGATTGTGAACGTCATGGCGTTGCACTTCGTCACCCAGGTGGACGAGTTTCTGTTTGAAGCGCTGGTCCCACGGCGCATGGCCAACATGGTGAACTCTATGGCGATTCAGGCGCTGCAGCTGGGAGGCTGCTGTTCATTGATGTTCTTGGCTCGTCATATTCCAAACATGAGATATTTAGTATGGTTCATTATACCAATATTCTGATATTGTTCATTAAAGCAATATTCTGATATTCTTCATTAAACATTGTTCAAACATGAGATATTTGGATTATATCTTGAAGTATAATTATGTTGGATATTGAATTGTGATTGTAAGTAGGATATTGATGGACATTCTTGTGTGTTTCGCACATTGATGTGTCATCTTGTAAGATTATCCATGCATATTGTCACAACTAGACTTTGGGTACTTTTGGAGAAACCTTTTTGCTCATCAGCCCTTGTGGAAGTTTATTGCTACATTCCACAATAACCTGTGTCACACATGCGCCGTGGTCAAAACATACTGCTGTGTGCAGTATCTTTGCAAGTTTCAACCTCATACCTCCGCCACCTGCGCATGGAGTATGAGACAGTGGTTGAGTCCGCACGCTTCCTGTCAAAACATGGTTTGTTTTCTCATAGAAGGGGATGGTCATACGCCCATCAATAGGGTTTAATATACCCATTGTAATGATTCCCAATATAGGATGGATGACCATAGCCCGTATACCATGTTTTGACGATGTGACATAGTCATGGGCAAAGCTACAGTTCCTCACCCTCCAGCGCAGGTCTACGTCTCGCAGCACCACACCTTGCTGCCCTCGGAGCTTCTGCGTGGTCGCGTGGGCGTGAGCGGGTGCCTGCCGCCCGAGAGCCGACGGGGTCTGAGTCTGTCCATCCAAAGCTTCTACGCGCCCTGGTGGTGCGAAGGTGCTGATGTGATATGCTTTGGTGGTTTATACCCTCTGGTAATTTAACATAGCTATTGAAAATGGCTATTTATAGTGAGTTTTCCCATTAAAAATGGTGATTTTCCATAGTTTTGTTAGTTTACCAGAGGGTAATGGTCTATACACATGTGACCTCACGTCGTGACACTGGAAACATGGTGAATGTTGGGGAATCATCCCAGATGGAAGCCGTATTTCAGGGTACTGAAATACTCATCATTGACCCAGATATGACTGTTTTTTTTGGGAGGGGTTGATGCAGTTGGGGGACCATGCCATAGTCTATGGGGTCACATGGGGATACTTTCTACACATGGGGATGATACGTTATTCTACTGCCCAGGTGCGTCCCATGGATCCCATATTCCCACCCGTAAACAGCAAATGGAACGCGCCTTTGTTTGAAAACATGGTAGCCCTCAACTCCAGGAGTTATCTAAATCTTCCCCCAGACAACAACACGGCAGGAGTTCCGCGTCGAAACCAGGTCGAAATCCAGCTTTTTTGGCCAGACCCGAATGAACAGTGATCAAAACACTGGTTGATGCCTCAGTGCAGAGGGTTATACTACCTGGTTTGTTAGGGATTATTATCACCAGTAACGGGAACCCCTATCCACCGACCAGGGTGAAGGGATAGCAGTAGCTTGTTTTCATCACAGCACATCCTCCATTCCAAGTTCGAATTTCATCAGTTCCAGTTTCTCTTTGTTTCCCATAGTTTCCCCACATTTTGACTTACTGGACTTACTGGTGCTAAACGTAGAGAATGGATGGGTTGCTGGGGGTTGCTGGGATGATTATTACTAGTGATGACTGGGATCATTCCCGAAAATTCCCTGCGTAAAACGCACCAGTAAGTTGAGTGTCGCTCAGGCACTCTTCAGGGTCTTTTACATCCTGGCCATTCTGCTGGCCTCCTGGTACTATTTCTTGCAGCCCGTGCAGGCCTCGGCGCAGAATGCCTACGAGGCCCTCTGTGGCCATGTGGCCCGGCGATGAACGGTCTACGGTGATCCCGCAACGTTAGGGAAGTTGGTTGAATCGAAGCTTTATGGAAGACTAATGGAAGGTTTATGGAAGATATATATAGATAGATAGATAGATAGATAGATAGATAGATAGATAGATAGGTAGATAGATAGATAGATAGATAGATATACGTATATATATATATATATACATACATGATAAATCTATATAGAATCTAGAATCTATAGGGTATAAACAACTTACATCTGGGGGGCACCACTTTGTACCAGCCACGAGGTTTTCTTTGTTACTGAAGGCCTCCTTCCGTCTTGATCATAGTGAAAAATCACAGCCACCCCCCCTTGACGTCCGAGAATTGATGTGATGTAACGGACAATTTACAGGACACCCTTGTATTTGGGGTATGATTTTGGGCTTAGAAATTCCTGGGTTCCTGCAAGTCTTCCCTTAAAACCCATTGAGTGACCTCTATTTTGAGTTGCTAAATTCCCATCAACGATCAGTAACTCCGAATTTGCAAGAGTGTAAATCCCACAACATCCCTATGCGAAACCCGCCTCAGGACACCACCTTCACCTACATGCTCCACCCTGTGACCGGCACGCCGCTCTTCGCCCATGTGGACCTGTTGGAACCGGGCCGACGCGATCGGGAGGAGCTGCGCTGTTTCTATGCCGCGCAGTATGAGATGGTGAAGATAAGGTGGGGTGGGGATGGAGGGGATGGAGGATGGAATACTGTCATCAACCATCCATGAACCATCATTAATCATCAATGGTAAGTTTCAAATGGGTTTTAATGGGATATGAGTTGGTCTGAAAGTAGAGTATACCCAGGATATGGCTATTTTCATGGGACAAATGGGGGATGGGATGCTTAACATATTGCTATTTTAATGGGACAATGATCATTAGATTGGGATGGGATACTTAACACATCAATCATAGATGAGATATGGCTATGCTAATATGGTGATAAGATGGATGAGATGAGATACTTATCCATCATGGTTCATGATTTTCCCATGAGGATACTTAACATTAATCATCATCTGTTGGTCAATGTTAGTGGGATGTTGATCGGATATGAATGGGAACATGAGAAAATTAATTCGATATTTATGGGATGGGACCATCATATGTTAACCATCCCATTTTACCATTTGATGACTAGTTGAATGGGATTTGATCATTCACCATAACATTTTTGGTGTAGTCTAGTTTCAGACACTGCCGTATCCAACTGAGCAGTGGCTAAGCGGCTAAAGACATATAGTGGGATATGACACCTGGATTTTAAGCAGTAAATATGGGGATATGAATGATAAATGATGAGGTTGGTTGATAACTATATGGCAGTTATACGACTGTATAAAGTGATGATCATCATCCCTGAGGAGGGGAATCTCGTTCTTAACCAATCAGGATGGACCAGGATGGAGGGAGCAAACTGTGAATTGAGCTTTTTGGCAACCCTGAAAAGACAAAAGTTGGATGAAGTTGGTCAATGTTTAGTAAAATAGTGGAACATGACTTTTCTACCTTTTTTAGGGGGTAAGATATATGCATATACTGTATATATATATATATATATAAAATGATATATGTTCAGATATGTTTAGATCCAATATTAAATTGTGTAATTATTCTATATCCAGCAGCATATATTATATGTATACATAAATTAGATATGGTATCTCCAGGCTTTGCAGATGGGGCAAACCACCCACGGATATGGGATACACAACCAATATAGACCAATATGGCGTATTCCTTTGGGGGTACCCTTGAATTTTCCTGATGTAGGATATCAAACAAATTATAGGGATATCTTATGTAATGTACGGGGATTATATACATATATGCGTGTATACTACTGTGTATTACATGTATATCTGGTCAGTTTTGCTGTACTGAGTGTGCCAGTCTTGCCGCCCAGGGCAGGATTTCAATCCGACTTGATGCCAGAGAATAGCACCCTGAATGCGATGATCGCAGGCTTCCATCCGGCGTGCAACCTAGCTGCAGCCGGAGCCTCCAAAGTCTCCATAGAGAACTGGGGGTCACCTTGTCAAGCGTGTATACCGTATACCTAAAAAATCCTAAGTACTTAACAAGAATGGGTTAAATTTTAACATACCCTCTGGTTATGACTAACAGTTCGCCATGAATTAAATCACCATGCTATTAATAGGTAAACGGTAAACCATCTATTTCTATGGGCCATCTACTGTATACCATGGCTATGTTAAATAACCAGAGGGTATAATGTTTATTTATAATCACTAATTAACAGTAATATATATTAATATATCACCTTTCATAAACCATAGTAATCATTGGTTCAATGATCAATGTTCCAATCATAAATTGCCACACATCCCATGCCACCAGAGATCTCACCAGGTCACTTCGAGGCCTCCAGCATCGGTGCGCGCGCCTGTCCGGAAGAGAGTCTGTCGTACTTCGAGCGCGCCAAACTGTTGGGCGAGGAGGGCTTCTACCGCAACCCCCAGGAGTGTCGGGACCAGGACGGGGACCGGGCGGCTGGGGGGATTTTGGATTGGAAGAATCAAGGGATTTGAAGGGGAAAGAATTGTGGGGTGGACCTGCAAGTTCAATTTTCGAACATTGTGGGTGCTAGGTGGAGGGGACATGGAGCTCTGTGATGAATTGCCCAGTGGGACAGTGCTGAGGGGTCATGCCTGACTTTGGCAATCCTGGACAAGGGCATACTTTGAAGCCCCTTTTGTGATTCTTGATTTCCGTCGAATCATTGTCTAACTAAGCAAACTACTGCAATTGGCAACTTTGGCAGGGCCCACTGTGAAGACTTTATCCACATCGTTTGCTAGTGACATCGAATCGTTGTAAATCTATATAGTCGAAGGAAGTTTAGAAGTCAAAGTTCCGACAATATGGACAGATGAAAAGCAGAGGTGGGCGGAGTCAGAGAAGAGAAGAAAAGAAGAAAGAAGATCAGGGAAGAGAAAGAGTCAGAAGACAGAAGATGCGGGTGCACAAAAAGGTAGCAAAGTCGCACAACACTGTGTTTTTCCAATGATTTGTGGCTCCGGAGGGTCGAAAAGTAGGCTTGCTAAAGCGGCGGGTGCGGAGCCATGTGGTCAGATGAGAGATGAACAGTTGCAAGCCGTTGTGGCGCGAAGCACATCTCCAAGTCAAAATGCACAAAAAACAACAACATCGAACCACTTTTGGAAGTTGTGATGTCGAAAAAGTGCACGCCGTTGTGGCGCGAAGCACGTTTCAAAGTCAAAAGTGTTAAACACTGACGGTCTCGGAGCACTTTTGGAAGTTGAGACGTCGAAAAAATGTGCGCCACAGGTCAAAACGTACAAAGCACACCAGGTTCGGACCACTTTTGGAAGTTGAGATGTCGAAAAAGTGTACGCCGTTGTGGCACGAAGCACATGTCCAAGTCAAAATGTTAAAAACACCACATGCTCGGACCACTTTTAAAGGTTCAGATGTGGTTTTGCGTGGCAGGCGTAGGGTCAAAACTAAGCAAAACTTGGGGGTTTTGTAGCATTTCCAAAAACAATGGCAGGCGTGGGACATTTGAAGAGGATCTGCAAAGATGCATTTCACGTGGCAGGCGCAGTACAAGAGACATGTTCATCAGAGATGTTAGGAGGTCCGGGCACTGATTCCTGAGAGGGGTTGCATTTTGTAGCATCAGATCTTCAGTTTTGGGAAGATGATTTTGCGTGACAGGCGCAGGACTTAGTAATTTTTGTGGCAGGCGCAGTACTTTAGACAGGTGGAGTGGTACAATTGCAAAACGCATTGGTAAGAGGCCGTCAGCTCTGCACTCAACTTTTCAGTTTTGAAGGAAGTCTCGCAGAATTGCTGCGTTTTTGGTGTTGTCAACTTCGAAACTTGAGGAAGTCTCGAAGAATTGCTTCGTTTTTGATGTTGCCAACTTCGAAATTGAGGAAGTCTCGCAGAATTCAAGTTCAACTAGACGACGGATGGCCCGAGAGCGTAGAGGAGCAGGGTCTTCTCTTGTTAGTATGGAGACACAATTTTACAAACAATATATGAAAGATGTGTTATAGGCAGTCGAGAAGAGAAGTAGCAAGACAAAATAGTGAGAAGTGCAAGACAATAGTTTGCATCGCAAACACTTTTACACACAGACGCTTTTACACACAAAAGTTTTTACACACAGAAGCTTTTACACACAGAAGCTTTTACACAGAGGCTATTACACACAAAGCTGTTACCCACAGAAGCTTTTACATACAGACGCTTTTACACACAGATGTTTTTACACACAGACGCTTTTACACGGACACTTTTACACACAGACATGTTTACACACAGACACTTTTACACACAGACCTTTTTACAGACAGGAGCTGCTTTTACACACAAACGCTTTTACACACAGACGCTTTTACACACAGACACTTTGACACACAGACGCTTTTACACACAGACGCTTTTACACACAGAGACTTTTACACACAGACGCTTTTTACACACAGGCGCTTTTACACACAGACAAGAACGGCACAAGTAAAATCGCACTTTTACCTCAGTTTTTGCCGATCGACCTTCATTTCGTGCGAAAGGGTTGCTCCGGCACAAGTAAAATCGCACTTTTACCTCAGTTTTTGCCGATCGACCCTCATTTCGTGCGAAAGGGTTGCTCCGGGACAACTAAAATCGCAGTTTTACCTCAGTTTTTGCCGATCGACCCTCATTTCGTGCGAAAGGGTTGCTCCGGCACAAGTAAAATCGCACTTTTACCTCAGTTTTTGCCGATCGACCCTCATTTCGTGCGAAAAGGTTGCTCCGGCACAAGTCAAATCGCTTTTACCTCAGTTTTTGCCGATCGACCCTCATTTCGTGCGAAAAGGTTGCTCCAGGACAAGTCAAATCGCAGTTTTACCTCAGTTTTTGCCGATCGACCCTCATTTCGTGCGAAAGGGTTGCTCCGGGACAAGTCAAATCGCAATTTTACCTCAGTTTTTGCCGATCGACCCTCATTTCGTGCGAAAGGGTTGACGTTTCGTGACTCGCCGCCGGCACCACCCTCGGCCTTAAGAGAGAAAGATAAAAAGAAGGCATGAGAGAGAAGGTGAGCAGGTGTGAAGATAAGAAGATGTGAAGATGAGCAGATGTGAACATGAGCAGATGTGAAGATGAGCAGATGTGAAGATGAGCAGATGTGAAGATGAGAAGATGGGAAGGTGTGAAGATGAGCAGATGTGAAGATGAGCAGATGTGAAGATGAAAGATGTGAAGAAGAAGATGTGAAGATGAGCAGATGTGAAGATGAGCAGATGTGAAGATGAACAGATGTGAAGATGAGAAGATGTGAAGATGAGCAGATGTGAAGATGAGCAGATGTGAAGATGAGCAGATGTGAAGATGAGAAGATGTGAAGATGAGAAGATGTGAAGATGAGCAGATGTGAAGATGAGCAGATGTGAAGATGAGCAGATGTGATGGGAAGGTGTGAAGATGAGCAGATGTGAAGATGAGCAGATGTGAAGATGAGCAGGTGTGAAGATGAGAGGATGTGAAGATGAGAGGATGTGAAGATGAGCAGATGTGAAGATGAGAGGATGTGAAGATGAGATGTGAAGATGAGAAGATGTTTTACAGACCCCCACTATTGGAAGAACCCTGCGCTCAGACGCTCTCGGGAAAAATTGAGGAAGTCTCAGGATTCAGGATTGCTGCGTTGTTGATGTTGTCAAGTTCAAAAACTGAGGAAGTCTCGCAGAATAGCTTCGTTTCCAAGCTGGCAGATAGACAGATAGATAGGTAGACAACTAGAACTACAACTACCGCTACACTAAACTACTACTACAAAAACAAATGCAAATGCAAATATGCTACGCCACATGGAATTACACTACGCTACAGTACACTACGCTACGCTACGCTACACTACGCTACACCGCACCACACCACACCACACTACACTACACTGCACTACACTACACTACACTAATTACATCTAATTACATCTAGTTACATCTAATTACATCTAATGACATCTAATGAGATCGAATTACATCTAATTACATCTAATTGCATTTAATTACATCTAATTACACTACACTACACTACGCTACACCAATTACACTAATTACACTAATTACACCAATGACACCAAGTACATTAATTACACTGATTACGCTAATTTCACTAATTATACTAATTATACTAATTACACTAATTTCACTAATTTCACTAATTTCACTAATTACACTAATTACACCAATTACACTAGTTACACTACAACAACGACGACGACGACCACCACCACCACCACCACTACCACCACCACCACCAACAGCACCAACACCACCACCACAGCCACAGCTACAATTACAATTACAACTACGCTACATTACACTACACTACACTAATTAGACTGCAGTACGCTACAACTACAAATACAAATGCAGCTACAACTACACTACATTACACAGCGCTACACTACACTAATTAACATACATTACACTACAGCTACAACTACAACAGCAACTACAACTACAACTACCACTACATTACACTGCACTACGCTACACAACGCTACACTAGAACTACAACTACACTACTTTACACTACACTACAGTAGACTACACTACAGGACACAACACTACAGCACACTATACTATTCTACATTACATTACAGAACACTCATGACACCACACCACACCACAACTACCTGCAACTACACTAACTACACTAATTACACGACACTACAACTACAACTCCACTACACTACAGCTACAACTACAGCTTCACTACAGCACACTACATCCAGCAGTTGTGGGTGAGGTGACCACTGCAACCGTTGCAACCACTCCAAAAAACACAACTCCAACCACCTTTCGGTCCATCAGTGGATTCGCTCTGCCATCCATGCATCACAACAACTCACCTCTCCTATAGGGTCCTATCTTTGAAACTTCCACCGCCTTGTGCGGTACTACTGGTAGCAATGACTGAAACCTACCAATCGTAAGATGCCTGAGCAATGAGGTATAGACAAATTAAGTCTATTGATTTGCTTTATTGACCGCAACATTGCTTCAAACAGCGCTTGAGGCTCCCATACTGCTGGTCCCCTGGTGCTGTGTCAACTCAACGGTCTCCCTGGTTTTTCTGTTGGTTTCATAGTTCATAGATACGCATTTGCTTCGGAAGTTCGCTGCATCCCAAGCCCTTTGGCACGATGTGGCACTCAGGACGTGTTCTTTCAGGTGCTCCGTGGCGTATGTAGCCACCCGAAGTTCACCCAGCAGAGCGCTGGAGAACTGGATTTCTTTCGAGAAACCTTCAGCTGCAGCGATCTCAGGACGGGGGCATTGTGAGGGACTAACTATGACTAACAGCGTGTTTAGGGAAAGAGCTGGTTAGCGAGTCGGTCCTGTCAAAAACTGAGGGTAATTGCACTTTTCTAGTTAGTTTCTATAGAAATGGGATACTTAATCCAATGGTGATATATGTATATTACTGCATATATATATATGTTGCGTAATGATCCGCTACCAAGCAGTGGCGAATTCGAATAAAGAATGCCATTGGGGTACTCCAACTGCATTCACTAATTGTTTATGATTTCGAAGTGCTAGTCAACAAACGTACAGTCATATACATAGAAAATACATGGATATGCATGGAACACACATATATATAACCGGCAATTTCATCTTTGTATCCATATATATATATACATATATATAGACATATGAACAGTGTTGGTAACCAGTAGCAGTTGATGATTGCATGATACTATCCTACCCAATATATTTAAAATGGTCATCATCCATCATGAGACTCCCTATTAACGAGGCAGTTTTTCAAGGGATGGGTTTGTCTGAATATGGGGTGCCCCTAATTCCAATGGAGTATGATCCATATCTTATTGAAATGGTTCCCTATAGAGGCTATATACCTCATTTCCAACCAAACCTTAGTTATTGGAGTTATAAACTAGCTTGGCAAAACAAAACTGGTGCACCAGTTTTTTGGGATATGACCAAATACTCCCAAACATACTAAACGCCACTCAGAACCAAGCCTCGGCCGTTACGCCAGGGGTCTCTGTCATTTCAGCCCCAGCCATGCCATCTCCTTGCCGTGGTTCTGGCAGCTGCAGAAGACTTGTCCTATGACCTGTGGCATGTGCGCAGCGGCTGCACCCAGGTAGCGCCGGTAGCGCCATGAGAGATATGATCAGAATCACAGTTGTGGAATGTTTATATCTCCATTTTTTTCAGACTCATAGAAATCTCGAATCATCTCAAATGTCATACATCTCCACTTATGTGCTTTTAATTGACAAGAAGAACGAGGAAATTCCCATTGCCCGGTGAGATTGCTGGAGTGAAAAAGGGTCAAGGCGCAACAAAGAGTGCGCAGCGTGCAGCGTCGTGGATGCTGTGCTTAGAAAAGGTTCGATTGAAAAAAATACCCCGTTGGGTTATTTGGACAGACCATACTACCTGGTTTAATGGGGGTTCTTATAACCCATAGTAGGGAAACCTATCAACCAACTAGCATAATGAGATGGGATAGGGGTATTTGTCATGGCTCATGTCACTGTTGGAGTCTGGGGCAGGGTTTGCGCGAGGAGCGCCTTCTTTCAGGCTAAGGTTTAGGAGCTTTTCCACCCTTTGAGACCAACAAAAAACGGGATGAAGGTGTGAGTGAACAATATAAACATATACAATATAACTATATACTACAATGCATCTGAAATAGACTATTGGAGTTCAAAGCGACGTGTCTGCCTTTTGTGCTTCACTGGTTGATTTTCCTGCAGGAAATATCAACTCACCATTCCCCAGCCAAAATCTAATCATGCTATACATAGATAGCTGCGATTCAGATGCGAGAACTAAGGACCTTCGCAACTTTTCCAACGCATGGCTAAGACGGTTTGTTTTGCACATTACCTAGATCCGGCATAAGCGTGGGCTTCTGTTTTGATCTGCTGCCACCACCCTCCAAGCACGATGACAGCGACGAAGCATGGACCATGACGTCACCTGGATGGAGACATCTTCAAATGGCTCTAGGAAAACACAACCGCAAACTTGGCCACTGGCATGAATCTTCAGATTTTCGCCATCGCTGAAACTAGGTCCTTCAGCCATCGCGCGTCTTCGCTTAAAGCCCAACCGTGGCTTTGCTGTCCTGGTTCCGTGCTGATTAGAGGAGCTGTTCTCGGGGGACTGGGAAGCTGGGATCTGAAGATATTTGAACTATGGTCATGTTGCGGTTCCCGAAGTGAAGAGCAGCATCACTCTGATATTTTTTTGTGTGCCTTCACCTGGGATGGATATCCAACTCAGAATTCTGTGTCTTTTTCTGTAGCATTTCTATTCCAGCAATTGGGGAATTCCTTGGGAATTCCTGAGCAAATCCTGCTGCTATGGCCTCAATTTTCTACACATCAAGATGTATTGGGCATTTCCCAGTGGCAGAAATCTGTGGAACTCACGGAACTTTGGGATATGAGAATTTTCTCAGGATCTAATGGGATATCATGTGGATATAGTGGGACAACCATGGGAGAACAATGGGATCATCATATCAACTGAATTGATTCCTTAATTTCCTTAGAACCTGTTCCAGCTTGTTGAATTCATCTTTGGTAAGAACATTCCGGTCCTCACATCTTCTGGACCCGGCGATCGGACTCCGAACTCAGGGTTTCTCACATGTTTCTCTATTTTTGGGGGCGGAAAAGCGGGCACGCCTTTGCAAGAGGTGGCTTAAGCAGACGTACGCCGGCATTATAATGATCTAAATTCTAAACATCATAATGATATAGCTGTAATGATCTAAATTATAATGATCGGTGGATACCGAGGGGTCTGGTTTTTGTCATTTTGTTGTCAACATTGTCACTATCGAATTCTTGAGGTTGCTCAATTTCGACCCATTCCACTGGCGGCTAGTGTTTTTTTCATTTTGAAAGAACGTACTGTCATCTTATTAGGCAGAGAGATCGCACATAGTTGATCAAATATTCCATACCATTCCATACCCATAAATCCGAATGATGTATTTTGCCCTTCTTCTTTTAGGCATGCTGTGACTTTCAGGGATAAGGAGCCAAATTAGTCTATATATATTTTCTTGTCTACCTACATCTCTACACGCCACCCGTAGTCTGGTACACACACACACATACATGCATATATATATATATACATATATATGTATATATATATATACATACAAGCCCAGACGATAAAACATCCGGATATCATCCCGGACATCTATTAGCTATATCTATATCTACATGACATATCTACATGTATACAATCTGTGTATAAGCATTAGGTGTCAACAAAAAACCATGTTTTGGTGGCCTCCAGGTCCAATGCCACAAGTGATGAATGACATTACCAACCTTTGTGGAGGCGGGGATAACACGTTGGCCACGACGAAGCGCTGGGGTCGAGTTTGCTTCGGTGAATGGGTTGAATGGGTTAGCAACTTGGAGACCGAAGCCTGCCAAATCGCTTACCCATTGACACCCTCTCAGACTCATTCATCTGGTAGGGGGAAATCCTCATTCTTCAATAGGAAGTCAGCTATGCATGCTGGACGTTCCATTATAGGCAGGCCACTGCAGCAATTTGCACCCCCGGAGACTGAGCAATGTGCCTTAGAAAATATACTGTACCATTGTAACCTTCGAATATTCCAAGCTTACTGTTTCTAATTTGAATTTCCAAGTGATTCCATTTCTTCGGATTTTTTAAAACTATACTAGTTGCAGTATGCCCAGCTATTTCCCAGCAGTTTCCTTTGATTATTACAGGGTGTCCCAGAGTTAGCTGAGTTAGCATATAACTCTAATAGCTTTAGGTTTTTTTTTGGGAGTTTTATCCAAAGTCAACGGGGGTTTTGTCAGTTTTGTCAGCCAACTTATTTCACTGGGGGGGGTACTATCCTGATTGTTGATCCTTGGAGGCCTTTCACCATTGACGAAGTGGGATGGTCCTCCTTATAACAGGCAGATCATTTGTAAATGGCTGGATTTTTTCTTATGTTGAGTAACCAGAGGGTATCATCCCCATTCTTATGGCTTAAATTTCATTGAATCCCACTAATTGTCATTAAATCTCATGAATTTCCATTAAATCCCATGATTTTGATTAAATCCGTTAAATCCCATTAAATCCCATTAAATCCAACATGTTTCCGTGGAAACTCACCGTGGAAGGCGTGGAGAGTCATTGCGAAAAGCAAAAGGTGACCCACACCGGACTCGGCGGCAAAGAGAACCAGGCGCCGTGGCGGAACTTGGAGGTACTGTAGTAAGGGGGGGGTCATGGGGTTATAGCCATCATGGGAGTACAATGCGTAATACAAGTAATATCTCTATCTCTGTCTCTATCTCTATCTCTATCTCTGTCTATCTGTCTATCCATCTAATCCAATCTAATCTAATCCAATCCAATCTAATCCAATCCAATCTAATCCAATCTAATCTAAACCTACCTATCTACCTATCTACCTATCTACCTATCTACCTATCTACCTATCTACCTATCTACCTATCTACCTATCTACCTATCTACCTATCTACCTATCTACTTATCTATCCAATCCAATCCAATCTAATCCAATCAAATTTAATCTTATCTTATCTATCTAATCTATCTATCTGTCGGTCTGTCTATCATTCTATCTGTCTATCATTCTATCTGTCTATCTATCTAATCCAATCCAATCTAATCTAATCTGTCGAATCTATCTAATCTATCTAATCTATCTAATCTATCTAATCTATCTATCCTATCTAATCTATCTAATCTATCTAATCTATCTATCCTATCTAATCTATCTAACCTATCTAATCTATCACTCTATCTGTCTATCTAGCTATCTAATCTAATCTAATCTTATCCTATCCTATCCTATCCTATCCTATCATATCTATCGATCTATCTATCTGTACAAATACACCATTGTCATATTACAGTGTTTGAGGTGCTATAAATTCATAGAACACATCCCCGTGTATCGTAAATTCTGTCTGTAAATGTGAAATTGGGTTTGTGATGTGGGTACAGTGGGACTAGATGACTTGGGGTCGTTTTCAAAATCTCACAGGTTAGTTTTTTCTCTTGCCATGATTGATGGAGGACACTGGTTTGGGTATGTCCCCAAACCTGCGCCCACATATGGCCACATTCACTCACACAGAAAACTTGTCTATTTCAACATTATCATCTTAAAAAGATGGGATTTTATTGCGGTTTGGAGGGGCACAAACAATAATAATCCCCCGGCCGCAACACCACGAGACTTCGATGTCTGAGGAGCCGCCAAGCTTGACCGGCAAAGGCAGCTGGATGGGGTGCTCCAAAAAACAACAACATGGCCACGTTGCTATCCAAAAAAATCGTTGGTATCCAGAGAAAATGCCATGATTTGTCCGGAACAATGACGCCATCGTGGGCGGCGAATGGTTGAAACAAGCGAATGGTCAATCTTGGGTGTCGGTCTTGGATGGTGGCTGTACTGGATGTTATTTTGAGTCTCTTGCTGTGGGGATATAACATGACGACCTAAGATTCGCCATGACACTTTCCACCATGGGTTTTCCCATAGTTTCGTTTGACCATAGGAATTTGCTGCTATTCTTAACAGGGTAACCTGTTGAGTTTTCCATGTTGTATAATACAAAATTTCAATCTTGTATGGTTATAGCATGTTATAGCCCCCCAAAAACCCAAGGTGCGATGCCGGAGAATCCATCCCATGTGCAGGCGCTTTCTGTCCAGTAAAGGCGACCAAGCCTCGTGAGGCTCAGGCGCCGCAAAGTTCTCTTTGATCTCTGGGGATAAAAACAGGGATGTTATCATATCAATGGGAGATCTTCAGGATCCAATTGATGGAGGTACGTTAGTACTATATTTCTGGCCATATTTTGCTGGGATATTTCCTTACGCCGGACATACGCCGGACATTTTTCGGCCTTATATATGGAATCGGTACCTTCAATTTAGGTTCCTGAAATGGCCATTGATCATACGGTGGATGGTTGCGAAATCCGAATCACCAGTTGATAGATGGTTTATCCCATGTATAAGGTTTCAACCATCCAAGGTGGTGCAGGATTTCGCAACCATCCACAGTATCATATCTAAAGGATGTAGTGGATTCTGACCGGATCATATATATCATAGATATTTTTGGGCTGAGGTAAACACTTGAGGTTGTAGTGGTGAGTATAGATATATCCAGGAAATATGAGGATTCCTCTGGAAATGCAATGGGACGTACTCGGTGTAATGGTGATGTACTGGATGTGCATAGTTCTGGAATCTACATGAAAGAACTTCTAGTAGGGACATTGCTGACAATCTGGGATAATTATTGAGATAGTAATGATGACTTGGGACAGTGTCAAGACCCTGCAGAACTTTCAGCTAAAACGGGACGCGACCTGACCGCGACATCGTAAACGATGGTTTGAATAAGGAACCAACTCAAATCATCTTATATCAGCTTGGTAAATTTCTACAATTCGGCCAGAAAAGAGTCAGGAAAGCGGTGATGGCTGGTGTGTTAAACCATTTCCAAGTGATATTAACCCAATACTTCTATGTTGATATTTCGGGAAGTGGCAATTTTGTTGTTTCTCAACCCATGTCGGATTTATGGTTTCAAATTTCTTCGCATTCAACCCCATGATGATAACCATCGACCAAACCATAATTCTCAGAAGGTTTGAAACCACAAACCAATCAGACATTGTTCATCTATGAAAAATTGATGGTTACTGGTTGGTGAATAATGTACACCCATCATTAGATGAACCAGATGAACCATCATTTTTTGATTTGTTGGTGAATACAGTATACAGTATACCCATCAAAAAATGCTCGTCATGTCCCTGTGATAAAACCTGTGTTTGGCTACCCCCATATCATGGGTTGAAGCCACCAATGAGGCTAAGAAAAAGTTACACCCCCCTCAAAAGCAGGGATGTAGTGGGATATATAAATATATCGGATACCCTCTGGTAAACTAACTTGACTATGGAAAATCACTGTTTTCAATAGGTAAATCAATATTTATTAGATGGCAATTTTCCATAGCTTTTTGTTCCCCAAACAGTGTGTCCACACTGAGGGGTTCTTACGGTAAGAGTAAAGGCCGGTGCTTGATCTCACTCTGGGCGGCGACATTTTCCCAGTAAATTTCCGTATAAAGTGGCTCTTGTGAAATCTTGACATGGGTTTCGACTGCGCAGGCACGCACAAAGTCTGCGGCGCGGTTTTGGCCTGCGGCATTTTACCTGTAAATTTCCCTATAAAGTGGGTCTTGTGAAATCTTGACATGTGTTTCGACTGCGCACGCACGCACAAAGTCTGCGGCGCGGTTTTGATCTGCGGCATATTACTCGTACCTGTAAATTTCCTTATAAAGTGGGTCTTGTGAAATCTTGACATGCGTTTCAACTGCGCAGGCTCACACAAAGTGTGCGGCGTGGTTTTGGCCTGCGGCATTTTACCTTTAAATTTCCCTATAAAGTGGGTCTTGTGAAATCTTGACATGTGTTTCGACTGCGCACGCACGCACAAAGTCTGCGGCGAGGTTTTGATCTGTGGCATATTACTCGTACCTGTAAATTTCCTTATAAAGTGGGTCTTGTGAAATCTTGACATGCGTTTCAACTGCGCAGGCTTGCACAAAGTCTGCGGCGTGGTTTTGATCTGCGGCATTTTACCTGTAAATGAAATCTTGACATGCGTTTCGACTGTGCAGGCTAGCACGAAGTGTGCGGCGCGGTTTTGGTCTGTGGCATTTTATCCGTAAATTCCGTATAAAGTGGCTCTTGTGAAATCTTGACATGCGTTTCGACTGCGCAGGCTCGCACAAAGTGTGGGTTGCGGCTCTGGGCCCCGGCATTTTTCCTGTGAATTTCTGTAAAAAGTGGCTCTTGTGACATGTTGATTTGCATTTCGACTGCGCAGGCTCGCACAAAGTGTGCTTCCCGGTCTTGGGATCGGTCTTCCTCCTCAACATTATCATCTTCCTCCTCAACATCAGCATCATCATCTTCCTCTCCCTTGACACCATCATCCTCAACATCATCATCCTCCACCTCATCTTCCGCAACATCATGATCATCCACCTCATCTTCTGCAACATTCTCAACATCATCATCTTCCTCCTTCTCTACATCATAATCCTCCACCTTTTCACCCTCCACTTCATCTTCCGCATTGTCATCCTTATCATCATCACCATCATCACCTTCATCATCATCATCATCATCATCATCATCACCATCATCACCATCATCATCATTATCATCATCACCATCATCATCATCATCACCATCATCCTCATCATCACCATCATCATCATCATCATCATCATGAACATCACCATCAACATTATAATACATTATCCTTTTATTCCCCCCCACACTGTTTGGGGTTTCTTGCCGGGATAATATGTTTACCAGAGGGTATATTCCATGTTAATAACCACGAATGGTTTTTTTGGAAACATCTAAGCACTCAGCTTTTCTGGCGACCAGATCTGGGATATGATCTACAACGTGACTCACGACCTGGTGCGCTGCTGGGTCTGGTCGCCTTGGATTTGGGCGGCGAGAGAACACTGGAATGATGGGAATTGGGAGGAAAAGAAAACTTGCAAATTCACCAGTCACCAACGACTAGGTTCAAACGGCTACAAACTACCCCTCAAAACTGGCATGGAATCGGCTCAGGGCTGCTCTCAGATTTGATCTGTCAAGTCTCCAACTGGGGCAAAAATCTCAGAAATCACTCGGAAAAATCACGGCTGCCAGTTTTTCCCAGAATTAAATATATATATATATCGATCCCATGAATCAGGGTTCATATATGAGTTAAACAACCAGTTTATGGTCCCAGTAATATGTGGAGGTTTTCTAAAATAGGGGTACACACCCCAAATCATCCAGGTCATGGATGACCATAACTTAGTATTGAAACAACCATGGTGACTTGGGGATCCCCCATGACTTAAGAACCCGCCCATATGTGTATATATGTAGATGTAGATGTGCATGTGTATATATATATATTTCTCCCTCTCTCTCTCTCTCTCTATATATATATATATCCATGTACATGTCATTAGAACCCCCATGTTATATAAATCCCATTAAAACCCATCAATCCCCATGTGTTCACCCCGCCAAGGCCATGAATCGTGGTGATGGTGCAGGTGAGGTCACGCCTTGGATGCACAACTCCGTGGCGTTGCTTGGACTTTTCATGGAGAAAAAATGGGCCATGGGTCAAGTTACCTGTAATTATATATTGGGTAACCATATATTGATGGATGTTGATATATAGGTCAGATTATGTAAAATTACCATATGTTGGGGAAGATTAGGGTACCATAAGGCGTACTTATTTGGGGTATGTTATACATATATGATAGGTGAACCATCTGTTTTGGGTAAGGTACCAGGGTTTTGACTCATAGCCAAATGGTGATCTACAGAAGTGGGGATTCAACTTGATGCGGCAATTATGGGTGATGAAATCCAAAATTACATACCATTTGCGGCTGTTTTTTTTTTCGAAGAACATATGGGTGATTCAACTTCATTCGACCAGACATTAGGGGTTTAACAGGATTTAACCATTTCAAGCGGTGGGTTTCTTAACTCATAATCCCAAGTTATCCAACTTTTTAACCTGTTCGAAAAAAGGGGTTTGCCCAGGCGCGCACGCTTGGATGGCTGGCTCCCATAGATTTGATCTAAACACTTCATTTTGGCCCATGAACTAGCTGCATGTTTGGGAAAACCTTTGATGTTTTGAGAATACCAAACATGAATATCATAGAATTGGATGGGAACATTTACAGAAAACCCATTTTTTTGCTGTTAAAAACCGATGGGTTTCCGGTGTAGATTTTCCCCAACAAACCAATCCATTGAGAAATAACAATTCTTCGGCGTATCTTCCCTGCGTCACGGCCTCGCCTCAGGAAGTTTGGAAATTTCGGGCCACGCGTGCAACAAGCTCTGTTGGTTGGCCTGGATGCGGTAGCAATGCCGTTGGTTGATGGTTAGTTGGGATCAAAAACTAGCTATATCTACCTGGCTATATTGGTGATTATTGGTGATTATATGATTATAATTTATTATAAACATCCAATAGAGGAATCCCTGTCATAATGGCTTGACTTTGGAAAATGAGGGAAAAGTGATGATTAGTTCGGGGATCAAAAACTAACCATTTTCTTTTGGGAAGAGCAAAATCCAATAGGGGAATCCCGTTCTTAACCAACTGGTATAAAAGGACGAACGACACTGGGTAAGACTGGATGTGGGGATAAAGATCATCAAACATCCAGAACTACCAACTATTTTGCTTTGCCAGTGCAAGATTGGATAGACCCAGCTATACATGAGTCATTAATGTGGTAAACTTGGTAAACACAATGATAAACTTACATTTTTTTAAAACCAGCCATTACCGGCCATAAAAATGGTGATTTGATGGATGCTTTATGGCATTGGCCCACATCATCCGCTTACGATTGGGTCCCGCAGGTTACATGGACCACCGGATCTTCCTCCTCCACCACCACCTCCGGTGGGCATTTGGGTGCCTTGGCTGTGAGACAATTCGCTATGGCCTGGGTGCCTTGGCGAGTCATGACAGTGATGGACAATTGGATGCTATCGATTCCATAGATTGCTTAGCACTTGATGGTTTTTACTATGGTTTTTTACAATCTCCCCCTCCCCCAGTCATCACCATAAATTTATGTGGTATATATATATATACATATATATATGTATAAACCATTAAGCCATTTGCCTGTGGACATGCACCCGCTACATTAATGGAGCCATAGGCGACCATCCTCCCTAGCAATTTTCTTGGAGACCATGCATCAGTTTCAGTCTCTCTCTATGCTGGGATGTAAACATCCCACTTTATACCTGGTACGGACAAACATGAACTGGTTGGTGGTTTCAAACACTTGGATGATTTTCCATTTCATACAAGGGATAATCCTTCCCATTGACGAACTCATATTTTCAAGATGGTTAAAACCACCAACCAGTGAAAAACAATACATGTGTCCATGCAAGTCCAGAGAGACAGGTTGCCACCTTCTGCAACCACACGGACCATATTTGTTTGCTTTTTAAGTGAATTACAGCTCCATTCTTTTTAATTTTGCTGGGTAAATCGGAAAAAGGATGAAAAGGGTTGGTTAAACTCATCTATTTTGTGAGTCAAATCCTTCTTGTGAATTCAGATTCCCATTTTGATGCCCCCAAATTCCACATGGGTTTGATTGAATATAGGCTATCCCAAACCCAATGGCTAATCGGCTAATCATCATTTTCCGTATGACCATTTGGCCCCATTTTCAGACAAACACAACTACCCGAATATGATATTTGTTGTTGGCAGTTTAAGTTTTATATCCATTGATTCACACGAATTCGCATAAACTTGCAATTACTTTCATATTTTGATTCCAAAAGATTATAAACCAGCTTAATTATAATATAATAATAAGCAAATGTAGCTTTCGATAACTTACAAATAAATACATAATCGATTCCAAATGATTCTGATTTTCCCTGAGATTCCCATGATATTCCGAGAAACATAGGCTGTTGGGGTCTCTGCCCAGCTTTGCTGTTGGGGATACCACCTCAACAGTGTTCTAAACCCCTGCTGGTTGGTGATCATATGGGGTTATACTGTTCTACTATCCAATACACACACACATATATATATGTATATGTATATATATAATCATATGTATATATATATAATCATATATATATATAAGCATACATACATATATATATATATGTAGTCATATATATATAAGCATATATATATATGTAATATAATCAAATATATTTACATATATATATACAATCACGTGTATATATCTATATTTAATCATTCGTATATAAATATATAATCATATATATATATAATCATATATACATATAATCATATATATATATAATCATATATGTATATATATAATCATATATTTATATAATCATATATATATTTATATAATCATATATATATTTATATAATCATATATATATATTTATATAATCATATATATATATAATCATATATATATATACAACCACGTATATATTTATTTAATCATATATATATAATCATATATATATATAATCACATATATATATATATAATCATTTATATATATAATCATATATATATAGATAATCATATATATATATAATCATATATTTATATATAATCATATATAAATAATCATATGTATATAATCATATATATAACATCATATATATATAATCACACACACACATATATATATATATGTATAATCATATATATATATGTAATCACATATATATATTTATATACACGTAATCAAATATATATATATATATATATAATCATGTATAAATATATATACACATTGGGGATGATCATGTGAGTCCCCATGCTATCCAAAAAAACTTGTTTTTTTTCCACCCTGCAACTGGATGTCCTCCACCTTGCGGAGGCCGTTGAGATGCACTTCCCCAGCGAGGCGCGGATGGTCGCTTTTCAGCCGTCGAAACCGCCATTTTTCATGGCTAAAACCATCATAAAGTGGGAAAAGATACCCTCTGGTAAACGTTTACATAACTATGAAAAATCACAATTTTTAATGGGTAAATCAACTATCAATGGGCATTTTCAAAAGCTTTTTGTATGTTTACCAGAGGGTACATAAAACATAGGGGATTGATCTAAATAGAAGTTGTAGTCTTTTCATGAAAAACATAGAAAACATAGGGGGGGTTTATAAGTGTTTGGAAAATGATGGAGTTTCCATGGAGTTTATGACATGGACTCTAAAATGGAACCATAAACTGCGTTTTCTATTGGAAACACATACGTTTATGGATAAGGCAACTCTTGAACACCAAGAACCACAGATTCACCGGCCAAATTCATGAACACCATCTCTGCGGGATGAGCATTGGACATCAATAAAACCGAGCGCACGAGCTGTGCTGTGAAAACCTGGGCTTTCCTCTGGTTATGACTAACATAGCCATGGTATAGATGGCCCGTAGAAATAGATGGTTTACCTATTAATAGCATGGAGATTTTCCATGGCAAACTGTTAGTCATAACCAGATGGTGTATAGATGATATTTAATGACCTCAAGAATTTGGACAAAGCTTGATGAAGGTGTTTGGAATCTACGACCGATTGCGGATTCCCCAAAAGTCGATGAGAGATGCATAACAGCACCCCGGCTTCGCCGGGGATTGTGATGGATCAAACCTTGTTTGGACTATAAAACTCCTGCAAGACGGGATTCGAAGAGGACTGATGATATCTCCAGTTAGTCGCATACTTACAATGTATATATATATATAGATATACTGTACAACACTGTAAGTGTATTAATCATGAATCCAAGATACATGACCATATATATATATATGTATATATATATATACGTACATATGTGTACGTGTTTATACATCATATGTATACGTATACATCATATGCATACATTGTGCATGCATTATGTATACAGTATGTATACATCATATGTGCACATATGTGTATATACATTATTTATATAGTATTATATAATCATATGTATACATGATGATATAATGATATGTGTATATAACTAGATAATTATGTGTATATATATATAATATTTGTGTAATTCATATATTCTGTTGAGAAGCAGCTAAGTACAATATGACATATGTATCTCTATCTCTCTCTCTATATATATATATACACATAATATTATTTAATCATACATGTATATATATATATATGTATGGTACCTTCCTGAAAAAGTCTATCTCACAGCTGGTGCACATGTCCCCTGTCATCTGTGCATAACTGAAAAAGGTTGACTTTTGAGAGGGGGGTAGCTCTACCAAATTTGACTGAATTTAGTTAAAGTACATGTGAAGTAGGTAAAGGACAAACTGCATACATTGAAAAAACTGAAAAACTGAAAAACTAAAAATTGAATTATTTTAGGAGATCTCAGCGGTAACCCCCCTCCATGTCTGTGAGAAATTCAGTTTTTCAGTTTTTCAGTTTTGGTTCAATTGGACTCGCCACAACCTTTCTGGCTGCATGTGCTGCCATTTAGCTCCCAACTTCTTCATTAAACTCTTCATTCCGGTGCTGTCTCTCCATCATGGTCCTGCGCCGCAAGTTGCGTAGCACAGTTCGCAAAGTGTGGAAGAAGCCGGGCCTCCTGAAGGGAACCGGCTCCATATCGCGAACCCCTGCTATCAAGTCGCTTGGACGAAAGCATCTGCAGCAAACCCTCTCCTGCGAATCATTTCCACTACAAGGGGTCCAGTCTGCCAACATCTGAGGTTTGAAATGGAGTCAGTGCAGCCTCTGTCTGAAGCCGACTCAAACGAGTAGCTCGGCACGGAGAACTCCTCACACAATAGCTTCCTTGATCACTAACTCCTTTCCTTATGTTGTGGAACCCTGCGCCAGCCGAGGTATGAAGATGATTGCTGGGAGCTTCTTGTTTGCAATTTTGCCCCGTACTTCACTTGCTCCAGATGCATGTTGTTCAGCTGTCACTCACTTGTCGTTGGTACTGGGGTCCTTCGGGCCTGCGGTGCTCAGGTCTGCGTGGTGCTTTCCTGTGGTGGCCAACCGGGCACCTGGCACTCCAGCGGGTACCCCCTCCTATGTCTCCACGTACACCGCCTGGACCTCCACCGAGTACTCCCTCTGATGTGCTTTTTATGGTACCAATGACCCCACCGGAGTTGTTAGATCACTTGCTTCCACCTGGCACGCCAGTAGGTGTCGTTTTGCAGCTGCACGCTTTGAAACCCTCTTGTCCTGAGCCGCTTGAACCCTTCATTGACCGTCCCTCGTGCCCCAGGCCCTGGACCCATCACCAAACACGATTGGACCCCGCTTGGAAAGAAGTGGCTAGCCAATCGCAGAGTGATCTTCCACACAGACTCGGCGAGAGCCTACAAGCTCAAATTGCCGAATGTGGTCCATGACTCGGTAGTCCACCAAAAAAACGCGTCAAACAAAATGGGAAGTGGCAATGGACCAAGCCGTCCTTCGTGAAGATGAAGCCTCACAAGCTCCCTGGTGGCAAGCGCCTCAAAGTCAAGTGCGGAACGCACATTGATAGGTGTTGGACATTTATTAAGGAGCGTCTGAAGAAGGGCGCACATGTCCAAGCCGGCTCCATGACTTTGAATCGGAACATTTGTTCTGCCCAATACAAGTATTGGCATCGTGGGGACGACATGTGGGCCTGTACAGGGGAGCTAGTCTCTTCCTACATGTCCGAAATCATCGCCTAAGCCTAAGCTTTGTCAGTCATCAGAAAAAGATTCGTCTGGTTTGCTCATGCTGATGCTTCCGTTTTCTTCCATCAATGCATCTCACCTAAGAATTCCTGCATTCTGTTGCATTTCAGAACCCTCAACATTCATCTCCTCTCTTGCAACTGGACTTTCTGGCTTGCTCTTTCCTCTCTTCACAGCTGGTGCGCATGTTCCCTGTGATCTGTGCATAGCTAAAAAAGGTCGACTTTTGAGGGGGTAGCATATACATATATATATACATATAATTATATATATAATTATATATATATAATTATATATATATAATTATATATATATATACACACATATATATATATTTATATTATAGAGATATAGATGTAGATGTGCTGTGTGTATCATGTTTGCGTGATGTATGCTGGATCTCCATTTGCGACTGTCCAGAACTGGACGGATGATGGGCCGAACAAGGAGATCAAGGAGATCTGCGGACTCATGGCAATTGGGGGCTGCTAGACAGCCCTATTGATGTTCGCATGGGATGTCCAGTTGCGCTAGAGTAAACCAAAGTAGATGTGGAAAACCCAGAGTTTTCAAAGGAACATGATGTACAAATGGTGGGTTTTCGACATATGTCAGTTTACAGGAGGTTTTTTTTGGTTTTCACTCCCAAAAAGGATCAAAAGGGTAGCAAAGGTTGCATAAATTCACCCCCAAAAGTAGTCAACTTTTACTTTTCCACGTTTTTACAAACAGACAAAACCTTGCAGGCGTGTCACAACATCCATTTTTTTGGGGTTGCTATATGGTGTGGCAAGATGTTGGAAACATGTTGTCACCACATCGTAATATTTTTGTTGGATGGGGTCTATTAAATCCCATTGAATGCCAGTAAGTCCCATTAAGTCCCATTGCAGTAAATCCCAATAAACCCATATATGTATATATATGTATATGTATAATATATATATATGTATATATATATATATATATGAATCCCCATAAAAAGTGGGACTCCCAAAAGGCTGGGAGATTTCTCAGCGAATGCAGGACTTGACATCTGACACCTTGTTGCTAGGTCCTTGTGGGGCCTCCAAGTCTCGGTGGCACGGTGGTGATTTCAGTAGTACATCAGTAGTATCAACACTTCTGCCCATGTTTGGCCCCAAAGTTTATTCAGTTTACTTTTTTTTCCATGGTTTTTCTCCTTGTACTTCTTGTAATAACTACTTGGCCAATGTAATCCGTAAAATTACTGTTTCCAAATAGGGATCTCTTTCCCTGTTCGGGATGACACTTTGAATCCACCGTTGGCAATTGTGGTCGCTATGGTTGGTTTTCATGTTGCTTGGTATCGCCATTTTGGTTCGTGTTATATCACGACGTTATTTCCCCGGGGGGCTTGGTTTATCGGGTTACGAAGCTGCTTGGTTTATCGGAATTGTGAGCTGACTCAGTGGGAATCCCTGTTAGCAAATCAGTATTTTTAGGGCATCATATCTGGGGGTTGCGGGTTCTGAACAATCATACACATGTTGATATAATTGATAAACATCCAGTTTGTGATTATTTTTGGGGTCACCCTGAGGAGTAAACCAAGAGTTTAAGAACCTGAACATCACAATCAAACTAATAGGGATTTATCATTGGGGTCATTGATATGCAATGTGTTGTTTTAATTGATAAATCATCTTAACCCGCTGCAAATGTTAACACACTGGTGATCAATCCCATCCCACATAATCCCAGCAACCCATTCAGCAACCCTACGTTTAGCACGCAGCAGTAAGTATTAAATATTATCCAATTAGGCCCCATGAATTTCCAATTCCCATCTGGTAAACGTTTACATAACTATGGAAAATCACCATTCTTAATGGGAAAACTCACTATAAATGGTCAATTTTCAATAGCTATGTTAAATTACCAGAGGGTAAATCCCAATTTCTTGTTGCTTGATGGGGTCCCCACCATCACCTCCAAAGAATCCAATCTCTTGGACTAAGGTCACGAGCAGATGGAACAGCTTAGGCCCAATGCAGAGGAGCGCTGAGACGGGTTTTTTGGCACTTTGGGTGTGTGAAAAGAAATAGTATAGATGGCCCATTTATAGATGGTTTACCTATCAAAAATGGTGATTTTCCATGGCTATGTCAAATAAACAGATAATTTTTAGGAAACTCCCAGAAATCATGCGAATTTCATGGGAATTCGTGGGAGATATTACTTCAATTTGTTTAACATGATGACATTTGCACGTTTGGGGTCTGAACATTGGGTATACCATATGTGGTCATTTTCAGTGGAAAAATCAACCAATGGGTTTTGGGGACATTTTGCGATACACATCCAGAAAAAATCGATAGGTTTGAATCTTTTTCTCTTCCAACCCCCCAGGTGGAGGAGCAAAACTCAGAGAAATGGTGAAGAATCCTGGCAAAAAAGGCACCATAGAAAGGTTGGATGTGGTACAAGGTGGGGCTTGCGTTAGCTTTCCGATTGCTAACTTGGTTTTTAACTACAATAACTAGGGTCTATCTATTAAGGGATATATCATCTACAATGAGGTAGGGATACCAACGAACAAACATCACTGGCCGCAGTTTGTAGGATCAATTGATGTATTTTTCCATTTGCCTGGCAATGTCACAGGACATTGATGAGTGCCTGACTCCGGAAGAAAGGCAAAATTCTCTTCTGTGGATTTCTCAGGCTGACTCCGGGTGCGATGACTCGTTGTTGCCGAGTGCTGGGGTACTTCATGGTTTGCCCATGGTGGAGGCAGAAACCATGGGGATTTGGCCGTAGGGGATCCGGTACCCGACCGTTGCCAGGTATGCACCTTGCACAATTTGGATGACTGCGTTTTCCAAGAATGTGTGATGCTCTTCGACCGCTACGTTGCAGCCTCCCAGGCCGGCCGTAATATCTGGACCGGACATGATCTTCTTCGGAGATATACACTACATCTAATAGCATCAATGATAAGCATCCATGATATTCATCCATGATATAGTGATATATCATCGATCTAACATATCTAACATCATTCTAACTGGTTGAAAAACAGGTAACTTTTGTCAAGTAAGGAGTGAGTCCAGGATCAATGCTTCACCTTGGAGCCTTGGATGCCGATGCAGGACAGGACCTTGTTGGACGATGACCAGTGCAAGTACGTTGCAATCTTCAACATTGCTCGTAAGGCGCCATGGGGTGAGGGCGATGGGGTGAGGACCATTGATTATGGGAGGTGCAGGAAATCAGGGGAAGATGTGAGAGATGGATGGGAGATCTCAGACGATGTCACATTTTCAAGACTATGATATTTCATTTTTTGGGTATATTTTTTGTGTGTCTTAAAATTGGGACATGTTTTTTGTGTGTCTTCATTTTTTGGAACTTAGGCTCCAATTCATGGCATTTCCAGAGGGACGTGATGACAATTGAATGGATTTTTTGGTACCCGATGGTACCACAGAAACCCGAGGGACAATGCTGGCATCGGTCAAAAGTACAGATGCTATTGTGATGGACAAAAAACTCAGTGGGGGGGAAGGATTACACAACTACGACCCATCCCATGTCAATGTTGCAAGTGGATGCAAGTGGCACAGTGTTTCTAAACATCAAGTCCATGCAAGTCCAAGAATTCTGAACCGACGTAAACTCATGGTGATTTCATTATATTCCCAGAATAGGATTTATAAAGAGCCATAATTTTAATTCCCATTCAGTAATATCATTGTATTACCAGACTTTTTCATTTAATACCATACCCACCAACAGAGTCAAATCAAGGACATCCCTGTTCACTAGAGCTACCAAGCATCATTGCCGCCCATCATTGGCGGCAGCCCGAAAAAGTTGCCAGGCAAAGTTGGCTTAGTTAGTGAAGTCGTAACAACTACGAACATGGACAAATCATGAATAATAATGATATAATTATATATATATAATGTAATATAATATAATATAAAATAATATAGTATGAGATAAGATAATACAATCTAATATAATATTAATACAATACAATATAATATTAATATAGTATAATATAATATAATATAATGTAATATAGTATAATATAATATGATATAATATAATATAGTATAATATAATATAATATAATACAATATTAATATAGTATAGTATAATATAATATAATATATATAATATAACATATTATAATATAACATAATATAATATAATGTAATATAATATAATATAATATAATATATTATATTATAATAGGATATATATATATATACATAATATAATGTATATGTTGTATATATAGTATTATATATGTATATAATATTATATATATGTGGAAATTATATTATATATAATACCATATATATATACATACACATTATATACTACATATTATATATACACACTACATACTACATATACATATGTACATGCAAATATACAGTGTATATGTCAGTCCTGGAGAAATAACCCTTGAGGCTGCTTATTTGCGGGCTTCCGTTTTGATTGCCATTTACTAAGGACGTTTGCTCATCTAGGGTTGACATTCGATCTATAAATGCTTGAATCAACCAGAGAAAGCAAAGAACATAGATGAACCACATAAATACAAAATCGACAAAGCCAATTACATTAACATTTCTGAATCTCGGAAAATCAATGCATGTTTTCGGAGATGGTACCTGAAACAGGTACACAAATTATGGTGACTCACGAAACAATGGGCTGAATCATACAAAATAGATGGTTACCCTCTGGTAATCAAACATCCGCCATTGATAGCTAATTTTCTCATTAAAGATTTAAAGCCTCTATCTTTAGGGATTTCCAATTGCCATGTTTGATTCCCCGAAAAGTTCCACTGCAGGTGGCTGGCGCGGCCGCGGGCAACAACTACTGCCCCGGCAGCCTCGCCAAACGCCTGGGTCCGGGCCGTGGGCCGTTGGGCCCGTTGGGCCCGTTGGGCCCGGCCGACTAGGGAAGGGGGTTCTCCCATCACTAGCGAAAACGAGCTGAATTAGGCTTTCCATGATGGGTTCTACTGTAGAAATCCCTTGTTTAATAAGTGCAGCTAGTGTAAGTTCATTTTTTTTTGATTCACAATTTAGATTTTGGATATCCACATAAAGGATCAAGATCAGATATCCTGTCAGGTGGGGGTTCATATGGTGATATTAGATGGCATTTGTATGGTTTACGCCGCCAAATGAAATCGCTGTATTCCAGGTTTGGATGGTGCATACTTACACTATTAATCATTACATAGATAATACAAAGCTACAGATAGGCTTGTGCAGATAGTTATGGCTTATACAATATAGATAGTATCCCTATATTAGGCATAGCTGCGGTTTATATAGTGGGTAGCTATAGATAGCTTATATAGATATATATATATAATTATAATCATATATATATAATTATATTCATATATATATATAATTAAAATCATATATATATATATGTATATATATATACACACTATCCATGCAGTTTGTGTGGTTTTCGAGCCGCTCCAAATCAACGCTCAGGTCCTGAGAAGTTCTCCCAAATACTGGCTGCGGAACTGCATATTCTCAAGGTGAGCTGATGGCGAAAGCCAGGGCTTTCGCCAGCGGCTCCGCAGTTGCTGGTTTTCATGTTTTTTGTTTCAAGCATTTCAAAAATTTCAAGCCTAAAAGTGGGATGAGGACTAAGTGACTAAGTGGATCTAATTGGACTTTTCTGTTGAAGTGGTTGAAAGTGGTTGAAACAACCAACTACTGTAGAACCAGAAGTGGGCTTTTTCATGTTCTGGAGCCTCTGTAGAACTTGGTCCATATGGGAATGGGTCAGAATTTAAGACCCAGGGCACCACAGATTGGACGACCTGCAGTGGGTCGGTGCAGCACAGCCAAAAAGCTTCAAGTGGTTGGACGTGGAGCCCCATCCCACACAGTATTTCACCGTCTGCTTTTGTTTGAAGATGGGATAAACAAGTTGTAGCCATTGGGGAAAACAAGGATCAACCATTAGATTTTTTTTTGTTCCCCTATTTTTACATCAATTTTTGAGACCGAGCCATCTTTCTGAATTCCGTTGAGCGCAGGTCTTGGACTACCAGACGGCAGGGCACCAAGGGTGCAGAACATCCGTCGATGAATTCAGCAAGTACCCTCTGGTAAACATACAAAAAGCTATTGAAAATGTCTGATTTACCCATTAAAAATGGTGATTTCCCATAGTTATGTTAGTTTACCAGAGGGTAATCAGCAAGTTTCAACTGCTGCGACTGCTTGGGCCTTCTGATGCCCCACATCGAAAAAATCTCCGAGCCGAGGTGGGTCATTCCGCCTTGGACTTTCTCGAGAGCCTTGTTTTCTCTCTTGAAAGGTGCCGGTGAAATACCGAAAACTCTACTGGACTTCAAACCCAGAACTGGGTGAGGAAAGCAATTACGGGATACAACCATCTTCAAAGGCAAAAACCCATGGGTTTTCGGTCAAACTCTTCCTTTAAATCGGTCCATTGATTCAAACCGAATGGGGCGTTAGATGATTTTGGCATGGAGAAACATGTGTTTGTTTGAACACAGGGTACCCCCAAATTTGATGATATATACATAGAATGCAAAAAATATAAAAATAATGTATCCATTGCATCGCAGATATATCACATATATATATATAAATATATATATATATATATATACATATGTATGTATGTTATGTATGTATGTATGTATGTATGTATGTATGCATGCATGCATGCATGCATGCATGCATGCATGTATGTATGTATGTATGTCACGAAAGCTAGCGTCAGCTAGCTGGAGTCTTCTTGCTTTAGCAAGTATTCCGGGGGCTGCTCAAGGACATCACGTGATTTTTCACGCGAAAGGGGGGACCCCCCCCCACCACCCCACCACCCCCCACCACCACCACCACCAGCATCATCATCATCATCATCATCATCATCATCATTATCGTCATCATCGTCCTCGTCATCGTCATCGTCATCGTCATCGTCATCATCATCGTCATCGTCATCATCATCATCATCACCATCATTCATCATTCATCATTCATCATTCATCATTTATCATTCATCATTCATCATTCATCATTCATCATTCATCATTCATCATTCATCATTCATCATTCATCATTCATCATTCATCATCATCATCATCATCAACATCATCATCATCATCATCATCGTTATTCAATTACATTTTATCATTATTGGCAATTATTGGCATTATCACGAAAGCTAGCGTCAGCTCGCTAGAGTCTTCTTGCTTTAGCAAGTATTCCGGGGCTCCCCAAGGACATCACGTGATTTTTCACGCGAAAGGGCCCCCCCCCCCTGCCGCCTCCCCCATATATATCATTGTTATATAAGTTATATATCATATATCATATATCATTGTTGCATCCTCGTTGGGACGAACAATGCCGCGACACGATGATGACAGTCCCTCCGCAACTCACCTCTTCCCTTCCTTCTTTCTCCTACCCCGCTAGCTTTCGTCATCCACCCCCGGCCTCAAGTATGTATGTATGTATGTATGTAATGTAATGGAATGTAATGTAATGTAATGTAAATGTAATGTGATGTACTGTAATGTAATGTAATGTATGTAATGTATGTAATGTAATGTAATGCAATGTCATGTAATGTAATGTAATGTAATGTAATGTAATGTAATGTAATGTAATGTACGTATGTATGTATGCATGCATGCATGCATGCATGTATGTATGTATGTATGTATGTATGTAATGGAATGTATGTAATGGAATGTATGTAATGGAATGTATGTAATGGAATGTATGTAATGGAATGTATGTAATGGAATGTATGTAATGGAATGAATGAATGAATGAATGAATGAATGAATGTATGTATGTATGTATGTATGTATGTATGTACACATGATATATGTATATATCACATTTTTTGCTAGCAAAAGCTCATGTTTGATGGTGATTTAACTTGGCACAGGCATGGACGGCAAGAGCTCCGCAACGCTGAATCTCCAGTCAGAGGGCCACAGTCCGGCCAGTCCGGTGGTGTCAAGGTGTTTCAAGCATTTCCAGCCATTTAGCGTTTATAACTAGGCTAACAGGGGTTACGGATATTTATAGTGGATATAGATAGATCGATAGATAGATTAGATTAGATTAGATTAGACTAGATTAGATTAGATTAGACCAGACTAGATTAGATTAGATTAGACTAGACTAGATTAGATTAGATAGATCGATTAGATTAGATTAGATTAGATTAGATTAGACTAGATTAGATTAGATAGATTGATTAGATTAGATTAGATTAGATTAGACTAGATTAGATTAGATTAGATTAGATAGATAGATAGATAGATAGATAGGTCTATAGTGTTCTTTGTAGTTATAAGAGGTAACAGAAGCAAGAAACATTCGGCAGGGGGTTCAACAAGACCCCCAGAGGCCCAGAACCCCCTGCCGAAGGATAGATGGTTAATAAGTCCTTTCAAACGTGGTTGTTGATTGTTGATGGTTGGTTTAGACCCTAAAAATAGTCTAGTTTTAATGGAAACTAATCTTCCAACCCCTATCTGCCAGGGTCTATGTTAATTTACCAGAGGGTAATAATAACACCTTCAATATTGTTGTTGGGGGTATCGCCAATGATTTGGTCTAAAATGAGCGGGCCATACATGGGGATGTGAACGGAAAAATTGGGATTTCAAGCAAAAACTGGGGATCACCAGCAATAATCAGCCATCTTGACAGATTGATGGTCTCATATATACTGTAGTTCGTTCCGTTTCATATTTTCCTGGGCTGATGACGTCGTTTTTTGGGCATGCTTCTGAATTCAAGCCGAGACAGCTCATGGCCAGGAAAAGTTCGAGGAATGAGACTTTTAAACACCACCTAGTTTTTTTCCCACCCCAACTCCTCTTTTTCCAACGTTTTTCCCATTTTGAACTATCATGTCCCTATCATTTTCCTCTGCCATAGCATGCCCAACGCCATGTGTTTTTCAAGGGCCATTTATCATCGCACGGGGATTTCCATAGATTTCCAGCTGGATTTCAATGGATTGGTTGGATGATCCCTAAACTTCAAAGGTGTGGGCAAAATTGTGTTTTTTTGGGAACTCACCAAAAAAAGGTCCCCAGTCGGTTCTGAATTTGTCCCATTCGGCCCAGTTGAAGTGCGTGGCCAAATTCCTGTTGCAACTGGCGCTGGGGAATGCGACTCTGCTTCATAGGTGCGCACCATTGGGACCATGCTCGCTTCGGTACGGCGCTGGGGACGGTGGGATAGACCCACAGGCATCGGATGATTCGGATTCCCGGGTGATCTTATTCTGTTGACGTGGAATCTTTTTATTAATATGTAGGATTACATCCGAAAAAATCCAGGGTGATCTAATTCTAACTCAACATCCTGTGTTGTGTGTTTCTTTTTTCGGATGTTCCTTAGATGTTCCTTCTTATGGCGTGGATTAGCATGGCTTTGGTGACCTCTCCGGTGTTTTTTCAGGTATCCCTACGCCATTCTGGCTGCTGGAGCTGTGTACGTGGCCTTGTGGTGCACACAGGCGCTGTTCTCCACGGCTTCCCCCGGGGATGCCGGGCCTGGATGCTCTAACGGTTAGAGTTGAACGGATCCTTGGTCCATGAATCCTGTAAGGAAATGGAAGACTTCCAATGACACCAATCCTTATATCATCTTATATCATCTTATATCCTCATCCCACTTTCCTGCCGCTTTCCTGTCGCTTTCCTGTCGCTTTCCTGCCGCTTTCGTTCCACCTCCTCCTCCTCCTCATCACCATCATCATTATCATCATCGTCATCATCATTCGTCAGTTTCACTTTCTTCTTCTTCCTCCTGTCTTTCTCGTGACTTGTTTGTTCCTACTTATGTTTGGTTTGACGACGGTCGGGGTGAACAGACCCTGACCAGGCCAGCCCAGAACGTTTCCTTGTCCTCATGCAGGATGTGGAGAACTCAGCTGAACTCAGCCAGTGGCTAGTGCAGTTGGGGTATACATAGTCTTGTACAGACCTTGACGGACCATCCCTGGTGAAGGGTCTTGCTGGGGTGAATGCTGATGATTGTATCTTACTTATAGTATTTAACAGATCACAACTCCATAACAAATTATATAGCTAGACAACGCATCTACATCTTGCCTCGTTTGGCCTAAACCACACATATGACGACCGGCAAGGGATCGGGTGACTCCAGGATTATGATATATTCGATTCATACATGTTTTTTTCCGCTAAATATACACCACACAATGACTTTCTGGTGCTTGGCAGGGAATTTTCAGGAATGATCCATAATCACTAGTAATAATCATCCCAGCAACCCCCATTCCCATCCATTCCCTACTAAGCACCCGTAAGATGATATATAATGAACGGAAACTAGTACTGGGATGAGTCAAGATCTTACTCAGCCAACATGTTCTGCAGCGCCAAGCCTCCCAGGTCGTTGCAGCCATGTTTGGGGCTGAGCTCTGTGGAGCACATATTGGGATTCTTCAGTGTGGTAAACTCTAAAACTCTAAGAGATCAGGCCCCGAGGTCTATTATTATTCTTATCCTTGAGATTGGAATGATCCAAATTCTTATTCTTCTTCTTATCATTGAGATTGGAGTGATCCAAATTCTTCTTCTTCTTCTTCTTATCATTGAGATTGGAGTGATCCAATTCCCCCATCATATTCCATTCTCAATCATCTCCAATAGAGGTTTGTCATTGGATTACCACATCATCAGGAGCTGGAAGCCGACAGTGTGCCACAGGACACCCACCGACTTGCTCGACGATGAGATCGGAGGCAGCGAAGGGACTTTCAGCGTTTGGGGCTATCCGCGGGGGGTTCATATGGATTTCTTATGATTTATTGTGATTTAATGGTGATTTAATTGGGATTTAACGGGATTTAACGGGAATTAACGCCGGGATTTCATGGGATTTTCATGGGATTTTTTTGTTGGATTTTTGTAGTCAAACATGGCTAAATATGAAGCTCCGCCGCCTTCATTTATCAGTTGCCTAATACGGGTTTGTCTCAGTATGTGGGATATCCAAAAATGGCAAGTTTTATAGTTTTGTATACAGTAGTTTTATCATATATTGATCGTAAATTATACATAAACTATATTGTTATACAACTATAGAATGTATATATATATAGTAGTTTTCTATATATTGATGATAGACCATTATGGATTCTAGGAGAAACCCTGACTGTCACGCCAGCCCTCTATGATGCAAAGCTCCACTTGTTGTGGGTGGAATCCTCTGGGATGCTTACCTCCTCTACTTGGGGTTGGGTTTGACCCCAGCACATTGGAAATTCATTCCAAATATGACCCAAGGTTTGAACGAATCATGCTTGTTAATGGGATACAGGATACACTCAGTCAGGAGACGTAGCAAATGTGGTTGTGAAAGGTAGGTTGATGCATTCATCATTAAATTGCTTATTCTTAGGCAAGTAACAGGGGCATAGTCCCAGCCAGAGACTGACATTGTTGCTATATCAGCTCCTCAAGTCAGAGGAGCACGCAGCACTTTCAAGGGTTGCGAGGGAACATTTCCGCCTGAAATGCAATGATAGGCCCTGCTTCGAGTTATGAATGGGTTGTTTCGCCCCATTTACGAGGTAGGCCATTGATTTTCGTATTATACAACTTACAGTACAGACTATAGCTATTATACATCAACATGTTGTCTCCAACCCGACGTTCACCCACCACTTCTTTTCAAAAGGGATGAAATCCGCCGCCCGCTCTGAACAATATATTGAATGCTTAGGGATACGCATGTATGTAGATACATACATACATACACACATACATTACATTACATTACATTGCATTACATTATATTACATTACATTACATAACATAACATAACATAATATTACATACATAACATTACATACATAACATTACATACATAACATTACATACATTACATACATCACATACATCACATACATCACATACATCACATACATCACATACATCACATACATTACATACATAACATAACAAAACATTACATAACATTACATAACATTACATACATAACATTACATACATAACATTACATACATAACATTACATACATAACATTACATACATAACATTACATACATCACATACTTTTCATACATTACATACATTACATACATTACATACATTACATACATTACATACATTACATACATTACATAAATTACATACATTACATTACATTACATTACATTACATTACACTACATTACATTACATTACATTACATACATTACATACATTACATACATACATACATACATACATACATACATACATACATACATACATACATACATGCATGCACACCTACATGCATACATGCATGCATACATGCATGCATACATGCATCCATGCATCCATCCATCCATCCATACATACATATATACATACATACATACATTACATACATTACATACATTACATACATTACATACATTACATACATTACATACATTACATACATTACATACATTACATACATTACATACATTACATACATTACATACATTACATTACATTACATTACATTACGTTACGTTACGTTACATTACATTGTATTACATTGTATTACATTACATACATTACATACATTACATACATTACATACATACATACATGCATGCACACCTACATGCATACATGCATGCATACATGCATGCATACATGCATGCATACATGCATCCATGCATCCATCCATCCATCCATCCATACATACATACATAAATACATAAATACATACATACAGACAGACACACATACATACATACATATGTACATATGTACATATGTACATATATACATATATACACATATACATATATACATATATACACATATACATATATACATATACATATACACATACATGTACATACATATATACATATATATATACATACATACATGCATGCATGCATATATACATGCATACATACATGCATACATACATGCATAAATGCATGCATACATACATGCATCCATGTATCCATACATACATACATGCATGCATGCATGCATACTTACATACATACATACATACATACAGGTTTACCTGAATAGACTTTTGGAAATACGCAACCCTTCCACAATTCCAGGGCGGGCAAACGTCTTGCAGCGAACATGTTTGGTGGTTTCCGATCCATTTGCCACAACTGGTGGGTATCTCAACTTCCTAACTCAAAGCCATCATTTGTTGGTTGAATATGATCAATCACCATGATTTCCTGGTTAAATCCACCATGAATTTGATGGTTAGCCTCCTGCAAACGTCTAGATGTTACTTCAGCCCAGCATTTCTAGAACTTTTTCCTATGGGTTTTCCATGGGTTTTCATTATCTTTTATGTTTCTCCCTGGCGGTCAGATGGCATCCATCCAGCCGCGGCCAGGTGAGCTGGGCATCTACGGAGGCGAATCGTTGTTTTTTCATAGGGAGAATTATACAAAAAGACGCAGGTTACTGTAAACGAACTTATTTCATGACAAATCAACCATGGATCCTGTTTCTAAGATTTGGGCTAACCGCAAGATGTTTACAAGGCCTTGTTTGGGGGTATGTGAAGGGGCATGTTGGAATTCGGGGGGAGCGATTGAAAATGATGCGCTTTGTGGTGTTTTTCTTGGTGTTTTTCACTGGTACCAAGATAGTATCTTGAAAAGATCATAAGAGATTTGTGATGGTGGCCCTCATATTGGACGTAGAAAAAACACACTGCTCAAGTTGCTGCTCACAAGGTTCAGCCCATCCCTTGTACCGTCCTCAGTTTCGCCAGGTGATGAACATTGGATGTGAAGGAACACACAAAGGAACGATGAATGTTGAGGCTGATAGAGCCATTCCCCCAATGAAGCTTGGCCTTTTGTAACCTGCCGGATCGCTAGTGGACTGTGGACAGTTCTCGATTGCGCAAAGTGTGGATCGCTACAAAGGGCCCCTGAGCTTCACATAAAGCTAGGATCGAAGACCCTGGTCAGTATGCAACCAGTGGGTTGCAGAATGGAAGAGACTTGTGATGCGCCGCGCAAGATGTTGGATAAACAAAAGGACCATGGTGTTGTTGGGCTTTGTGGAGAGCATTCGAAACAGCACGGATAGGTGAGCTCGTCACAACGATATACTGCAACATTGATCATTCTTAGCATCACAGCATCAGTCTTTGGTGCCAATTTTCACAGAGATAGCCACATACATCCATATACATCCATACAGATACACTGTTGACTTGAGCATTGCAGGGTTTTCCGTTTTGTTACGGAGATGTGCAACTGAGAGTTTGTTCTTGGTTTTCCCAAACCAGTCAACTCAATCATGGTTCTTTAAGATATCTACTGAAACATATTTTTAAGATATCTAAAAGCTAGATAAAATTAGAATGACACCACCACGAGATCATTCTCAAACCCGCCGGTTGTTTCCCGGCCAAATCCCAATTCAGCTGCAGCTGGCTAGATGCTGACACCGAAAGGCGACAAGGTCTCGCTCCGAGATCAATGTGATCAGTTTGTCCGATCTGTGAAAAATTCGGTACACCGAAATCGGCTACGACTTAATCAACATGGAATAGCCCGAATTCATGGCAATTTGAATGTGGACCATGATGAGTATTAAGATTTTAGTGCACCCAATTCGTAGACAAACCCATTTGGTCCATGGTTTGCCATGCTCGGACTGAGACACTTCGCTTCAGCAACATGCAGGAAATTCAGCCGTAGGGGTGGGGATCTAAGCTCGCGCGCTGTGCACTCGGAATCATGTGATCGGGAATCATTGGATCTCCGCGGACGGATTCTACGGAACAATGGAACAAACATTTTGTGCGGCCGCGTTTTTGCGAATTGCAGCGGCCTCTTCTCTCATTTTGTATCCCTCACTTTGATTGCTGAAAATATTGCTTCCAGGTATACATTGATGGGTGTTCTTTATGTTTCGTTGGCTACATCTCCGTTTTTTGGTGAATAAGAATATCAAACAAATGTTGCTCAAATCCTATATTTCTTTAAATCCAGAGTTTTTACGGTCATTCCCGATTCTTTTCTTACATCCACAGTTTTAACAGTTTTGTAGTGTCTTCCTCTTGTTGTGTCACGGTCCCTTGGTTGCGAATCGCATGCTTTTCGTGTGGCATGTGCTCCCGAGACTCTCCTGGATTCTGGCGTTGGCAGGGGTCGAGCAGTTTCGCAGATGGCAAGGTAGCCCTAGTCCACTTGGCAGAGAAGTGGGTGCCAACGGCAGTTGATTCATGGCAGTTTCATTCCAGGTTTCCATGAAAACAAGAGCTGGTAACTGGATGATCTGGATAGCTGAAGATAGCTGAAGATAATTACCCCAGTTACATCCAGTTACCCTGCACTCTCAGTGATGTCACTGTGGTGTGTCCCACTTCCCGGCAGTGGAGTGTCCTGGATCATTAAGCTCGACTTTCTGCTCGCATGCGGGTACGAAGCCAGGGGATGCCGCCCAAGGGGCGATCAAAAAAAGCGGCCACGGATAGAGCGTTCTGAGCTCGTTCAATCAATCGTTCTGAAGGATTCCATAGGATTCCCAAAGAACGAGGGAGTCAGTAGCATTCAGTGGCATTCAGTGGAACTGTTGCTCAGATGAGGACTCTCGCTGTGGTGATCGATAGCTGTCCCTGTTGTTTCGTACGAGGTCGTTTTGGGTCCCAGTCCTTCTCTTTGGTGGCCAAAAGCCCTTCATTTTGAATCCAAAAATCAGACTTGTGGCGATCTTTTGGCGATCTTGTTGGCCAATGATCATTTGTAGTACCTCCAATTTTCGGATCAAACAGAGAAAACAGGTCTCAGATTCGGGACCCAGGCCGATCTCGTACATTAGCAGCCCTTAGACTCATCTTGCTCCATCCCAGCCTTGACGATTCTTCCAGACGAGGCCCAGCTCCGCGATAGTCTGATCTATAGACTTATATAGTCCTGTGGTCCGAAAAGTTCCAAAAAAGGATTGAGTTCATGACTTGTGTCCGGCACCGACGGTTCTAAGTCATGGCTCGCCACCTAAAAATCCCAAAGACAATTTTGGTCCTCTATCTTTGTGGCATGCAAGAGGACTAGCTCCCATTGAATCTGGCGATCTCTTGTTCACTGTGTTTTTTTTCCCAAACAGTGTGTCCACACTGAGGGGTTCTTACGGTCGGAGTAAAGGCCGGAGCTTGATCAGGGTGGTCACTCTGGGTCGCGGCAGTTTACCTATAAATTTCCGTATAAAGTGGCTCTTGTGGACTGCGCGGGCTCGCACAAAGTGTGCGTCCGCGTTCTGGGCCCAATCTGGGCCGCGGCATTTTTCCTGTAAATTTCTGTAAAAAGTGGCTCTTCTGATGACTCTTGTGACGAGTGGACATGCGTTTCGACTGCGCAGGCTCGCACAAAGTGCGTGTCCGCGTTCTGGGCCCAATCTGGGCCGCAGCATTTTTCCGGTAAATTTCTGTATAAAGTGGCTCTTCTGATGTCTCTTGTGACCTGTGGACATGTATTTCGACTGTGCAGGCTCGCACAAAGTGTGTGTCCGCGTTCTGGGCCCCATTTGGGCCGCGGTATTTTTCCTGTAAATTTCTGTAAACAGTGGCTTTTATGATGTCTCTTGTGACATGTCGACATGCGTTTCGATTGCGCAGGCTCGCACAAAGTGTGGTCCTAGGTTCTGGGCCGACGATGATTATTCTCCTCCTCCTCCTCCTTCTCCTCCTCCTCCTCCTCGCATCATCATCATCATCATCACCATCATCATCATCATCACCATCATAATCATCATCATAATCATCACCACCAGCATCAGCATCAGCATCAGCATCACCATCACCACCACCACCACCATCATCATCATCACCATCATCATCATCATAATCATCATCATCCTCCTCCTCCTCATCATTATCGTCGTCATCATAATAATAATAATTATCATCATTATCACCACCATCATCATAATAAAAATAATTATCCTCCTCCTCATCATTATAGTCGCCATCATCATCATCATCATCATCATCATCATCATCATCATCATCATCATCATCATCATCATCATCATCATCATCATCATCATCACCGTCGCCATCACCGTCATCATCATCACCATCATCATCACCAGCATCACCACCACTGTCATCATCACTGTCATCATCATCATCATCATCATCATCATCCTCACCATCACCATCATCATTGTCATCTCCTTCTTTTTCTTCTTCTTCTTCATCATCATCATGATCATGGTCATCCTCACCGTCATCGTCATTCTCATCCTCCTCAACATCATCATCCTCACCATCAACATGCTCGACATCATCATCCTCAACATTATCCTCATTCACCTCATCATCCTCAACATAATCCTCCTCAACATCATTATCCTCACCATCCACATCCTCAACATCATCATCCTCAACCTCAGGCTCAACATCATCCACCTGCACCTCATCATCCTCATCATCCTCAACATCCTCATCAGCATCATCATTATCAACATCATCATCATCATCATCATCACCAACAAGAACAACAACAACATCTCAAATTATAATACATTATCCTCCTACTCCCCCCTGACTGTTTGGGGCCTCTTGCCGGGATCATTTCTTCCTCATTGTCTTTCACATCTTTGTGCCCAGCAAAGGCATTCGTCTGTTTCAGGGAACTGGGATCTGGAGCAGCTGGTGCGTGACGCTCATGCAGTGGAACTGGTGTGTCCAAGCAATTGATAGTTGGAAAATCTTGGAAAGTCTTGGAAAGATGTTTGGTCTGTTTGGTGGATTTGATCAAGACCTTGGACTTTCCTACTGCAGTTTTCCGTCACCAGATGCCGCGTTGCGCGCGAATTCTTGTGCGACGCTTCTGCTCATGAGAGAGGGATTCTAAGAGAGGGATCCTTAGGTGCGTACCCTCCAGAGGGTACGGCATTGGATACCTGAACCAGAACCATCAGCTTGGCGACTGGCGTTCTCCCGTGAGACACCATCCGAAACAATGTTCATCATAAATTCATTTTAACCCGATTGGATTTATCACATTCTATTCCTGGGCCTTGAAATGGATGACTGGCTGATTCAGAAAATGACTGCAGATGACTGGGCATCTTGGGCCTGGCAACAAAGTCCTGAGGCCTGGCAACAAATATCCTCTCCTTACGAGACCTGGACACTGGCATTTTCCGGGTTGATCTCCAAGTTGACTACAATTTTTTTGATGAGTTCTGTAATTGTCTATAGCTGTGGCTAAAGGCTCAGTAGCCTGGTAAGCCTCTACCCTCCACACACACACAGGAGATGACTGGCAAAATCAGACTGCAGTTGCGCCCATCATCGGATTGCACCCATGTTTCCTATGGGGTTGCAATCCCAATTAGAAGGTTGGTTTATGATGGTTTACGTATGTTTATGTTACATATGTTATCATATGTTGTTGTTTGATCATGGATCTACCCCAGTCATAGGGCTTGGTTTCGCATGGGAACTACCCTGGTTCTACCAGTTAGGAACTGGATAATTGGGAGCTGTTGTGTGGTCATCAATACGTACAACACACCAGGTTTAACCGAAACGATAGTCCTGGTTACACAGTCATCCATAGTCACGTACATATATATATATTATATAACACATGCACGGTTTATACAGATGCAACATGATACAACTGGATATATTTAATAACATTTAATAAACCACACAGATACACAATATCTATTTACACAAAGATAAGATAACCATGGCGAGTCATGACCATGGCCTTCTTGACGTCTTAGCTTCTCTCCAAGCGCCAGCTGGATGGTTCCATCCTTGCGAAACGGGTTGGCCGTGCCGCTTGGGCGATTGGTCGAAGAACCAGGGTTAAAATGTTGACCAAATGGAGAAGTAGCATCTTTCGACCGATACCCAAGTTAGTTCTTATGGTGATCGTGGAGTTTCTGATCAGAAATTGTACCAAAAAGACTCGAGACCCGAGGAATGCGACTACCATGGACTACCCACATCAAAAACAGTGAAACAGGAGACTGGTTGGACTTTTTGGTGGCTTCAAAGATAGGTGTTCTATTTAATAACAATTTTCACCGGGATATGGTGATATGGTCATTAAGCAACGGTTTCAGCCACCGGTGGGTCGAAACCACCAGGGCTGACGAGCAAAGGACAAGAAGTGGAATAGAATGGAGCTAGAACTTCAACCAAAAACTGGTTGGTGGTTTGGAACATGAATTTTATGATTTTCCATATATTGGGAATAATCATCCCAATTGACTTTCATATTTTTCAGAGGGGTTGGGCTCAACCACCAACCAGAAAAACAAAACTGGGTGGTTGAACATCCAGTCTCTGGAGTTTATACAGATCAGTTGATCGGTATCGATGGGATTTCTTTTAGATTGCATGTTTGCAGTGAGTACACATATTTTTCACCATCAAGTTGCTTCGTTCTAGTTGTCGGATTGGTGTTGTTCTTGAAGATCATATTTTAAAGGCGTGTTCCATTGGAATGCCTTGGAAAAAACATCAGAAACACCGCGGGTTCACCCCAGTTGTTTTGAGGTAGCCTGCCCTGGATTGACAGTAAGCTCAGGTCCAAGCAGATGGGAATGGGGGGGCACGAACGTGCATTTAGTCACCAATTTGTCCATTTGGGTGTGAAAACCAACCTGTGTTTCGTCTCGCCAGGGAACTCTTGGGGAACCGGGCAATGTGCTTGTGGGGATTCACTCTTGGGCTGACAGCTTTGACATAGCATAGAGATGGCCATGAATCCGTTGAACACATCCTGCAAGGGTGAGCATTTCAGGACCGGACCCTGCTTACACGTTGGTTATGGGAGGCTAAAACGCTTGGTTTTTATGGCTTGTGGGCTGCTGCAACAAATATCGCGGCAGATGCCAAAGACCCTTAGGAAAACTCAAAGAACTCCGTAGCTTTAGGACACTCTCCGCAGGTTCTGCGGCCAGAAATGCTGAAAAATGGGCGGGAAAGACATCTGCGGGCTGAGGGTCCGTGCAGCTTGGGTCACAAAACTGGAACCGGGATCAAAACTGGTTGGTGGTCTGGAACATTGTTTATGACTTTCCATATATTGGGAATTTCATCATCCCAACTGACGAACTCATATTTTTCAGAGGGGTTGGGCTCAACCACCAACCAGAAAACATGGGATTGGTATTGGACCCTTCGCCCTTCGCCCTGGATTGGACCCTGGATGCGGCACAGGGTGCCATTGTGATGCAGGATCTGAAGATATAGACCATGACATGTCGAAGCAGGACTTGGGTGATAAGTTGATGGACCAGTTGACCTTCCAAGATTCTGCTGACGCTTTAGAGAGATCCATCTTTTTCAAGCTTGATGCTTTCCGAAGCCCATTTCTTTGCTGAAGGTTCAAAAAAAACTGGTTGGTGGTTTCATTTTTTTTTTATTTTCCATTTCATATATGGGATGTCATCCTTCCCATTGACGAACTCCATCATTTTTCCAGATGGGCACATTGCACCACCAACCAGAAAACATTTTAAAGACTTCCACTTTGCAATTGTTTTGTCTATATATATATATGGATGGATAGATGGATAGATTAAAAAAAGCCGGATCGAAAAAAAGCAAAATTTTTAGCAATATATATAGATGGAGATGAATATATATGTCAATATTTTGGTAGGTTCAAGGATCGAAAAAAAGCCTCAAGCCGTCGCGCAGCGACACGAAACTCATGGCGGATGACCATGCCGAGGCAGACTATGCGCAGGCGGCGCCGGATTTTTTTGGGGGGTGCCCACATCAGTGGAGATCGATTGGTGTATGTTAATGTTAAGTAAGTTAAGTTATATAACTATAGTTAACTATAGTAACTATATTAACTATAGTAACTATATTAACTATAGTAACTATATTAACTATAGCTAGTAACCAGTTCGATATCAATTGGTATCACGCAATTCGTCAGGAAGCTGCACCCAGTCTGGCCATCATTTCTGATGGACCATCCCCCATGGGGGTTGGGTATGGGATGAGACCATGCTTAGCAGGATGATTTCTACGCTATTTATCGATATTGATATAATATAAACCATCATCCCAAGATGCCATATGACAGGTTAGCATTGTTGGCTATATAAGTTGCATGTTCATATTATAACTATGTGTATATATATATATATACATCCCATGCAATTCCCATTGTCCCATGCATCAATAGATCTCTGGAAGCCATTTGCAACTGGAACCCAATTTCTAAATTGGGATACTAGGTTACGAGATACCCTGATACCCCAATTTATTACTCTTTTGTTGATATCTGCTAAAACCTCAAGAGTTGGATCAATGATCTATGTTACAAGCTCGCATCTGTAAAACTGAAACAACTGGCTTATTGTACCATTGTTGGTACCCACAGGCCAACTAGGATGCAGCCCCAAGTAGGGTAAATGTTGTTCCCATAGATTCGTTCGCGCTTACCATAAGCGACCAGCAATGTTTTCCAATCAATAGAATTAGTTAAATAGGTAAAACATAGCTTTATTGATGTAAATAGATGGTTTTCATGACTATGGATACCAGCTATGATCTATCTATGGTTACTAGCTATGAAAACTATAGTTACTAGCCATTATTCATAGATGTAAATAGGCTAGAATCCCGCAGTCCCATAGTCATACTATGGTCATTAGCCACTGACAAATGGATGCAGTGCCAAGGTTTCTGATGGGCGACTGAGCGGATTAGTTCTCACTACACGACTGGTCACTCCACTAGACTTGACCATCCGCACTGACAACACTCATTGATTGTGGAAAACAAGCCAGTCAATGATATTCCCATTCCTAAGAATTCCCGTGAATTGCCAATAGGATATATTCCATGAATTTTCAATCAATGGATTAGTTGTGTAATTAATTAATGAAACAAGTCCGATGTCCACACTTATCCCATTATATCCCCATCACTTTATCACAGCTTTGACAGTTATTAATGTCAATTGTAGGATTGGAAAATTATTGGACATTGAATCTTTCAATCACTATTATTCATTTAAATGTAATTTTCCCGTTTATATTATCTTATGTTCCCATCATTTCCAATCATTTCGAATATGTGAATCCATCAGTTAATTCCAATACCGAGATGAGTACAATTCCAGTATCCCATTTTCCATTCCCATGGGAAAATGGAAGATATATATATATACCCCATCTTCCATTCCCGCCATTCCGATTAATTGATATACAGTTACCCCATAGTTATATAGTCCTCATTGTCATGCAATAATTAATTTCCCACTCATTCCATGAATATTCCTATCATTTCCGGTCAGTTAACTATAATAGTGGATTAGCTAGTTATAATAGCGGAAGTATCTAGGATTATCTAAATATAATATCATCCCATTTTCCAGTCCCATTATTATTCTCATAATTTACAGTTAATTTCCCATTGATATTCCATTCATATTCCAATCATTTCTAATCACTTAATTAATCCACAGCTAATCTAAATCTGTATATTAATATTCCCATTCATGGTCAATTTCTCCTTCATAAAACTAAGTGGATTATCCAACGATAAGATCAACCCATTATATTTTGTTTATCCACAGTTCATCCATCGATGGATCCTGATTAATATAAATCAATAGTATTCAATAGTTAATTTCCCAATATTTCCCATCAAAAATATTTGTTTCATGTCATGAACATATTCCAATCATTTTCAATCATGTCGAATCAGTTAATCCATCAGCTAATTCCAATATCTAGATACTAGATAATATCATCCTAGTATCCCATTTTCCATGATTTTCCATGATTTTCCATGATTTTCCATGATTTTCCATTCCCATTCGACAAAATCCATCAGTGAATTCATCAGTGCCATCTACCTTAATCCATCACTGGCATCGTCCACGTCCCTCCCAGGCTGAGCTGCTGGATGCCTGCGAACGCGGCGACCTTGGTCTTGCCTCCCTGGCGCTGCAGAAGGGCGCGTCGCCCAGAAAAGCGGGGACGCACGGGCGGACGCCCTTGCATCTGGCCGCCGCCTGGCTAAACTGGTGATTTTTGTGGGGTGAAACTGGTGAATTACCATCTGGTTATGACTAACAGTTCGCCATGGAAAGATCCACCATGCTATTAAGAACGGTAAGCCCCTATTTCTATGGGCCATTTCCCATGGCGAACTGTTAGTCATAGCCAGAGGGTAATGGGATGTTGTGGCATTTTATGGGATTTTATGATGATATGGAGATTTTTGAGGGGAGTAGTGTCCAAAACCCTCGGTGAGAAACGAGTGATTTCATGATGAATCAGCATCGTTGGTAAACGGTGATACCGTTGATCGATGGGTTCATCGAGGATTGAATCCTTTGAAACATGTGATTTGTAACATATCAAACAACATATATATATATATATGTAGAAATATATAGACATATTAAATAGACATATATAGAAATACCAAGCAAACGTGTTTTTATTTCTTTAACAAAACCAACGTTTTTTTTCACGCAAAAATGTTTGTTGAATAAATTTCCCTTCGGGATGATGAACCATTGATGGTTGGGTTGCTGGCAGCTGGATCCCTGAAGCTGCCCAGTAGGTCCGTCTTTAAAAGGGGGCATGTGAAACAAGAACTTGATGACAAAACGAGGCTTAAAATGGCTTGAAGCATCGGCTTAACGCATCGGTATGTCAACAGCAAAAATGCGAATCCAAACGTTGACATTCGACTACAAAAAAGGGTTGTTTTGCATGTGTTTGTTGAGTTCCGGCATCCCAGTACCAGTAGATGAATTTCCTGCCAAGCCCTGGACCCCGACTGTGTACACAAATTAATATGTGGGTACGTGACCATATCAAAGAGATCAGTATCATATAGACATACTACATCTAACTATCTACAAACATCTCTTTAAAATTCTTCAAACATATCTATTACATATGACATCGATCTGCACATCTCTCATTCCTCACCTTTCGAGGTGTGGAGCTCCATCGCGGACCCGCCTTCGTCGGTGAAGTTGTCCCAGCTGCTGATCCAGTCCGCGGCAGATGTGAACGCCCGGGACCGGGCGCCCTGGCGAAATCGGGAAGATAAGGCGATGGCCTGGGTGTTTTTGGACCTGGTGAGTCAGTTGGGAAGAACCCCCGCAAAACCGGGTATATCTGAGAGAAAGTGGATAAAATAAGCCAATTTACGAAGTAGTTACGCTTAGTGACACTCACTCCATGGTCCGTCAAAGTAGCATGAGGCACAAGCATTGGAGAACCAACCAGCAGGATGAAGGTCAAACAGTCCAGAAAAAAAGTATGGGAGACTTCACATCCAGCAACATCCACCCTTGCAGGTGAGCTCCGAGATGGTGAGATTGATTCCATACTTGGAGGGGAACATCTACAGGAAACCATGTTTTTTTTTGAATCAATCCATTGAGTCAAAGACCCAAATTGGAAAGCAATTCTTCCCCCATGGGCGGTTCTCAGGGTCGAAATGATCTAGAATTCCAAATCATTCAACCAGTCCATCTGTGGCCCAGAAAGTTTTTGGGAACTCTCCCCAAATTGAGCAATCGGTTCGTTGGACGTCATATTTGGCACCTAAGGACTCCAACACTCCGCTGCATCTTTGTGCCTTGAGCAACGAGGGGATTTGGCCTGCCAGGAGCCGGGTTTCCAATGGTTTCCAGGTCTGATGAGATTGGATTCTTAGAACATGAAAAGTGAAGATCTACTGAGTTACCCTCTGGTTATGACTAACATAGCCATGGTATAGATAGCCCATAGATGGTTTACCGTTCTTAATAGCATGGTGGATCTTTCCATGGCGAGCTGTCATAACCAGATGCTACATAGACTTACTAGACTTACTAGAGGTTGGATTCCCATCACCGAAATTGCCAGAAGCTTCTCATCACATACCGGGCTTTCTTACAGGAGGTTCTAGGAAGGTTATGGGAAGGTTGTGGGAATGTTATGGGAATGGTGGGCTCATTGGCTCATTCTTGAGGGCTTTTGGCTTCATAGCCCGGCGCCGTGCAGGCTGCTGTTGGCGTACAAAGCAGATCCGATTCTCCGGAATCGCCAGGGACTGCTGCCGTCTGATCTCATCATGTGCCACCAAGTGCCTTGCGTGGCGGATGGATGCGAGGTGCCTGCGGATTTCTGGGGGTCTTGTGGTGGAAGAATGAAGGGATTGAGGATGGTCTGCGGGGGTTTCCCGTGGAGTGAATTGGGTTTCTGGTAGTAAGCCAGGACGGCCACTGCAAACTCCAAGCGGGAAATTGCTTTTGGGCCCATCATATACACATATATGGATTTGAAATCCCCAATCCCAACGCAAAAAACAACAACATAGATGCACCCACTAGTTCTTTTGGCAATATCCCCAATTCATGTTGGGTATATATTTATAGTATAATGTTAGAATATATACATATAAAATTTGCTATATATATACATAATATGTATATCCAATTATATATATATATATTATATTATATTATATTATATTATAGTATAGTATAGTATAGTATATTAAATTATATTATATTATATTATATTATATTATATATATTATATTATACAGTAATATCCCTTAGTATTCTTTGTGGAACAGGCGCCCCAATTCACCTTTCAGGTTGATCGTCAGAGGTCCGTGGCCAAGGAGTTCTTCCGCTGCCACGAGCGTCAACGATTCCGAGAGGTCATCGGACACGTGGCTTGGAGACAGCCTGGGAGCTGGGAGGTGGAGCCCTGACATTTTTAGTTTGGTAGGATTGATGGTTATAATATCATGCTGCATAGCTAAAACTATGTGTATATATATATTTATATATTATATATATATGTGTATATATTACATATATTATAGTTATGTATAGTATGATTCTAACATATTGCAATGCTATATATATATAAGTTATATAGTTACTGTATGTAATGCTATATGGATGTGTCTCAAAATGGAGGAGTCCTCAAAATGTCCACTTTCACCATTACATTTTCAGGTACCCTATTTCAGACAATCCATGTATACAAGTACTACATATACACTAATTTGGTGATAGCATATTGTAGCCATGAAACATGGTTATTTTAATTCTTGAGGTCGATAGTTGTAGTGTGTTTTGATTAAATTTCATTATAACATATTATAACCATGACACATAGTGACTTCCCCATACAAAATGGAGATATTGACCAACACACGGATTTGAAGAAATGATGGTCGAATGGGGATCATTATCCATGAATACTGGGCCACCTGGGAATCGCAGACCCGACGTGGGGCGAAGTAGGGACGGTGTAGGGTATGACGGGTCAATGATCCTCACCTAAAAAGATATGGAGCCCAAGGGCAAGGCTCAATCATCTTACATGGATACCATAGTCTTTTGGTAATGGGAATATCTACGTTCACCAGCAAAGAATTTGGTCCATTTTTTGCAGTGTATCTGGCTGACTGGCAATGAAGAGGCCATTGGATCACTGAGGCCATTGGATTGAGGGATTTTTGGATGCGGAATCGATCTTCGTTTGATACAAAATCCCCAAATCTATATTGATATGCCATGTCACTATAGTGTTCTATAGTATATGCCACTATCCATTTATATGCCACTATCTTTTTTGGCATGAAAACTACTGACCTGGAACACTTACACCCAAATGTTCAACTCGCGCGAGGTCAAGGACGGCTTCGTATTTCTGCCCTTTGAGGTGAGTGACCACGCAAAGCTGTGGTCCTTGCATTGATGGCAGATGGGCATCGGTCCTGGCTCAGAATGCGAGAATGGAAGGATCTTGAGAGAATCAATATGAAAATTGTCCATCTGATTGGTGGTTTCAATATGTTTCAATGATTGTCTATTTTCAGCATTTTTCAACCCTAGAAAGGGGATGATGATCCCGGCTGACAAGCACAAAATTCTTTGCTTCCCCCAACCAGTGATGGGCCATGGGTTGATTCGTATGAAGTATGGTAATTGCTACTCCTTTTTCGAGCCAGGACCACCTATAGTTTTTTATGTTTTTTTGGTAGATGCCATGGCGCATAGGCCATGGTTTTTCCACCTGCTGAGCGGAGCCAAGCGGAAACTGAGCTGGCAAGGACGTTTGTTACAGGCAGTTTGTATGAACTCAGCTAGATGAGTTGACGTTAAATAGTCTGAAGCAAGCTTGATTTAAGATAAATCACTGTTTAAGTCAAGGTTATCTGAAATAAGCAGTAAATCAAATCACGGTCATGAAATTTCGCTAGCCTTCTGTTGGCTCAGCTCGGCAGTGTATCATCTTAGATAGGCGGAAAAAAACCGGCGGCCGGACCTCTCCATCGCCGGAGGCGATGGTGGCGAGTTCCGCCCATTGCTGCGTTGGTGGCACATTGGTGGCGTAAAACAATGATGGAATGCTGCAGCGAAGAAACATGATCTGGTTGGTGGTTTGGAACCATGGAATTTTATGACTTTCCATATATATTGGGAATATTTCATCATCCCAACTGACGAACTCACTCCATCATTTTTCAGAGGGCTAGGGCTCAAGAAACCCAATCAGTGATGGTGGCGCACCATGCACCATGGTGAATCACCACCAATGGAGCTTGGTCACAAGAAATTTTGGGTGATTTTTTTGCGCCAGTTGAGGAGTGTTTTTGTTAAGGTACATTTTCTTGGTAGGACACGATCGAAGCCAAGAAGTGGTGGGGTACAACCTACAACCCAAAAATCATGACTTATGGATATTTATGGCAAGTTTGGGGTGTACACTCCCCATGCTGCTTGTATCCCACTGCTTAATGATCATGGACGTATGGCGTCTGTCTGGTAGGGTAGCATTCGTGGTTTCAATCGATTTTGGACTCCTTTTCCCTATATATAGTATATTCCCTATGATTGAAAAAATGATTGTTCTATCCCCCCTATAGTATCCCTACTATTCATTCGTATTTTGTGTGTCATTAGGGCTTGGTATATTCCCTATATGAATCCCTATGATTTGCTGGCAATTTGCGGGGCAGGAGCTGACATTTCAGCCAGCCTGGCTGGCCTCCGGGCTTCCCTTCTCCCGCCCTTTGCGCGCATTCGTGGTCTCACTGTGGATACAACCAGAACATGTACGTGACATATGTGGAGCCTGAACATCTGGGGGCTATCCCAAACTGCTTGGTGGTTTGGAACATGAATTTTTAATTTTCCCCAGTAGTTGAAATATAAAACCAATCTGACGAACTCATATTTTTCAAGGGAGTTGAAACCTAGGTCAACCACCAACCAGAGCAAATAGCTGCAATTTGTAGGTCATTCAAAAGAAACGTCGGACATCTATGGACATCTGTCACAAGGGAATCTCAGCACGATGGCATCCTTGGCGACACTATTTTGACAGAAAGGTAGAGACCCCACCACCGGCTTCCCCAGTTGAAGGGAAAAAACACAAAAAAGCATACCAGGCATACCATTGCCTTGGTTCAAACTTATTTTTGACTACCCAGTTCTTCAATCATTTTTCGGATTATTCAAATATCTTACCTTAGATTGAAATATCTTATGGTATAGAATGAAAACATTCTAATACCTGGAAAAACCATGGGCCAATTTTGACAGTTCCCATGGGTCCCAGCCTTTGTTTGGTTCCTGATACGGTTTTTAAGCTACTTGGTTCATTGGGCATAATTACATATAATATAATTACATATCTGGTTGGTGGTTTCAAACATTTCTTATTTTTCCATATATTGGGAATTCATCCCAACTGACTTTCATATTTTTCAGAGGGGTAGGGCTCAACCACCAACCGGCATCTAGTTGGAACTCATCATACCCAAGTATACCAACATCAATGAATCATGAATTGTACCATCATGTTGGGTTCCTGCTCCATTTCAGAAGGACAATAGATGCCGTTCTTCACCACCCAGGTCACTTGTGTGTGGTTTCGGAAGACGTTCTGCAACAAGCTCCGACCCTCCATGCGATTCTGGAGCACTTGGCCGAGGTGGGCTGATCGTGAACTCTGTGCTATGCAAAATCATCACATGCCAAATCGGTCAAGCATCAAACCGGTCATGGGCCGGTCATGGGTCATGGCTTTGCTATGTCAAATTACCAAAGGGTATCTTTGGCACGTTGGCAGAGAGTCTTACTGGTTCTAAACGCAGGGATTGAGGAAATGATCCATTTCATCACTATCAATTTCATAATCCCAGCAACCCCCAGCAACCCATCCAGCAACCCTACGTTTACCACCAGCCAGTAAGGGTTGTAGCTTTGGAAAAAAACAGCCCATCAGTCCACTCGGAGGTGTTCAATCTTCAACCTGTCTGGGAATCCCGATCTACCTGGATGCTCTTGGATGACCCGTTTGTAAAGTGTTCGGTTGTGATGGGGATATATGGGGATATATATATATACATATTATATACTGGATATAATGATTAGATTCATTAGATCATAGTCATATGAAAAATCCTTTGACCAGTCACCAAAAGTTCAGGCACCAGTGTGGTTTGAGCCTCTTTGACATCTATGCTAGCTAGGTGCTCATGCATTTTCGTACACCCATGGATGTGCTTCGATGTTTCATCCAGGGCAAACTTCGAGCTGCTTTTGTCCTGAGCTTTGCAACTTGCTCATCTTGCTCTGAAGATTCCAGGCTTTGAATTCGCAGAGTTTCGGTGGAAAAATTCGGGCCATCATTGGACCATTTGTCAAGTTTCAGTGGATTTTCACCATGCCCCACGATGCAGTCCTAAAGAGTTCACATCCAGTGCTGAGACGCTCCCAGCCACCAGCAGGCGAACCAGATTTGCTGACCATGGGTCACTGGGATAATGGCCGTTCCCAAAGGTTAAGACCGTCAAAAGCCATCCCCACAGCACCAAGTGCGACTTCGGCGCCGGCCATGGTGTGCCGAAGTCCGGCCTTTCGAGAAGGCGGGAACGTTGAGTCGGTGGCAGCCAAGGAAACAATGTCTTTTACAGGGTATAGCAGGGTATCAAACGTTGGCACATCATTATTTATAATCGATGATCATCATTTCTGGTGGTTAAAGCATAGTGAAGCTTGCTGAGCCTCAGTTCTTGCTCAATTCTACCAGATGAGCTGTTGGATACTTACATGTCGCCAGAATCAATGAAGTGCTTAGCAGCTGGGGTATATCCCAACACATTGCATATTCTTGAGAGCTTATCTGAGCCACTTGCTAGCGACAACTACCTAGCTAACTGTCGCTACATCTCAGCGTTTTATTAGATACCGCTTACCCGACTAGTTGATCATGATGTTCCCTATTCAAACGCCAATTGAGGGCTATATCTCATTTTCGGACACACCCAAATCATCACAAGTCCACCATTCAATTCATTGGTTCTATATGGTTGAATCATGTTCAAGCCCCATTTATCATGGCTCAATCACACATTTCCGATTGCTAAACCACCAGTAATTACCTTCAAATCCATATTTTGATGGTTCAAACTTAAACCACCACTTTTTATATTTAAATCCTCTTTTTTCATGGTTCATTCCCAATTGTTCCTGTTTTTTTTCCCGGTTCCATCCCCATTTCTCACGCTTAAACCACCACCATTTCATGCTTAAATCATTTTTTTGATGGTTCAATATCACATTTTCATGGTAAAGCGGTCATTTTTTCCTGGTTCGATGCTCATTTTTCTATGGTGAAGCCACCCCTTCGAAGGCGCCTTGCGATGGACGTGCTCCACGAGGACCTGCTGCACCGCCTGCTGCAGTCTCTGCCGGGCCGCGCCTGGCGCTCGCTGGGCGCGGCCACGCCCGCGACGCGCAGCGCGCTGCGGAGCTTCCTGGCCGAGCGGAACCAGGTGAAGCTAACGCAGATGGCCTTCCGTTGCGCGGCTGGGGATGTTGGTGATGTTGGTTTTCGATGCCGGTGGAATTTTGGACGGCGAAAATCTGATTTTGGGGATGGCATCCATTTTGGGATTTCTATGGCAGGATTTCCAGGGACGACCATACCAATCCCATCCCATAAATATGATTAAAACACACCTTCTAGCTTGGTCCCAACGCGTAAATTCTCTGCTAAACCATGGTTTTGGGGGGTGTTGAGTATGAACGGCCCGTCAGGGATTCTGTTTTGGCCTTCATCCTGCTGGTTAGTCTCCAATGAATTAGTTGGCAAATCGTTTTATATTCATTTACATTCCACTTTCTGTACCCTTGGTCCATCTAAATAGGAAGGTAGTGTATATACATATATTGATAATATATATATATACATACACAAACACCTACACACACACTCTCTCTCTCTCTATGGGGTACACTATATATCCTATGGTGTAAGCACATTTTGAAAGATTCAATGGCAGCGGTTGACTGTTGGTCAAAGCTGCAGATGTTGCTCACTCTTCTTGCTGTTTTGCAGACACCGTTCCTGTACTGTTGGCTTCTCTAGTATGAAAATCCAATTCTTACAGAATACCCTCGAGTAAACTGACATAGCATCCATTTAGTTTTGGGCATTGTCCAGCCAGCTATGGCATGAAAAAAACCAGAGGGCACGGATCTGTCTGTTGGCCAGTTTTTTAATCCGCGGAAACCCGCCTAAATCCCATGAAAGTCTATGAAATCCCATGAAATTCCAGCCATATCTCCAAGATTCCAGCTCTTTTTGGACCCCACCGTCCCCTCCTGGTCGAGGCTGTTGGCCCTTGGAACCTATTGCCTTGGCCTGTCCCAGACTGCAACGACTCTCACTCTTCCAGGCGCGGCTTTGAGAGACATACCCTGGATTCAAACGTGGCACTGGAACATACATCGTTTACAGATGATTTTTTCCAGTGAAATCTCCATATGTTTTCCGGGGATTTTCCAGCAAGTCACATTTGATTACTGGAGGGTAGAGAGATATTTTTCATGCCAACCGTGACTCACACGTTCGTTCCCGGCTTCCCGTGGATCTCCGACCGGTCCTCGGCCCTTTCTCGGCGCAAAAAGTCAGGTGGATCTGCCGCTGATCCCCGTCACGGCACGCAGCGACTGGTGCCAAGGCTTCGAACACCTGACCTGTCTGCAGCGGCTGGATCTGGTGGAGTGTCGCTTCGTGAACGACGAGGCGTGCGAGACCCTGGGGCCTGGTAAAGGTAGAGACCCTGGATGGAAAAAACAAGGATTGGCTCCAAGGTTTGTGGTTAAAATCTCATAAATCTATATAAATCTCCATTCTTGTAGATGAACTCGCAATTTCTGTGGCTGACATATATTTAAATTCTGCTTTCAATCCTCATTTCTGTGGTTTAAAACCCAATTTTTCCAGATGAAATCCGTGCTTTGGAATAAATCTGAACTTCTATGGGTTACATTCCAATTCTATGCTTACATCTCTTAAATGTCATCTGAATTTCTATGGCTTAATCTAAATCTGAATCCCAATTCTTCTACCCTCTGGTAATTTAACGTATTGAAAATGGTGATTTAGTTCGTGGATTTTCCCATTATATTAGCATGGTGGATCTTTCCCATAGTTTTTTGTAAACGTTTACCAGGCCGGGTAACCCCATTTTATACATTTTGAGGATGTCTATTGAATCCCAATTCTAGATGCAAACTGGGTATATCTATTAAATCACCATTGAATCCCATTAAAACCCATTAAATCACCATGAAAAAACCAGCTTTTCGCCAGGTCCTGGACCTGATCTTTGAACGCTGCGCGCTGCAGACGCTGGACGTCAGCTGGTCCGGCGAGTTCACTGATGCGCCCTGGAGCCGCGCGCCGGTCACGTGTCCATCATTGGGGGTGCCCCGTTGTGGCCCGGGGGGGAGCTCCCCCAATTATAGCCTCTGGTTATGTCAAAATTGCTATTGAAAATGGCTATTTATAGTGGATTTTCCCAGTAAAAATGGTGATTTTCCATAGTTATGTAAACGTTTACCAGAGGGTAGCGATATTTTAATAAGGACAGTGCTGATCATCCAGGGGAACGTGGAAAAAATGTGGAAAAAGCATGATGAATCTTTTGCTGAACCTATGGATTTAGAGGGGTTCCCAGATTTTTTTGAGAGAAAGCCTAAGCCATGTATATATAGATATATAGCGACTATATAGATATACATATACATGTTTATGTAGCATGTAGAAATATAGATGGATAGTAAGTAATAGTTTATGATCGTACATGATTAATTCACAATTAGAAGAATATGTGTATCCAATTGTATATATATATATATACACGCAGTATACATTTACACACACATGCATATGTTGGTATGTAAACAGCACATTTCATATCATTGTTGGCAGGTTTGGTTGGTTGGATATCCCCAATGTTGCTTGGTGATCCCTGTTCGGTGATCATGTCCCTATGATGTTTGATACAGGTAGTACTGTAATGGTTAGTTCCATCCGTGAGGGTTGGTCACAGAGTTTTTTCAACCCCAAAGTCTCCAAATTTACATTTTACTTGATTTCTTTAAGCACACATGCGCCCAAAAGATTTGAAATGTGTGACTTTCCGCACGCTAGAGGAGTTCGCACGTGGATGTGTCCATTGGAACAAGTGGCGAATCAGAGTGGCGAACAGACGTGACCTAGTGGCTCTCACTCAGCCGTGTTACCCCACGGTAAACCCTCGAAACTAAGATGTGGAAAACCCACCATGAACGGTTTGATCATTTTCGGAACGGTTTCCCCTTCTCGGCTTTCCGGCTTTCTACATCCTTTTGGAGCTCACTTACTGGTGCTTAGTAGGGAATTTTCGGGAATGATCCATAATCACTAGTAATGCCATCATCCCAGCAACCCCCAGCAACCCATCCAGCAACCCCACGTAAAACGCACCAGTAAGTTTTGGAGCTCAGTTCCCAGGTAAGTCTGAAGCACTTCTATGGAATCGGTTGTGAGCACCTCACTGAACGCGTGATGGTACACCTGGGTGCAAGATGTCCTGACGCTGGGTAGCACGCACTGGTACGTCACCATGGGAAGCCCAGAGATTTTCGTGATTTCAATAAGCAAAATGGCGACCTTTATTTATCGATAGGTCTGACACAAACAAAAACGCATAAAAATATGTAGAACATTGTAGAACGATTCTATATCTAAATAAATAATTTTTCAGATGGTAATACCAGATGTTCTATAAATTGTGTTTTGTACCTCTACCAGATTCTAATGAACTATGGTGTACCAACACAAACTGGTGTGGTACACCAGATGTTCTCAGGCCTCATTAAAACCGCACAGTACAGGGCTCATCGTGTCACTGAAAAAGGGTAGTTACCAACAAAAACGTTGATTTCATGGTGATTTAGTGGGATTTAATATGATTTAATGGGATTTCCTGGGATTTGGTTAGCTAAGTCCAGTTGAACCTGTCTACTTCACTTGTTTTCTTTCAGGCCATATCTGTCTAGCAGTAGCTTCACAGTTCATAGCGCCATGGCCCAGCGATTTGATCATGTCCATCACGAGGAACTGACATTGCTTCATGCGTTTCTCGGCTGTGCGACGAAGGTGGAACCGTGAGGTGTCACCCATGGAAACTCGGAATGAGCAGAACTGATTTGGACCAGCATCTTAGCGTTACACTACTCAATATATATATATATATATAATTATATATATATATAATTATATATATATATATCTACTTATATCCTTATGTATATACTGTACTTATTTGTATATATATATATATATCTATTACCTAAACAATCTGCCATTTTTTCAGGCTCCTGTGCTTGCCATGCCGCCATGCCCAGATGGAGCCCTGGTTCCAGGGGCCCCGTTATGCAACGGCAAGGTCCAGACATTTGAACTGGATCGGCTCGACACGCTCGGAGCTCTTGACGGCCTTCAGCCGGATGAAGTGCTTGGAGGAGCGGCAAACCTGGGGTTAGCTGTTGGTAAACTAAGATAACTAGTGAAAATCACCATTGTTAATAGCTAAATGAACTATTTCGACTGGGCCATGTTCAATAGCAAACCTGTTTAAATTACCAGAGGGTATATGAATTATATGCTGCTTTTGCAATTTAGTAATAGTAATAGTTAGCAATATCAGTTAGCAATATTAGTTAGCAATATTAGCTCATATCATGGTTACTTACATATATATATATATATATATACATATGTTAGCAATGTTAGAAACATCATGGTCTGTAATATGATAGTAGTGTGCTACTATAACATAATAGTTGATAAAGCTTCACATTGATACTATGATTGTTTTGCCAATCATATTTCTTGTATTTTTACATGTATTACATGAGGTAAATATGTAGTATACTTCGGGAGGAACAAAGTTTATGCTTCTTGAAAGCTTTACAAAACATCCATCTCGGTCAACTGCGGATCACACTTTCAAGTCCGTTTTGTGTGGCAGGTGTGGGACGGTTAATTATCACCCTGTTTTAAACATATAAGTTTTTTCAGCTTTTGGAGGGTGGAAATGCGGCCGGGGTACGACAAACTCCATGCTAGGATTCTACTGGGAAAGGGCGCGCGGAAGAAGAAACCAAACATGTTCACTGTGGGAAGCTCAACAAGCGCAACTTTTGTTTTACCAGTGTAGTTATATGTATTGTTTGTATCCGTATGTATTTTTATTGTTAATGTTTTTCAGGTCATGGATCGCCCCTGGGGAGGATAAGATGATAAGGGCTCAGGGATGTAGGGGATATACCCCTGTTTGTAAGAGGAACATGGTGCACATGCAATAATGATGTATGGATATATAGAAATTATATAGATTATAATAGATAGCGTACATCAATTATTATTTTGCTTTTGACAAACAAGTATGTTGTTCACCCATATTTTAGGGTTTCCTAAAATAGGGGTACCCCCAAATCATCCATTTTCACTGGGTTTTTCCCATGATACGCGATCCATTTTCTACACTGGAGGACCTTGCCTTGCAAGACATACCACTGGACACTCGACGACGAGAAAAGAATGAGGGCCTTAGCCAAAAGCGGGGACTTGCAGCCAACCAAATATGGCAATAGAAGTGGAAATTATTGGGTTTTTGTGTACATAGACATGTTGCTGAGTGTATCCAGCATGATGGATGTGTTTCAAACATTGGGGATACCTTGGGGGAAAATGATGATAAACTCCATCAAGTGTTTGTTTCCCAACATCTTCAGAGCCTACAGGGTGCTTGGATGGGTGTTCCCGGACGTTGAAAACGTGGCTAGGAATTAGGGTACATACCCATTCCGTTCTTTTACCACTTTCAATGGGATTAAAGACCAATCGCCAATCGTGTCAGCACAAGTGGCCCTAAAATTCGCTCCTGAAGTGGACCTATTGTACTTGAACCATACTGTACCAGTGCATTGTCGGGGTCTGACCCGAGAATGCCCAAATTGCACTGGGTATTTGCCCAAAAGACTACGCCACTTTGAGCGTGTTCCTGCACTTGTTACACCTACCTCTATACATACGTGCGTGTGCACGCAGATACACTACGTAGAAGCATACAAAGATGCAATCACACAAAGATGCATAGTTGCATAGATAGGTAGATAATGGTTTATAGATGTTTATAGGTGTATATATATATATGTATACAGATGGAAGGATAGATGCATGGATGGATGGGTAGCTCGCCCGGGCACATGGGGTAGACTAGGTACCATTCGTTTTTTTCTTCGTTTTTTTTTTCAGACGATATCTGATGATAAAATAACAATACATATAGTATGAATACATTGATTGAATACACACATATGCACACATATACACAGATATACACGGATATACACTGATATGCAGTGTGATATGCACAGATATACACAGAGATACATACGTCAATGCATCCATACATGCGCAAACATACCAACATGCGAGTATACACAAACGCACAAACGCACAAACATAGAAACCATAAACACATAGATACACATTAAATCACATTAATATGAATAGATTTCCTGCAAAAAGTCATGGCCCAAAAAGGACGACGACTTGCTGAACACCTTGGCTGAACTCGACAAATTGAAGCACCTGCAGCTCTGGTCCTTCAGCACCGGACCTGGGCTCTGCATGACGGGTCGAGGCATAGAGCGGCTGGCCTTCAGTCTCACGTCCCTGCTGCCTGGCGAAGTGGGATGAAGTCCTGGGAATTTTCCGGATGTCCCATGGGAATGGGCAACCCCCATTTTTTGTATATATGGGTTTGTCTTAAAAATATTGTACCCCTACACCCAATGGTTAATGATCATTATCCCTACTAAATGGCTATAATACCCCATTTTCAGACATACCCATATTGTTATGTACCCGGCCTGGTAAACCTGTACAAAACACGATGGAAAATCATCATGCTATTAATGGACGAATCATGACAAATCAACTATTTCGACTGGGCCATTTTCAATCGCTATGTCACAAATTACCAGAGGCTAGATATGGTGGGACTTTAATTGGACTAAAATGGGCCATCATCTTGGTTCTATTAAATGACTTGGCTATAGCAACCTCACTGGCCGACTTCATTGAAAATGATGGTGTGAAAATTGCCACCGCCCATTTTCCTCTGACAATTCTTCAAAGCAATTGATATGGCACCTATAGTTCGACTTCCGACAAATTGGAAAAATGTGCGGGGTTTGGGCAGCTACAAAGGGGATAAGGTGCCAAACTTGCTAAACCTGAAAGCAATTACGGCCTTGTCAATTACGGCCTTGTTGTTGATGATGATTGTCAATCACACAAGTAGCAAGGCAACACCACAACCATCCTGTTTTCTCTGGGATTAGACTCCTTTCTCCTGTCACCGCCAATATGAAAATCGCTGTCATTGTCACCCTTCACCAGCCAAGGAAGAAACTCAGCTTGGACAGTTTTGTTTTTCAAAGTGCTGAACCTCTGCATTGCCTTTCCAGTCTCCTGGCAACATCAGAACCACAAAAGAGGTTTGGGATGGCTGAAAGTTGGGTTGACCAACACCCAGCTGTGTTTGGTACCCTGGCTGTGATGTGGTTACTTCGCAACTAATTGTTTACCATCGGATACCATAAAACACATGGGGTAGGGTAAGACAGAAACAACAAAACTTAGGTAGGTTTCCAGATTCTGCCCTCCTGCAATTTGACCAAGCTATGGAAAGCGGCTCATTTAGTTCAATGATTTACCCATTAAACATGGTGATTTTCAATAATTAGCTACATCAATAAATTGCCATCAATAAATTGCCCAGGTTATAAGACTCGGCAAAAGGCTTTGTTTAAAGACATTCAAGTGTTAGCCAAGTTAGTTCAACCAACTTAGCTATCATTTGGGGGCCCTTTCTTGTCACAAAAAACAGTTTTTTGATTGTTCTATCGTATTCTACTCATATCCGGTCAAAGCAAAACCCCCCAATTCTTGGCATCAAAATTTGGTTCAATCATTTGGCCATTACTAATGATGATTTTCCAGATCAAACTGTAAGTTTCTATCAGATTCTAAAACTCAGACACAGATGTTTGAACCTTCCAAATCTAATGATGATGTTTAGAACATTTTAGAACCAGATCAAATTTGGCCATTATTAATGATTCATATGATGTTTGAACTCCACTTCACCTTCCAAATTTGGTCCGATTGGATGCAGGTCAGTGTCCTTCGCTCTGCGAATTGTTGCTGGAAGGGACTCAGCCGTGTAGCTGGAATGGCCGAGGTTTCAATCGACCAAACCGACCAAAATGAGGGTTTGACTTAATATTAAAACGTCAACATTATAGGACTTAACATTATTTTTAACCGTCCAAAATTGTGATTTGACGAGAATTTTACCTTTAAACATATGGATTTGTAGGGATTATGACATATTATAACACTATCATTATGGGGATGTCATCGACAACAATGTCTAATTCACAACCAATAAATATTTGACGATTGGTTGAATGAACATTCATGTGTGCATCAGCTTTGTGAGACATCAAGGTGCCAAGGGTTTGTTTCCCTTCTTTTTGGTTGGTGGAAAGTTAGCTTCAAAATTGCTCTCGGTGCAAATACCAGTTGTGCTCGTAAGAAAGAATATAAACTACAGCAATCCCTGTCTTGTGAGCTTTCGGAACGCCGGATTTTTTGGTGGCGGGTTCATGATGGCCTAAACATTCGATAGTGGTTTCAAACATGTCTTATTTTCCAGCCTAGTTGGGGTGATCCCATTGCCTTTCATACTTTGGGGCTTGAAAGTTGCAACTACCAACCCCAGGTAGCATGGGAACGCTTGGCCACTTGTGCTTTTCCAAGTTGGTGACTTGGAGTTGTGCGACGATCTTTTTTGGAAGTGCTGGGTAAAAGCAGCTGGTGAAGGGTAGCTGTTTACATGAATAAATATGTGTTAATATATATATATATATCATTTCTTGGGGTAGACATGGATAAATATAGCTGCTACATACTACTACTACTACTGCTACTACTACTGCTGCTAGACACTGCTACTACTAAACTACTAGACTACGACTACACTACGACTACTACTACGACTACTACGCTACTACGACTACTACGACTACTACGACTACGACTACGCTACTACGACTACTACGACTACTACGACTACGACTACGACTACTACGACTACTACGACGCTACTACGACTACTACGACTACTACGACTACTACGACTACTACGACGACTACTACGACTACGACGACTACGATTAACGACTACGGGACACTACGACTACTACGACTACTACGACTACTACGACTACTACGACTATACTACGACTACTACGTACTCTACTACTACTACTACGACTACTACGACTACTACGACTACTACGACTACTACGACTACTACGACTACTACGACTACTACGACTACTACGACTACTACGACTACTACGACTACTACGACTACTACGACTACTACACTACTACGACTACTACGACTACTACGATTACTACGACTACTACGACTACTACGACTACTACCGACTACTACGACTTACTACGACTACTACGACTACTACGACTACTACGACTACGACTACCGACTACTATACGACTACTACTACGAGACTACGACGACTACGACGACTACTACGACTACTACGACTACTACGACTACTACGACTACTACGACTACTACGACTACTACGACTACTACGACTACTACGACTACTATGACTACTATACGACTACTACGACTACTACGACTACTACGACTACTACGACTACTACGACTACTACGACTACTACGACTACTACGACTACTACGACTACTACGATTACTACGACTACTACGACTACTACGACTACTACGACTACTACGACTACTACGACTACTACGACTACTACGACTACTACGACTACTACGACTACTACGACTACTACTACTACTGCTACTACTACTCCTGCTGCTGCTGCTGCTACTGCTACTGCTACCGCTACTGCTACTGCTACTGCTATTGCTACCACTAGGACTACGACTACGTATACGACTACGACTACGTATACGACTACGACTATGACTACGACTACTACGACCACCATGTACATGTATTTATCTACAGGATTCTACAGGTATCAATAAATAATTTTGAATGAGGGAAAAATCCCAGCTGCCCAGCTTATTTCCAGTTGGGTTTGTGGAACTGGCCATCCAAGATCCGCCACGATTTGGTTGCCTTTTGAGCTGTTTTTCAGTCATCAAACATGGCAATGGCCTTTGATTCCCTTTTTGCAAGGGAATTCCTCGAACTAGAACCATTTTCCATAGCAAACTGCTAGTTTGCTGGTTTTTTTTAAATATTTTTTTTACCTTCCCCAAGCCTATGATAGGAACGATGACGTCAACGCCCTTTATCGGACGCCGCCTGAAACCGCGATTCGCTGAGGTGAGATTGCGCTTGGCTTCCTGTGGCGTGGCAGGTCAGTTGGATTGCTCGGCAATGCCATTGCTACAGTATTTGTGGCTATTTGAAGCTTGGGCGTGGAGAAAACATGAGAAAACTCGACGGACTCAGAGTTTGAAAAATTGGTGATATTTGGTGATGGTTTGCTGGAAAATCCGGCATGTTTCGATGATATTCCCAGCTAGAAACCTGCATTTATAACCATTTATATCCATTTATAGGGGATTTTCCTGCTTGCCACGTTTGATGACAGGAGGGTAAACAAAACATCTAATCTTAGGGGTTGATAGTTTTGATCCATATATCCACTTAGGCTTGCCCTGTCGTGCGCTGAACCAGCTAGGGAAGCCAGGGTTAAAAGTTGGATTCTATAGGCATGTTGGGGATGGTCATGCCACCACTAGGGAATTATCATGGCCAGTATAAGGATTTTTTAATAATGCTGTGATAACCGTAACCAATAGAAACATCCATTTTGACCATAGTTTTGACCATAGTTTCACCAACCGTGACATCGGTGTTGTGCTTAGAAGTGACCTTACAAGAATCATTCAACCGAAAAACAAGGGGTGTGAAACCGGTTGACTCCGAAGGGGGGTTCATAAGAATATGTAATATGCATATATGATTTTATATATACACATAATTATAGATATATGTACATAATTGTACATACAGACTTGTGTTTGTCTATGTTTGTGTAGATGATGGATCCCACACTTGTTTTTTAGTTCTGACGTGCCTTGCAGCTCAGCCATCAAGGACAACACAGGTCTGACAAAGATTCACGGCGCCTGGGATCCTTGTGGTCTGCGCGGAGTCGTCATGGGGAGTTTTCAACCATTTTCAATGGGGTAAGACAGGTACCTTTCTCTATGGCATCGATTCCAGATGTTCAGGATTCGGATGGTTTGGAAAACAACTTCGAGGTGACGATTTTTCAGATTCTCCTGAGGATTTGGTGTTGTTTGGGTGCCATTTGAGTCCATGCTTCAGCCAACCCTCATGGTTTCGGTTTCGGTGGCTTAGACTGCATGCAGGGTACTCCAAACATTCCCGCCTCAATCAACTCTGTTGATTTGGGGATTACCCAAAATAGTGATAAACAGTCAGAAATTTGGTACCCTCTCCTATTAGGAAACTGGTGGTCTGCCTCGTCGTTGCGAGGCAATGGACAAGCCCTGGAGGTGTTGAATCTGGGTTCCACCGGCTGCTGCAGCATTGAGGGCTTTGAATTTCAACGTTTGGCCACTTCGACCCTGATGCGAATCGGAGGATCCGTCGAAGTGGACTGGGAGTTTCCAGTTTGTTGGACTTTCTATCATGTATGGGCAGTTTAACCACTACAGTTCGACAGTATGGAAGCCACTAAAATGGCTGTTGCACATGTTTCCAGTCATAATGTGCAAATGAGAAGTTTAACCACAATATGTTTGGTTGAACTGCTTGGCATGGTCGACCACCTCGGAAGTGTGGACAGGGACGAGATTTGATCCCCTTGTAGTAGCCTTGTAGAGTTTTAAAAAAAGATATATATATATATAGAAGAGTAGAATCCCATGAAAAATTGTGTTGAATTACTGGTTGGTGCTTTGGAACATGACTTTTATTTTTCCCCAACGATTGGGGAATTTCATCATCCCAACTGACGAACTTCATCATTTTTCAGAGGGGTCGGGCTCAACCACCAACCAGATGACCTTTCTATCCTTTTTTTGGGGTTACAATCGATGTAGTCTCTGCAACACGGAGCATCCAGCCCTTTTTCGATGGAAAACCAGACGGCGATTTTCGTCTGGTTTGGTCCCAACATGTATGTAACGATTGGAAAAAGCCGCGTTGTCCAGAAATCGTAGCCTAGAAAAGCAACTTTAGCATATAGGACAGGAATTACCACATGAATTACCAGGACCGATTTCAGTTTTTTTTTAGAATGCTCAGGCCCAAAATGGAGAAACAATCCGAGTAGATGGTTTGAACATCTCTCTGGAGAAACTTCCCAAAGATTGAAAATCGGAGAAAAGTCGGCTCCCTCTCACAAAAAATTGGATAATTTTCAATGCACCCAGCATGATTTCTTTCAGTGTGACATAATGGGATATGAATGGGATATGAATGGGATATGAATGGGATACGGTAACAAAGGGATATCAATGAGTCGCCCTTGCAAAAAGGTGATGTTGGATTTGTCCATGCTGCACCTGCGGGACAAGCAACTCAGCAACTGGGCAGTGAAGGACCAGCGCAGCGTTTCCGGATGAAGAAAGTTTGGACGATGGATTTGTGATGGATTTATGATGGATTATGATGGATTCGATACAAGAATCACGATTTGTGAAGGTGGTCCTAAAAACATAATTATGATGTGTGAAGAATATGATCATCAATTATGAAAAACACAATTCGATTATCAATTGATTTGTGTTGATTTCGAAGTTTCAGCAACACTCTCCGTTGGTTTTTCAGTATTTTAGGATGAACTCATCTCACCTCTTTCAACACCATTGCGATGGGGAATTTCCATTGAAGACGTGAGGATTGACCACTGGGAAACAGTTTTGTCTATAGGGAGCTCTAACCGGTCCAAAGACATGGGCTATAAAAACCAACCGAGAATGGCGAAGACAAGTGAGATGATTTTACAATTATGTATAATTAATTATAATTATAATTATAATTATAATAATATATATATATATGTATTTATGTCAGGACAAACATGAGGGTTGACGAGCAAAGATAGGTGATTTTATCAGCAACGACTTCTTCTTTAACTAGCAATCAAAGGCGTCATTCCACAGAGGATTATCACCAGGATTTTTCATTTTCTTAGGGCTTTCCCAAAAAGGGGCTACCCTCTGGTAAACGCTTACATAACGAACTGGAAAGATCCACCATTTTCAATGGGTAAATCCACTATTTCTATGGCCATTTTCAATAGCTATATTATGTTAAATTACCAGGGGGTACCCCATCCAATCATCCATTTATTGGGCTACCCCCAGCCATTCCACCGGCCTTCCACACGGGCTTGCGCCAGAAACGAGGTCCGATCTTGCTGAAAGCCCCGTATCTGATCAAGGTGGTTTTGGGAGAGATGCCCGGTTTCAGACTATGATGATACATGATTACAACATGTTTAATGTGGGTAAATTGATGGTTAATGATGGTAAATGATGGTAATCATTAGTTAGCGGTTAATGACTAATGTGGTGAAAACAATGCCATAAACTAGCCATGATTGGGAATGGTAAACATACCGATTTATACCACCTATACAAATGTTGATGACTGGGGGATGGTGCAAATGGCATTGTTTTAACCACATTCACCTTTTGCGGCTTCTGGTGGTAGGAAGCGAACCTTCCGAGGAACTCAATGAGCCCCGAGCTGCTTGTGGACTTCCTGACAAGTGCCAGGAGAGCTGGGAGTGCTGGCCATTGGATGGCTCAGCCATGGGGGTTTCCATAGTCATGCACCAACAGCTGGATGGTTTATTTCATGGAAAATCCGAAAATACAATGGATGATTGGATGGGGTACACCCATGACTATGGAAACCTCCAGATGAAACCATAACTGGTTGGTGGTTTGGAACATTTTTTATTTTCCCATATATCGGGAATAATCATCCCAACTGACTTTCATATTTTTCAGAGGGGTAGGTATACCACCAATCAGATAAGTTGTGTGACTTCAATACCAAGAAATATGAATCCACATGACTAATGGTTCCCCGAAAAACATGCAGAATGAACATCTGCAGCAGATTTTCTAAACGGGATGGTTTGATATTGATACATTTGATACTTAAGCAAGCGAGGAATGTTGTGCTGGTATCACCACCCAGTATCCGCTGGAGATCAGCTCCCCAGTTGCTATACTATAGGTCAACCGTGAAACTCACTGGACCGGGTCGATGGTTTCACCGATGAGGCAGTTGAAGAACCTGAGTCTCTGCTGTTCCGCAAGTGGATCATTGACTTTGCTCAGCTTGTCACTTTCCGAACGACCTCCGGAAGACTTCGCTGTGAAGCTACAACTGTTGGAACTCTACGTGCCCTGGAGATTTGAGGGGGTATATTTTCTGGATGGATCAAACGTTCCCGAAACTTCGCTTGTCGAATCCAGGTGTTTGCATTTTCGCAGGTTTGATTTCCCGATAGCCCCCACTGTTCTATTGGTCATGATTTTTTTAAAGCACGTGTTACATCGTGTTACAATACAAATCACATACCCCCAGTATTGTTGGTGAAATTTGACGACCACATTTGTGAGTGACTTGCAACAAGCATCTGAGGAGGCATCCTGCACACTTTTGGCTTCCTCGATGTCTGTGGAAGCTTGGCCCGTCGGGGGTTCTGCTGTCATCAAGCGAGGCGGTGGAAGGCGAGTGCGGCTGTGGGTGGTAGACACTTGGCCCATCACCGTGGGGGGACCTCCAGCGGATTGGTCAAAGATGAAAGTAAGTGTTATGCCATCTATGACCAATTTTAACTTATATCTTGGCATGTTACTTATATATTCTTGGCATGAACACTTATAAAGTTATGGTCTTATTTGTAAGTGTTCATGGCAAGAATCATTTGATTTTGAGTTCCTTGTCAGCGAAAGGACAACATCTATGAAACTCCCAACATTTAGATGATAACTCTCGAAATCGAGCCTGGCAATGGAACCTCGTTTTTTTCTTTTTTTGATCCCTGAATCAACCGTGTTTGGAGACGTGGCACTCTCCGAATTCAACAACGGGGTTCACGGGTTGACATCCGTTGATCTGTCATTTGGGAAAGGATCATTGTGTGCTGATTTGGCATGACCTCAACATGTGTGTTCTGCGAAATGTGCATTAAAAAGGTGGGGGAAGCGCAGTGATATATGGAATACCACCAGCTATACATGGTATATCCCGGATTATATAGATATATATGTTATGTAATATATATATATACACACACACTGTATTTGATTATATATGTAATGTGTATATAATTATATATATATATATATTTGTTGGGTTAATGGTGGATTCGAAACTTCTAAACCACTTATGCTACATGGAATGCTCGATCAAACCTTGTATGCCCTGAGGAACAGCAGGAGCCCGTCAGTCCTTATGGCCGCATTCACCGTGCAGATGAGAGTTGGCTGCCAGTGCAAAGTTAGCGCAGAAAGGTGGGATCTGGGTCGCTCCCGAAAGTTGCTTTTAAAGGACCCCCGAAAAAGATATGTGTACATACATATATATATATATGTACATATATATATATATATGTATACATATATGTATAAAACTGTATGGTCAACTCATTATTAGGATGTATATGGTTTAGATGTTTCAACATCATACTTTGAAGCTTTCCAAGTGTGATCGATTTTCTGCGTTGCACTGCGTTGTTTGCAGGCCTCACCGCATGGACCGGAAGCCACAGCCCATGAGCCGTGCGTCAAAGGGGGCGGCCTCGCCACAAAGAGAACAACCCTATCGACAAGGTGTAGCGGAGGCGTCTTGAGCAATGCCCGTTCAGACGCTGAGGCAGCATTCTCTCCCGCCACGGCGTTTGCGGTGATGTGAAACATCGCAGGTGGATGCGATGCCGTGTTGGTCAAGCTCAAGAGCAAGAAATGCGAGAGTGAAGGGGTTTCGGGATGTTTCAGGTATATGATCAAACTCCTTGTAATGGGAAACCAGCGATTTTCAGGTATACCATGGACCATTAGAACTGGTTATAGCAACCCAGATTTTGAAAACATCTTTGAATATCTGATCCAGAATGTGTTTCTCCCACAGCTCGGTTGTAGCTCTAGCCACCATTCTAAGGGAACCAGAGAAGGGCCTGCAGGTCCCATGACATGTCGAAAGAGTTGGTGTCCCCTCAGCGCTTTTCCACCTGACCTGGCTATCCAATCTCACCGGGAAGTGTCCTCACTTCCAGATGACTTACTGTACATCAGTTATAGACCTGAAAGACAATGAAGAAAATTGATAAACAAAAATGCTGATTTTCGGCCTATAGCTGGTTTGGCTGTAGCTTCTCTAACTGAAACATGTAAGGAACTGGCGGATGGGCCGTGAATTGATTCGATGTTCTGAGGTGAGATGTCTTCTCAACTTGTGCCCTGATGTGGATTGCCATTTTTGCGGCGCTGGGACTTGTGCAGGGAGGTAAGATGAAGGAGTAGATTGAAGGTCAAACCTTGCGTCAAAGCGTGACTTTGGCAGATGCGGCCTGGTTTGCTCCGCAATCGAAAAAAAGGATCACACCATATCAAGGTGGATCAGCATCTTTTTACATTGGCTGTTGTTGTTATTGCTGTTTGGCAAGCTTTTGCGAAACCAGTTGGGTGTCGGAGCATCTCCTTGGCATCTCCTTGGTCGCCCGGGTGGTCAGGTATAGACATGGTGGCGACTTCTGCAATCTCCATGCAGATCAGTGCCCTGCCGGGTACGGTGCCAAACAGGTTGGAAACCTGGAGAATTTTCTATTGAAGATATCATCTACTGGTTGGTGGTTTCAAACATGGCTTTTATTTCCACAATTAATATATTTAATATGGGATATCATCCTTCCCATTGGCGAACTCCATCATTTTTCAAGATGGTTATTGCACCAGCAATCAGCATCTAATATCTATAAGTCGAAAAAACCCACCTGCACACACTGAAATCGGCATCTGTTTTTTGGGGGAGATTGCGAAAAAATAATGGCCAAACTCTTGGATGATCAGGGTGGAAAATGGTGTTTTCATGAGATCATGGGATATGTCATGGGATACCAAAGGTCTGGCTTAACAATGCTGGGGGTTTCAACTGTTCTTCATCTTTGGGATCATGTCGCAGCCTTCTTCCGGGTGTCTCACAGTATATCCAAAAAAACTGTGCCCGTCGCTGACTCCCATGATGTACGGGCTTGAGTAACCATCTTAGTTAAACCAAACAGTATATAGTTCTCCCATGTACATTGGGAAAGTGGTTGTGAAGCAGTCATTCCAGCAGCACCAGCTTCAGGTACCAAGGTGAGGAGAATTTTAGCGTCGGCATTTGCTTTGGAGAGGATAGGGGAAAACTCGGGAAGGAGCTGCTGGTGGGTTGAAATGTCACCAGCAACAATAGCTCTTTTCAGTAACTAGAAGCATGGCAATGAGAATCGCTTCAGCGGAGTATGGCCAGAAATCTGGTGGTTTCAATCTGCCATCATGGGAGAAGCACAGATGGGTACATTACGAATTGCTAGTGAAGATCTTGGTATTATGAGACATTGACGTGTAGCTAGACTAGACCATTGACACGTAGCCAGATAGGGCATTGACATGTATTAACATGTATTAACATGTATTGACATCTATTAACATCTATTAACATCTATTAATATCTATTAACATCTATTAACATCTATTAACATCTATTAACATCTATTAACATCTATTAACATCTATTACCACAGTATCTTTGACATGTAGCCCCTAGTATCACATGATGCATACTCCAGCCCTTTTCAGAGGGCGGACAGCGGTATTCTGGGACAACTCCTGAAGTTCCTATCCTGAGGAGCGCCAGCTGCTGTTCGAAGAGAACGGAGAGAAAAAGGCGCTCTTTGGAAACAGAAACAACATGGGAAACACATCTAATTAAACACTGGGTATACACTGGTAGTGAATGAAACTGGTGATTCTCTTCCATCCGGTTATTTAACATAGCCATGGAAAATTGCCCATTTATAGATGGTTTACCTATTAAAAATGGTGATTTTATCGATACACTATGGAGGAATCATTTTTCGGAGTTCTCTGGACGTCGCAGAAACCATCCCACACCTTGGTTCCTGACAATGGGAGTCACCACGGCAGTATGGGGGGTTAGCCGATTAGCCGCACCTCAGACAGTGTTGGATCCATAATAATGATGGTGATAATTAGTAATGATCCATTAATAACATTGATAATGATAGTAATAATGACCCATAGGGATATTACTATTAGTAATAACATTGATGATGATAGTAATAATGATGGTGATCATATGTGATCATATAACAGTGATAATGCTAGTAATACTAATAAGATCAATCATAATGACAAAGCGCTGTGAGATTCTCCGGGGTTGCGGGAGTAAGGGCCAAACTCGCCCAACTCGCAAAATGAATCATACTCTCACAGGAATCATAGTGATAAAGAGGCCAGCAGATTTTTCCAAAATGAATAAGGGGTAGTCTCTACCCTCGGGTAATCAAACGTGGCTTGCTGGAAAACGCTTTACAGAGGATGTTTCCAGCTATAAACCACTATAAACCTCTACTTTTCATGGGTTTTTCAAGCCACGTTTGATGACAGCAGAGGGTACACCCATTGTTAATCATTATCAACTATGATTGACCACTATTAACCACTATTAACATCGATTAACAACTATTAACATCTATTAACCACTATTACCCTCTGGTAAATAAACATAGACCCTGAAAATCACCAATTTTTAATGGAAACTAGTCTTCCAACCCCTATCTGCCAGGGTCTATGTTAATTTACCAGAGGGTAACATCTATTAACATCTATTAACCAGAGGGTAATGTGCAGCAGCCTTGCTTCCGTTGCCCCAAGCTTCCTGGGTACACCCAGGCGCAGTGGACGCTCCCCCACCGCAACGGCGACGTGTTCGCCTATGGCAAGGCGGGGAGGCTACGAGTTTTCTGCAGGACCCAAGAATTGATGGTGAATGATGTGTTTTTGTGTTTGAAATTTGATGTACAAACGTGAAAACAGTGGATGTTTCCCATTTTTGATCTACATCTAGTGAAATCTGAAAGTGGGATTGGCCAGCTTAAATTTCTGAATGGTATTGCAGATGGAATGAAACTCTGGGGTATTCTACAACCAAACTGTCAAACATGGAGATGCAACCAACAACTTTTACTGGCAACTGAAGGTTGGTGAGTTGAAAATTGAGATCTTGATCAGCAGTTCTTTTCTGCCAGCAATGCTGGGGGTTTCACCAGCGAAAGTCAACCATGAATCCATCCGCGGTGACTCCATCCCTACCTTGGATGATGAAACTCTAAGCATTGATGCTTTTGGAGCCAATCACAGCTGGGACCCACACTGGTCTTTACGGAAAAGCCTGGTTGGCTGCAATCGTCTGCAATCTCAGGCCCTGAACGGCGGCTGGAAACATGGAGCCAGACAGCCCAGGGGCGTCCCAGGAAACCATTGGGAGGATCCAGCTGAAGATAGCTGAAGTGATGGGAATTCACAGGGATTTAACGTCCCCAGTCAGCTGATCCGCCATTCAATGGTTAGGAACATGCAGAAGAGGAAGGTTTACTAAGAACCTAGTGTATTAACTATCAACAACTACTCTTGTAAGGGCGAATCTTAACCAGCTATCATCAAGGCGTCACCTTAGGGGAGAGTTGAAGCCCCATCAGGTAAGGGAACTATCCTAGTTACCACTGTAATCATTTCGGAACTTGATGCGATCGTCCCAGGCCCTTGGGGCCTTCATGTGCTGCAACCTCTGGAAATCCATGGAGAATCACCCAGCTCCATGCCCATTTGGTTTGGGGATTTCCTATGAACACCTTCCATCAAAGTCGATGATTTTCCAACTCACCTTGAACTCCCCCATTTCTAGATGATTTTCCAATCTACTCACATTGAACTCCCCAATAAAAGTCGATGATTTTCCATCGATTTTTACCTTAAAAGCTCCATTTCAGTGCGTTTTTCCCGTGATTTTCTCAGGAAACCCCTGGATTTTTCAGCTTACGGCAGGTGCCACCGACCTTGGAGGTGGAGGAGCCCAGTCTCGTGGTGATGCTTTGGGGCCAAAGAGGTGCCAGGGCGGCACGAAGAAAGATTTTTCTTTTGGAGAAATGTGTGATATATATATATATGATTATATATATATGATTATATATGTATAGCTGACTTTGATGAATTTAATAATGAAAAACTTGGTCCGGGGTTCTTCCTGCTGTTAAATGTTTTGTTCTCGCTACTGATGTTATACCCTGGTATTGGCATTGAGTTTTTGTATTCCGACTTCGTCATTTTTGCCGTCTCTGTCTTTGGCTTCATCACCTGCTTCATTCGCAATCTGTGGGGCTTCCCAGAGATTTGCGTGTGTTGGTGTTCATTTGGGACAAATGGACTATCATGGAGTGAAAGGTAGCAAGTTGTAGGACATAAACCTCATGCAGAACTGCTTGTGGTTGGATCTATCTTCTGCAGCTGTTTAGTTGCCAGGAAGACCGAACAACCCCTTCGTGTCTCGTCACCGCGCTTGCTGTCTGAATGGTGGTTTTAGCGAACTCAGCGTCAGCGAAAGGATTTTGGGACTGGTGCATCTCAATTGCGCGGGCAGTCGGAAAATCTTTTTGGGCATAGATGGCGGTAGCGATGCCGCAAAATCTGCCGCTGAATCTGCCGCTAATGCTTCAAGAGCCGCAGCTGATGCAGCACACTCTGCAGCCAATGCTACGAGATTCATAGCCAATATTACAGCAGCCGTAGCTGATTCTACACGAGCGGCAGCTTCGGCTTCTGAAGCCGCAGCGAATGCTGCTAGTTATGCCATGTGGATGAATGTTTTTGTCATCGCAATCATCATAGTCATAGTATGGTGCAACTGGACGAGTCTGCTTAATTATGTTAGTGCAAGACCTGAGACAGTCTTGAGATCAGAGGAAGATTGCAAGACCTGAGACAGTCTTGAGATCAGAGGAAGATTTTCATTTTGGACACCGGCGCCGTTGATCCCTCCAGGGCTCCCCTATGCTTGGGCCGGTGACGTTGTGAGTTATGAGCACCAATTGGCCAAAAATGAGTCAACTGCTTGCTGCTTGACAGAATGAACCTTGTTTGTTTTGGCGTCCTGTATTGCCCTGATTGCATTTGCCTCAAAGCCCTTTGACTTTGGCCGAGGTCAAAATGGCAAGCGCAACAACAATTGTCTTCCGGGACCCAAGGAGTTGATACTGCTAGCTTGGCTCAACATGATGAATATCTACAGCCAACGGATTTGATATTTACGTATACATTTACAGAAGTCCCTTGTTGTGGATGAAGCAGAGATGCAACGCCGAACCTTTAGCAACCAGAACATACGATAGAAATAACTTCCCAAACGCTTCTGAAAGTGCAACGATTTCACAATTAGCATGGACTTTCAAAACAGTCTTGCATTTTTTTTCCTGATCTAGAGGCCTCAGGTGAATTTGGCAGGCCCCACTGACCGGGGAGGCATGCCTGCATAACATCCGCATAGTAATTTTACAACATGTCCTATAGAATGCAGCTGTTGGAGAAGGCAGTAGAATGGACGGAAGATGACAGAACAAAGAAGCGCAAATAGGTTGTGCATGGCGTCCGTTTCTTTCATAGGGACGACGCACCCTCGCAGCAAAAGCGCAAATGGTGCTGTAAATAAGCTTGACCCCCTATACCTGCCAATTTGATCCAATTTGTTTGTTGTTGTTTTCAGTTTTCCACATCAACCCTTTTGCTGGTTGAGTCTTTCCTTTCCTTTCTTGAGAGTTTCATTTATTGCACCAACGCCCTTCAAGATTGTTCTGCGCAATTATATCATAATATATATTGACGGACTGAAACTTAGAATGCGCATTTGGAAGCGGCACTCCACACGTGCAAAACTGGAAAAATGCATTTTACCAGCATTTCGAAACTTAGAATGCGTCCCCCCACCTAGGATGAAGCTATTCGGCAATCAACAGTTAGAATGCCTCCAAGGACATATGTTTTTTCCAGGCAGAAACACATATATATCCTAGACCCTCCAAGTCACCATAAAAAAGGTAGTTTACCACATAATTTTCATAGTTTTAGCAACTTTTCAGGGTATTTGGAGGTTCTGGGTATATGAATGTACCTGTTTGAGAATATCTCTTTTTTTTTTGTGCATTTTGCAGGTCTGGGTACTTTTGCTCGCTTTCCCCATTCGATAACCTTGACAAAAGTGAGTTTCCCGTACAAAATTGCGATTTTGGACACATACCTGAGGTAGATAGGCTTCTGGGAAAAGAGGACACACCCAGCCACTAATGGTGTTGAACAGACAGTTAGAATGTGGCTTTAGTAGAGGATCCCCATCATTGATAAATACCTTTGTCTTATCTCCTAGATGGGCCACTAGCTGGAATGCCTGTAACTGTCACTGATTGGAAAAGATGTTTATATATTTTTTTTTAAACGGCAAAACTGGAAAATTGCATTTTACCAGCATTTCAGAACCTAGAATCCCCCCCCCCACCTAGGATGAAGCTATTCGGCAATCAACAATTAGAATGCCTCCAAGGACATATGTTTTTTCCAGGCAGAAACACATATATATCCTAAACCCTCCAAGTCACCATAAAAAAGGTAGTTTACCACATAATTTTCATAGTTTTAGCAACTTTTCAGGGTATTTGGAGGTTCTGGGTATATGAATGTACCTGTTTGAGAATATTTTTTTTTTTTTTGTGCATTTTGCAGGTCTGGGTACTTTTACTCGCTTTCCCCATTCGATAACCTTGACAAAAGTGAGTTTCCCGTACAAAATTGCGATTTTGGACACATACCTGAGGTAGATAGGCTTCTGGGAAAAGAGGACACACCCAGCCACTAATGGTGTTGAACAGACAGTTAGAATGTGGCTTTAGTAAAGGATCCCCATCATTGATAAATACCTTTGTTTTATCTCCTAGATGGGCCACTAGCTGGAATGCCTGTAACTGTCGCTGATTGGAAAAGATGTTTATATATATTTTTTTAAACGGCAAAACTGGAAAATTGCATTTTACCAGCATTTCAGAACCTAGAATGCCCCCCCCCCACCTAGGATGAAGCTATTCGGCAATCAGCAGTTAGAATGCCTCCAAGGACATATGTTTTTTCCAGGCAGAAACACATATATATCCTAGACCCTCCAAGTCACCATAAAAAAGGTAGTTTACCACATAATTTATAGTTTTAGCAACTTTTCAGGGTATTTGGAGGTTCTGGGTATATGAATGTACCTGTTTGAGAATATCTCTTTTTTTTTTGTGCATTTTGCAGGTCTGGGTACTTTTACTCGCTTTCCCCATTCGATAACCTTGACAAAAGTGAGTTTCCCGTAGAAAATTGCGATTTTGGACACATACCTGAGGTAGATAGGCTTCTGGGAAAAGAGGACACACCCAGCCACTAATGGTGTTGAACAGACAGTTAGAATGTGGCTTTAGTAAAGGATCCCCATCATTGATAAATACCTTTGTTTTATCTCCTAGATGGGCCACTAGCTGGAATGCCTGTAACTGTCACTGATTGGAAAAGATGTTTATATATTTTTTTTTAAACGGCAAAACTGGAAAATTGCATTTTACCAGCATTTCAGAACCTAGAATGCCCCCCCCCCACCTAGGATGAAGCTATTCGGCAATCAACAGTTAGAATGCCACCAAGGACATATGTTTTTTCCAGGCAGAAACACACATATATATATATATATCCTAGACCCTCCAAGTCACCATAAAAAAGGTAGTTTACCACATAATTTTCATAGTTTTAGCAACTTTTCAGGGTATTTGGAGGTTCTGGGTATATGAATGTACCTGTTTGAGGATATCTCTTTTTTTTTTTGTGCATTTTGCAGGTCTGGGTGCTTTTACTCGCTTTCCCCATTCGATAACCTTGACAAAAGTGAGTTTCCCGTACAAAATTGCGATTTTGAACACATACCTGAGGTAGATAGGCTTCTGGAAAAGAGGACACACCCAGCCACTAATGGTGTTGAACAGACAGTTAGAATGTGGCTTTAGTAAAGGATCCCCATCATTGATAAATACCTTTGTTTTACCTCCTAGATGGGCCACTAGCTGGAATGCCTGTAACTGTCACTGATTGGAAAAGATGTTTATATATTTTTTTTTAACGGCAAAACTGGAAAATTGCATTTTACCAGCATTTCAGAACCTAGAATGCCCCCCCCCCACCTAGGATGAAGCTATTCGGCAATCAACAGTTAGAATGCCTCCAAGGACATGTTTTTTCCAGGCAGAAACACATATATATCCTAGACCCTCCAAGTCACCATAAAAAAGGTAGTTTACCACATAATTTTCATAGTTTTAGCAACTTTTCAGGGTATTTGGAGGTTCGGGATATAAGAATGTACCTGTTTATCAGATTATTTTGTGTGCATTTTGCAGGTCTGGGTAAAGATTCCATGGAAAGTTTCAATGAACCAACGGGCAGCCCAAAGGCACTTTTACTCGCTTTCCCCATTCGATAACCTTGACAAAAGTGAGTTTCCCGTACAAAAATTGCGATTTTGGACACATACCTGAGGTAGATAGGCTTCTGGGAAAAGAGGACACCCCCAGCCACTAATGGTGTTGAACAGACAGTTAGAATGTGGCTTTAGTAAAGGATCCCCATCATTGATAAATACCTTTGTTTTATCTCCTAGATGGGCCGCTAGCTGGAATGCCTGTAACTGTCACTGATTGGGAAAGATATTTATATGTTTTTTTTTTAAACGGCAAAACTGGAAAATTGCATTTTACCAGCATTTCAGAACCTAGAATGCCCCCCCCACCTAGGATGAAGCTATTCGGCAATCAACAGTTAGAATGCCTCCAAGGACATATGTTTTTTCCAGGCAGAAACACATATATATCCTAAACCCTCCAAGTCACCATAAAAAAGGTAGTTTACCACATAATTTTCATAGTTTTAGCAACTTTTCAGGGTATTTGGAGGTTCTGGGTATATGAATGTACCTGTTTGAGAATATCTCTTTTTTTTTTGTGCATTTTGCAGGTCTGGGTACTTTTACTCGCTTTCCACATTCGATAACCTTGACAAAAGTGAGTTTCCCGTACAAAATTGCGATTTTGGACACATACCTGAGGTAGATAGGCTTCTGGGAAAAGAGGACACACCCAGCCACTAATGGTGTTGAACAGCCAGTTAGAATGTGGCTTTAGTAAAGGATCCCCATCATTGATAAATACCTTTGTTTTATCTCCTAGATGGGCCACTAGCTGGAATGCCTGTAACTGTCACAGATTGGAAAAGACAAAACTGGAAAATTGCATTTTACCAGCATTTCAGAACCTAGAATGCCCCCCCCCCACCTAGGATGAAGCTATTCGGCAATCAACAGTTAGAATGCCTCCAAGGACATATGTTTTTTCCAGGCAGAAACACATATATATCCTAGACCCTCCAAGTCACCATAAAAAAGGTAGTTTACCACATAATTTTCATAGTTTTAGCAAGGAGGGGTGGGAAAGGAAAAAGAAAAAGGGGAAAAAGAGGGAAGAAGTTGGAGGGGATAAAAGGAAAAGGGCGGAAAAAAAAATACAAAGAAAAAAGTTATCATAGCCTTGACGCTTTTATCCTCCGCTTTTCGACTGTTTTCAGGGTATTTGGAGGTTCTGGGTATATGAATGTACCTGTTTGAGAATATCTCTTTTTTTTTTGTGCATTTTGCAGGTCTGGGTACTTTTACTCGCTTTCCACATTCGATAACCTTGACAAAAGTGAGTTTCCCGTACAAAATTGCGATTTTGGACACATACCTGAGGTAGATAGGCTTCTGGGAAAAGAGGACACACCCAGCCACTAATGGTGTTGAACATAGACAGTTGGGAGACAAAATTTGGCTTTAGTCCGGACCCCATCATTGATAGAAATACAACCTTTTGTTTTATCCCTAGATGGGCCAACTGCTGGGAATGCCTGAACTGTCGACTGATTGGTGAAAGATGTTTAGTATTTTTGTTAATTTAAAACAGCAAAAACTGGAAAATTGCAGTTTACGGCAGCATTTCAGAACCTAGAATGCCACCCCCACTAGGATGAAGCTTTCGTCAAGTAGCAGTTAGATGCCTTCCACCCACTACAATATTAATATTTTTTATCCCAAACTCAGAAAACACATATATATCCTAGACCCTCCAAGTCACCATAAAAAAGGTAGTTTACCACATAATTTTCATAGTTTTAGCAACTTTTCAGGGTATTTGGAGGTTCTGGGTATATGAATGTACCTGTTTGAGAATATCGCTTTTTTTTGTGCATTTTGCAGGTCTGGGTACTTTTACTCGCTTTCCCCATTCGATAACCTTGACAAAAGTGAGTTTCCCGTACAAAATTGCGATTTTGGACACATACCTGAGGTAGATAGGCTTCTGGGAAAAGAGGACACACCCAGCCACTAATGGTGTTGAACAGACAGTTAGAATGTGGCTTTAGTAAAGGATCCCCATCATTGATAAATACCTTTGTTTTATCTCCTAGATAGGCCACTAGCTGGAATGCCTGTAACTGTCACTGATTGGAAAAGATGTTTATGTATTTTTTTTAAACGGCAAAACTGGAAAACTGCATTTTACCAACATCGAATATATATAGGTTTACAAGCAGTTAGAATGTGGGAGGTAGGAATGCCTAAAACCCATGAGTTTCTTCAAAACATTGATTGTTGGGAAATATATGTATATATATATATATATTTGGTTGCGCAGACAATTGTACCCCACAACTCATGTGTTCCCTCAAGGTTCCCTGGTGTTTTTCTGGAAACATACATACTTGGTATGTATATAGAAAGTTTTTTTGAAAACATGATGCAAACCCACACATCCATGCTAGAATATGCTAGTGCCGGACCATGTACCTTGCACCCAATGAGGTTCCCTGAGGCCACGTTTTTTTTAGCTACGTATCTATATATTTATCTTTTTTAATATATGTACAATATATATACACACACCGACGGACTGAAACTTCGAATGCTACGCTCCTTTCCTGAGAGTAGTTTACAGACAGTTAGAATGCTCCATGATGCCCCATCCGTCATTTCAGTATATCTTTATCTATCTCAATCTAAACATTTTGGGTCAGCATTCTAACTGTCTGGTCGCCGCCCGGGGCTGCGCCGCATTCTAAGTTTACGAAAAAGGGATTTTTGGAAACCTGGCGCGCATTCTAAGTTTCAGTCCGTCAATATATATATATATATACACAATGGCGATGCGATAAGGGTTCCTGATCCCCGCCGGTTTGTTGTTGTTGTTGTTGTTCTTGTTGTTCTTGTTCTTGTTGTTGTTCTTGTTCTTGTTCTTGTTCTTGCTGCTGCTGCTGCTGCTGATGATGATGATGATGATGTGCTCTGCCGAGGGAAAACTGTGTTTGAAACATGTTGTTGGGCGCAATGCACAATGTAGTGTCTTAGAAATACCATTGCTTTTTACAATCGTAAACACATGTGTTCAAAACATTTCAAAACAAATAATGCCCCTAAAAGCGTCAGATTGGCATTGTTTTTGCAGTTCTTGAAGGCCTTCGGAACAAACCCACCTTAAAAACTGATGTTTTTGGAGCCCCGTCAGGGGGTTTCAGCATATTTAATCCATGAATGATGGATTTGGGTCTGTCTGAAAATTGGGTATGGTATACCTTCAAACATTCATGCCCATTTGATGGAAACATATGGAAACATCATGCTAATCTCACGAATCGTGACTGAGTTGTATTACCCTACTTGTGACCCAGATATAATTGGGATTACCCAGTTGGAGGATCAACTAGGGTTTCTCTCCACTTACTGTACCAAGTGGGATGATCCTCGAAGTAGTCAACACTAGTCAACGTAGCTACTCTCCACCTAGCTAAGGGAAGCAGAATATAATATAGCGGATAGTTTCACATATTTTACTGTATATTCAGCATGAGCTGAAGGGATCGGTTGATCATGCTCGCATCAAAACGTTTGGTTCTTTATACACCCTCTTGTTTCGCAGATTCACAAGTGAGGTACCCTCTGGTAAACTAACATAACTATGGAAAGATCCACCATGTTTAATGGGAAAATCCACTATTTCAATAGCTATTTTCAATAGCAAACTGTTAAATTACCAGAGGGTATACCCCCACCGTGGTTTACCATGAAATTTCGGGCGTTTTCCTCCTGGAGCTGCAGCTGTAGGTGGCCAAGTGGAGTTGCCAATCTCTCTGACAGGCGCCCAATGTGACCAGGATGTGCATAGCCACGGGCACTGGGGGAGACTATATGGGTATGGATCAATACCTATGAAAATATCATTTTTAGGGGAATGAACATCCATTTTAACCCAGCTATTTTGATGTGAACAAAAAAGGGGTACAAGGTTTTGACACACTGCCATATATATATATTACTGTATATTGATCGGTTACATGGTTGCTATAATAACTTTCTACAATATGTATATTAATGTATATATTGAAACTGTGATAACAATATAATAGTAACAACAATGAAGATAGTAACACTATATAACAAAGACAGTAGAAATACTAATAGTGAGTGATATACTTATAATACACATAACAATAGTAATAACTCATACTTATAATATATATATATGCTTGACATACAATCGACATATAATCGACGTACAATGAACATTTAGTTGATATGCAAGGAACATTTAATTAGCACATAGTTAACGTATAATTAATATACAATTGACATATTATAATGAACATGTAATTAAGATAACATATATTTCATCAGGGTGTGGACCAGCAACAGGGGAATATGAACCATGTAGGTCTAATTAGGGCATTCCAACCAACAAGCACGGGCAACATACTGATGATTGTGCCGATTGCATTCAAGCATCAACTGGGTTGTGTGGCAAGCTTAAGGTGGTAAAAACCAGTTTCACTAACCCTCCCAAACTCACCACATATGGGTGGTATAAACTATCCCCGAATGGTAGGTTTGTGGCATTGGGTTTCACCAATGATTAATCATTGTAGGCAAGATACGGTAAGTCATTGTTATTGATCAGCTCACATACCCCAAGGTCAAGGATACACTCAGACAGTCCATGAAAGGGTGGAGTTCAGACCCCATGCGCCAGCATTTTGCAGCATGGTCCCGCCCTTCGCAGAGGTTCCTTTCCGATTCTCTTCGAGGATCCTGACGCGATGAGCTCCGAGCCCCGACAATGTGAGGTCCGACCTGTCGGAGCTCAAAGTGGATTTATCGACAAAGTTCTGGTTGGTGGTTTGGAACTTTTTTTATTTTTCCATATATTCGGAATAATCATCCCAACTGACTAATATTTTTCAGAGGGGTTCAAACCACCAACCAGATGGGTGTTTCCATGGTTGTCTGATATGGTATGATATTATGTTTGTCATTTATACGTATGTATGGGGATGGTTTAAAATGGTACATTAGCATTTCTTAAAATCCTGACCTCAACCTGGGCAGGGGTCAAGTTTCTCTATAGATGTCCATCCGGGTTGAGACCATGATGCCTAGTTGACTTTAACATATTTCTTGGGATGGCTTGAAACCACCAGCCAGATTGGGATAAGGTCGATTCTATATCCTGGCTCATGATCGATCCTCATAACACGGCTGATCCTCAGCCAACATTCCACGCCAAAAAGTCAGGTGTGCAACCGCATGGCCGAACGCAGTGGTCTCTCAGACAGAAGCAGACGCGGCCAGGGGCTGTTGATGGTTGGGAAATCTTGCATCAGCTGGGTATTTGCGATGCTAGCAGGCAGGTCTGGATCAAACGGGCTCAATGATGGCCAAAGTTTAACAGTTTTCCCAGAGTCTCAAGTTTTAACCCATACCCCAGATGCTGGCAAACGCACCCTGTGTTTGTCAGTTCCAGAGACCATGCTCCAATGATGTGACTTGCATTTTTGTTTTTCCCCGACTTCCATGCTATATTCATTGATCATTTCTATGTTAAGATCCCTTTTTTTCGCCACCATTTCTACCAGATTTCTTCCCAGGGGATCTCCCGAGGGGGTCGCTATGACTTGGACGGCCACTGGAGCTGTCGGAAATGCGCCCTGCGCAGCGAGCTGCTGGGCTGGCGGCCGTGTGCCGCCGCCGCTGCGGAGGTTACGGACGCCGTGACCGTGAGGAGGGCCGCGGAACGGCGATGGGGTCGTGGGATTCTTGGGTAGGGTTGGTAGGAAGCTGAACATATCCTGGAAAGTATATGAATGTATTATTTATCATATATATATATAATATATATATATATATATAAATCAAGGATAGTTGAGGTATGTTAAGGTATATTCTTCTAATTTCCCAAAATTCACATTGACTTAGACCCTTGAGAATGGCCCATCCCTGGCAGGATCGTCACACATACTGTGGATGGGCCAGCGAAATCCTGCATCACCAAAAGGATGGTTGAAACCCTATTAATCATGGGATAAACCACTTATCAACTGGTGATTCGGATTTCGCTGGCCCATCCACCGTATGATACATTGAAAAAACATAATGCCTGAAAAGGCAGTATATGAACAGCACATCCTAAACAGAATCTGTTGTACATGATGTTAAATTATGGATTTCCAGGGGGAGATTTGAGGAAAAACAAACCTTTGGATTGGTACATTCATGGGAAGGAATGTCCCGAGATCCACAACTGGCGATAAACAAATCCTATTCGAATTTCACTATTGAGAGAAGTTGAAACCGCGCCAACCAGACTATACAACAACATACTGATTGGTGGTTTGGAACATGTTTTATTTTCCCATTCAGTTGGGAAGAATAATCCCAACTGACAAATATTTTTTAGAGGGGTTGAAACCACCAACCAGAAATATCTTGGAATTTCCACTCCGTGTCTCACTCCAGTGAGAGGGTAGTTGCAACCCTAGTTCTTGAGATATGTTGATGAGTATTTTTGTGACAGGGGTCAGGGGCCCCATGAGAAAATAGCAGGCAGATGCCAAAAAATCAGTTGGACGCCAAACTTTGTCTGGACTTTTTGGTGGTTTCACATATTCATTTATTTCCAACCATATTTTGGTTGATGATCGACAGCATATTTTTGTATATGTTTCAGATGGGTTGACACGACCACTCTGACATATTCTGTCCAGGACGGGTCAAACAGCGCTGGCCATATTGGTGGGTCAAAGAACCTGCCTGTGGCGCCGAGCAGTTTTCCCAGATGGATGGTACCTGGTTTCAGCACGTGAGCCGATATGGAAAATGGCTCGCTGATAAAAATGATCTACCCCTTAAACATTGTGATTTTCCATAGCTATGTTCAAGTACCACAGGGCAGTCTAAGGGAGATATGGAGGGCAGAAAGTCCGTGATTTCTCCATGAAAAGGATCTGCAAATGAAATCGTGCAATTTTTAAAAGTTCTATGTTCGTAATCAAGTAAAGAAGGCATAGTCCCAGTAGATATTTTCCGTGAAACCGCCAGTCAAACATGGCCATGGTATCTATTGCTTCATGATTTTCATGATTTGCTACTTCCGACTTCCGGTGCGGTTGGTTTTTCTTCTGGTCGTTTATTGCGGGTTACAGCAAGATCCTTTGGGATACGCTATGACAAAACTTGGAAAAAACCCAATCCCTTTAACATTGGCAACACAGCTGTGACTCTTGGCTTACCTTACCCCCATGTTTGGAAACCAGCCCGTAAGGTCATTGGAAGACTCCAATGATCTGCCACAAGTGACCACACGTTTTCAAGGCTTCCCAGTCATGAATATTTACCATCTTTTGATGGCATGTTCCAAGTTTCTAATATATATATATATTATCTAAGTTCAAGATAGGTGCTTGATATCCAGCTATAAGATAGGTACGCTACGCTTGGTGCGCTTGGTGCGCTTGGTACGCTTGGTACGCTTTGGGTAGGTACGCTTGGTACGCTTAGTAAAGTACGTTTGGTACGCTTACCAACCGTACCGACCGTACCGACCGTACCAGTGAACCGTACATAACCGTACCACCGTACCGTACCAGATTAAGGGGGGGGGTCAAGGTGGGGGCGTTTTGGATGTACCAATACTACTTTAGTATTGGTACATCCAAAACGCCCCCCCCTTGACCCCCCCCTTAATCTGGTACGGTACGGTGGTACGGTTATGTACGGTTCACTGGTACGGTCGGTACGGTCGGTAAGCGTACCAAACGTACCTTACTAAGCGTACCAACCGTACCAACCGTACCGTACCACATGTACCAACCGTACCGTACCAAGAAAACCAAACCTACCAGCCGTACGTACCAGACATGTTTGGATCTTACTTAAGGCCTCTACCACCTATCTTGAACCTAGCTAATATATTATATTATAGTATTTTGCGAAGGGGAACGAGGTAACAGTGTAGCTGCACATGATGAACATGTGCACAGTCATGCATGGACCGCCAATGATATTGGCTCAAGTCCTGCGCGAGGAAAATAAGAACGCTGTCCGCATGCCATGCACTGAGATTGCCCGGCGCTATCAGCATTACTGGTACTACAGACAAAAGGGATAATCCAGAACAAGGATCAATTTGCTCACAGGTTATCAGCCGTAGGGCTCACTTCTCCCGCCGGGAGAGTGGTACCTGCGTGCTGGTAGCCGGGCCGTCTGAGCAATTGATCGAGGACGCAAAGGACCAATCAGCTCATCATCGCAAAGATGCAAGGCGGCAGCGGAGATTCGCGCACCACGCAGTTTACCTTCAATGAGAACGCTGCTATGCCGGTCGAGGAGGTCAATCAATCTTCCCCTGGCGACACGGCAGACAGTGGCGGGATACGCTCTACCCGAACTACACAGTCCGGATGGCAAGTCACATCAAACAGACGAAGAATATCCACCCAAAGTACACCTAGATCTTCTCGAAACAGTGCTCGGAGTGATGTTGTCCGCCAAGGGCATCGACCATCTCGAGGACGTACTACTCCAAGGGACAGATCCACCAGGGCCGTGACCGACCGAATTGGTGAGAGGACCGGGGATAGTCGTGTTAAGAGGAGATCAACGGATACTTCTGTGGCTAGTGAACCTATTGCCATGATAGAGGAACTACGGGCACAATGTCAATCCCTACGTAATCAGCTGAACAACATGGAAGCATACGCTGCATCCAGGGATCAACTGATTCATGACATCGAGATCAGATTCACTGAATATCTTCGGGAACACAATCAGAATGTATTTGATGAGGTCAATGCACTCAATCATAGATTGTCGTGTTCCGCAAATGAGGTTGCAGAATATCAAGCAGAACTAATGGTAGCATCTCAGGAAGACGAAGGTGCAACAATACGCATCCAAGACCTTGAACGCCGAGGTGCCCTAATGGAACATGGTGCACGACGGATCCATCAACGTGGTATGGAGATCCAGGAGGAGTACAAGGATGAAGTACATCACCTTCAAGGACTACTGGGTAATACGGAGGCAAGACTACAACAACTTCATCAAACCAATGTCTTAACCACCGATATTGCCAATCGACTATACAATGAAGGTCAGGAAATGCAAAATGATTTCCAGAACTCAATCATGGAATATCGTAATCGATCTGAAATGGCATCCTTCTCTAGTAATCAACTTGAAGTGATTAGCCAGCAACAATCAATTGCAGTTCATGAATTATCTGAGCGAAATCAGCTATTGAGTGAAGCTTTGGTTCAGTCTCGTAAACAGGCCGAGCTGTATGAGAGCAGTATTGATGAGATCACTAGAGAATCTAGGAAGAAGGTGTTCGAGGCAAATCAGGCCAAATCGGAAAGTGATCTGAAGCATCGAAACACTGAACATGATACCGTCAGAAGAATTGCATCATACAGGAACCAAGAGGCCGAAGCAATATCTCACCTGAGGCTTGAATCACAGGCTAGTGCAAACTCGATCGCAAGGGCAGAGCACTATGAGGAGCTCTATGCCAACGAGCAGAAGATGAACTGCGAATTGAAGGATGAGATCAAGTTGCAGAACACGAAGTTACGAAGATCGTTGACTCAGGGTTCTACGACCGACGGTCGTGGCCCCGAAGAGATGCTTGTTGAAGATCTACGTAATCAAGCTAAGATCGCTCAAATCAGGGTTCAGGATCTAGATCATGAAGGTCATGAATGCTTACAAGAGAACTTGTTGTTAAAAGAAAGGTTGGCTGAAGTCGCGGATGTAGGGGCGTCGTCCCTCACCAATGCTGAGGTCCGAACTCTAAGATCTGAACTAGAGAGTGAGCGAAAATTGAAATTGGCGAGTGGTGTTCAACAATATGAGAGATCATGCATGTTCATGGGGGAAATCCAGGACAGGGATGAAAAGATTGGCATCAAGAATTCTGAGATTGTTGACATGAAACGTCACTTAGATGAACTGAGAAAAAGTCTCAAGGATTCGGAAACATCTATGGCTAGGATCAGTCCTGACACACTTCCCTATTCGGCAGGCATTCCCAACTCCGATCTCGCATCCAGACTGGTCATCGACAAACTGGAGAATGACGTGAGTGAGGCTAACTGTGAAAACGCTATTCTGAAATCTTGGGTTTCGCAGATCGACAAGGAGTTGACTTATGAGACAAATGTGGCTCATTCCTATCGTGGGCATGCCGTACCTCCTCAACATCAACAGCATTCTCAATCAAGCAAAAGAATCGCTGATCTGCTGAAAGAGGTTGACAACAAGATCGCTGGCGGAACTGAGAGGGACTATTACAAGCCACCGAGTGGATGGGGCGGTCCGCCTGACCCTGATGGACCTCCGGACCCTTTCGGGCCTAACGGCCCAGGACCACCTCCTGAACCTCCAGGTTTGCCTTCAGTTCGAGGATCACAACGCGATTCAGCAGATGATGTCTCCACAGCGGCTTACACTGCGGAAGAAGTACCGAGAATGTCAAGACGAGAGGCTGACAAAGTCTATGTTAGCCCATGGCCAAAGCAACAGAATCTTGGGGTTTGGCAATCAGATCTCATCAAGAGTGTTGTTCTTTCGGCAAATGACGGGGATGAAGCCGCATGGGAAGCATGGCTACAGCCGGCTATTCGACCAAATCCTGACATCGAGCTGTTGAATGACAGTGGGGGGCAACGGTATCAGTCCATCGACGCCAAGTTGTCAATTGCATTGTCAAACGTGATAGCCCAAGCCGGTGACGTTGCTCGTCATGTAGCGATCAAATTGAGATTGAGAACGCAAAGTCATAGCCGAAGAGGAACCTATGTCATGGGACGGGAAATCTTGGCTATGATTCTGGAGCACTTCAGAACCCCTGGTCAACGAGAAACATCCTTCACCATGGAACACATCGTATCGATGAAGTATCTCGGTGACTCGAACCTAGAAGTGTTCTACGAGAAATGGATGGAGATGGTATCAAACATGATGCCGGATGACGTACCTCCTGATGATTGGCTTCGTGACGCCCTATACAAAAAGATTCGAAATTCGAGTCTTATGATGTTCGACATCAAGCAGTACGAGTCATGGATGGAAGGAGACCAAAGACGAAATTATCGCTACCTGTTGGATGTCATCGAGAGGCACATCTCCAGAATCAGAGAGGACAAGCATGTGGCAGCCAGAGAGAAGTATGCGAGAGACTTTGCAGGCGGCGGCAAACCTTCAGCTCCTGCTCCGAACCCAACTGCCGCTGCACCGGATGCAAATCCAAAAGCGAAGCCTAAAGCTACTCCCAAGGAGAAGGCAGCGCCCAAGGCGAAGGCCAAGTCCGATGCAGCTCCAATTCTACCATCACCTCAGCCTAAACAGCATGCGAAAGGAAAAGGAAAAGGTCAAGGGAAAGGGAAGGATCGAGCAAACAGCCGAAGTACCAGCCCCAGATCCAAGAAGAAGATCCCATGCCATTTCCATTTCATCAAGAAAGCATGCAGAAAAGGCAAGGATTGTGAATACAGTCACGACCAAAAGGTATTTGATGCGAACAAGAATGCAAAAGGCAACGGTCGGAAGCCAGGAACTCCAAGAAGTCAATCTCCGGCAAACAAGACCAAGAAGATTGACGAACCATGCTGGCATTGGGCTAAGGGCAAGTGTCGGTATGGAGACAAATGCAACAAACGCCACGATCCTCATCTATTCAACACTGCTCCAAACACTGAAGCACCAAGCTCAAAGGCTACTCCTGCACTTATCCATGATTGGAGTGATGATGAAGGGACGTTCCATAAGGTTGCATCGAACGTGA